TTTCATTATCAATTGTTCCATATATTTAAATATATTCGTATTTTTTTTCTCATTGTTTAATTTCTTTTAGTGTTTGTAATTACAATTCATATCATTCTCTAATGTGTAATGATAATTGATCAAATCTTATCATTTACACAACGATCTTACTTTGAATTGGCTTCCATCAAAAACTAACCATAGTCTATTCGTTCGGAAAACGGTTCACCAGTTTCTCATCAGTTTGCATCATCAGCCAACATAGCCATCATTTATCATGTTTGTTCCATCCCACCATCATATTAATTGTTGCATCTGTAAGTATTTATACTTTTGCTATCTAAAAGTATTTCTCATTTCATCAGTTTTTTTTCATTATCAATTGTTCCATATATTTAAATATATTTGTATTTTTTTCTCATTGTTTAATTTCTTTTAGTGTCTCTATCTCATTTTATTGCGTATAAAAATTGCTAAAATTGATGCTGATCAAGTTAATATTTCTATGGAGGATATAGTGTTATGTGATTATGCCGATGATGATGAAATACAGTGCATGAAAATTATCCCATGGACTCAGGAGAAGCATCCTGAAATGATTAAATTGACTCGCGTTCAAAAACGAGCCAGAATAGGCTCTTTTACGGGAATGTCAACTTCCACTCCACCCAAACGCATAATTGATCTTGATGAAGATTGTTTGCTTGAAATTTTCAGCCACATTCATGATTTACAGGGTTTAATTAGCTTGTGTTCAAGTAAGTAATCATGATTGTAAATTTTCAAATTTGGTATAAATTTTCACTTTCTATTTTCAGTTGGTGAACGTTGGAAGGCGATTATTTATAAAAATCGACTTAAATCTGTCAAGTATCTAATGCGTTTCGGTAAGTTTAAAAATTGTTAATATATTATAATATTAGCAACTGTTAGACAACTTTTTTTTGTAGAAAGGGAAAAGATTGAAACTGAAAAGATTTCAAGTTCAAGATAGATAATCATAATTCACTTAAATTCAAATTTCATTCTTTGATTTCATTTACTTTCATTGTTCTTTTCAGATTCTAATCGTGAACCAAAACTAGCAAAGGATACTGTCTATTTTCACGGATATGGTCCATTGATAGTAACTGATCAAGTCAATTTATTTCCAAACATTGAGGTAAAATGTTATATTTTTATCATATTACTATTTTTATATTATGTTGTTATATTTATACATTATTGTATATTGTATATAAAATGTGTATAGTATATATTATTTTATTATATAATCTAATAGGTTTTAGATTTACGTGCCAAATTGGATAAAAAATTGAATGAAAACGATATTTTACATTTTGTGAACAAAGCTAATAAATTAAAAGGTTTGATTCAAGAAGGACGTTATTTCTCTGAAGAAATAATAAAAAAATGTGAAAACCTGGAGATGCTTGCCACTACCGGTACGCATTTAGGTCCATATCTGGAGGAATATGTGTGTAAAATAAAGCAACTTAAACTTCGATGTTATTCACTTGATGAGTTAAGCCATAATCCCAGAAATCTTTGCAATCTGGAGAGACCCAACATCTCAGGTAAGTTTAACTTTTTGTGCCTCACGATTCTATTTGATTTTGATTTTAAGAATTGTATTTTATTGATTCCATAAATAGTAGGATCAGTGGGAATGTATAATGGACCCAAACTTATGAAGCTTAAAATTCTTGAGATGAGTTTTACCTCAAAGTATGGATTTGAATTTCTGAACTATTGTCCTGGATTGGAAAGTGTCTATCTTTTGATAAAATCAAATAAACATATTGTCTCTGGGTCAACTGTTCATTACAATATGCGTGATCTTGTGCTCATCTATGGCCGTGTAAGTATCAAATTTTGTTTTTGTTACAGAAAAAGAGTAAATAATGAATCTGTATCTCATTTTACACAGAATCGAGCGAATGGATCTGAATGTAGTCAAGAATGGAGCTCATTGTGGACTCTACTTGTGAGATATCCAAATCTGAAACATTTGGCTTTGCGAGGAAACTCTAGTATCTTTGATATTGATGTTAAAGAACTGGTTGCATTATTGCCAAATTTAGAGTTGGTCGACTTCAGAAAATGTGATGGGATAACTGTTGAGTCTCTCAACTTTGTCCAGAAGTTTTCTGCGATGCAAAATCGTGTAATTAACTTGTATTGCAATGTAAATGAAGAACAAATGAAAGTGGATCTACCTCATTTATCCTATGATCCAGATTGTATAGTTAAAGAGTTTGATTTAATGCGACATTGTTTTGCCAAAGATTTTGAAAATCTTCCATATTTTATTGGCGTCTAAAGTAACAAACATAATCTTTGTTACTCTTTTGTTTATCATAATATTAATCTTAAAATTGGGGAATAAAATAAGATTTTTTGTATACTGTTTGCTGGATGATTTACATTGACCTGATCAGTGAATCCTCGGTGAAGAATGTTTATGTGTAGCAATGAAAGTATGCAAATACAATTAAGAATTAGGAATTAAGTTTTTATTTTTATTTTCATCTTCATTTTAATCTTCATTTTTATCTTCATCTTCCTCTTCATCTTCATCTTCATTTTCATTTTCTTGTTTTTTGATGAAAAAAACCACTGAAGTTGATAATCCAAATTGTACCGACATCAAATGGCTCAAACTGCCCCTCCCCAATGATATAACCAACGCATTGGAAGGAATTGGATTAATTGAAAACAATCCTTAAAGCCAAAGCGGCATCAGATTCATCAAAGAGTTAAGCAAAGTCAGTTACAGCTAATAGTTCTTTTTAAAAACTGATCCTCGGCTAAACAAATGTTTCATGTTTCATTTTACTGTAATATTTTGTTAGATCTTAAACAAGATTAAAATTGATTGTGTTAAAAATTCAGTTACTTTTTTTTCAACCGTTTCCAATTAAATTCAAATACAGTCAACCCTTGAGTTTTTTGTTTTTTTGGAGTGCTGACATCTATGTGAACTACAGGGGGAATAATTAAATTTTACGGTTCAAACAATAAGTCCACTCTAATGACTCCCCCCTGAAGGGAGAAGGGTAGAGACTCTCTACTAGAGGAGCTAAAAGGGAATCATTAGAGTGGATTAATTGTTTAAACTGTAAAATTTATTTCCCCCCCCTGTAGTTCACATAGATGTCAGCACTCCAAAAAACAAAAAACTCGAGGGTTGACTGTATCTCTGAAATTAATTGAGATAATCAAATTTTGTTAATTGCAAAAAAATGCATGAATATTGTAAGATGTTAAGTACCAATATTCATCTCTGTGCGATAATCACATGAAATTCAATAAAATGAAACTCGACCCTGAACTGTATCCGGCTAAACCTAATACAGTAGGGGTTAGGGTTAAGTTAACAAAAGGGAAGATTTTTTTCATAGTCGCCCTCTAACAATAAATTAAAGTACCATTAGAATCGACGAGGTGGTGTAACCGTCCGGCATTCACCCGGATGACTCGGGTTCGAGGCTCCGTCTTACCCTCATCACTTTAATGGTATCCCTATCTGGGTCCTGAACTCAAATGTTTAGTAAGAGAATAGTCGCTGTGAAAAGACATGCCGTAGGAGTCCCCTGCGGTGGGCATACGTAATAGTATGGGCTTCTCTCAAGGAGAGAAGATTCGCTAAAAATCGAACTTTTTTTGTCCAGTTTTCTATTGCATTGTTTTTCCTTGTCTCTAAAAACTAAATATGCTCGAGATGGCGACACTTAAAAATTAACTTAACTCTAGCCTAGTGGTTAGCGTTGGCGATAAGACTGCTAATCTTCATATGTTGTGTTCTGCATCTTGGGGTTAGCGTTCGAGTCTCGCCCAAGTCCTGAAGTTAGGCGAAAATGCGGTTGCTTACCCAGAGTTTAAGCCCTCTGGAAATCCTCTTCCCTCTACCCTGGATTCGTCAAAATAACAAATGTGTAACCGGCGCTAGTAAAGCTGGTGCGGTCCCTGTCGGGCCGGTCCAAACCCGAAATAATAAAAACTCTGACCACTTTTTGTTAACTTAACCCTAACACCTACTGTATACAGATTCGCATCTATTATATTTTCTGTGCTAACAGATACTCACTTAAAGCAAATCACAAGATTTCTGAGATGAATAACCATATACTGTCGAGTACCCGGTTAAAGCAATTTTTTTGAGCCCCATTTAAAGCAATTTTCACAGTCGCCATCTAGGATTTTTTGAAAATTTACATTGCTTTTATAATTTATATAATCCTTTCATTACCTAAATCTTAAGCGCTGCCACTTTCTAAAAGGCATTATCACTAGATGGAGACTGAGAAAAAAAGATTGCTTTAACCGGGTACTCGACAGTAAATGAAGATTTAGTCCATAACACAACATGGACTTAATATAGTGTGAAATTTATCGTGTGATCTCAAATAATCTTTCTCGATATTGTAGTCCATTTTTATCAAAAACATAGCCCATTTGAGATCACAAATCAACTCTGGTTTCTGGTTAACTTTGATGAAAATCTGGTTAGAGACTTTGGTTGCAGTAAAGGCTATTGAACAAGATCTAAGGTCTTTATCTAAAATTGTCTCTTGATTTGCAAACTGGCCTAATTCATCAAAATCGCCATCATCTTGGACAAAGATAACAAATGCAACAATATATCGTTTTGCTTATCAACGACAATCAAATAAAACAAGTTCTTGATTAGCTTGGATTGTCAATCGACTTGGCAGCTGTGAAAAAGTTTCAGAGATGCAATAGAGACCATTATTTAAACAGTTCTTGATCTCGTATCTGCGTCTGAAACTATCTCTTGATTAGCAAATCAGGATTAGCTCAGAGTTGATATGAAAAGATGTTTCGAACGCTCAGTAACTCAGATGAATGTTTCGATTAATTGTTTGACATTAATTTAGATGCAATTTTTGCTCCAAGAAAAATATCGATTCTATTATGAAAATCCGAAAATGAAGAAGCAAAACGGTTTTGCCTGATAAATAAATGTTGGAATCAAAGATGGCAGCTCATGCAATGATTAATATATGTATTGAAAATTCAGTTAGCTTACAAGACATCTTGCCTCCCATTTTTTATCCTCATCTTCCTTTCATCCTCCAAACAACTGCTCCCTGTATTTTCCTCCTTCCCTGCATCCTTCCTCATCCTTCCTTCATTCAATCTACCAAGTCTCTCTTTAAACTGTATGCAATCAACATTCACTATTATTCTTCAACCCAATACTCTACCCAAACAATGTTGCTCATCATTTTTTAATTAATTTGTATCTTTTCTTGTCTTTAATCAAGTTTATTTTTAAACAATTACATCCTAAAGATGTTTAATCAACTAACGGATTCCTTAAATAGTTTAAATCACATCAGAATTGATAATTGTGATCATCCAGTTATCTGTCTGTTACTTAGGCCATTGATATACGGATTATTCAACATAGCCTCGCCCTAAAAGTGTTGTTTTGATCACCATTGTCGAGTTTTTTTCAATTTTTGGATTGATTTTAACCGTATCACTTTTCAGTCATGTTAATTGTTATTAGGACAATTAAAAAGAACCATAAGTTGGTCAAAATAATGTTCCAAATTGCAATATTTGCCAGTTTAATTTTTATAGTGCAAGGTAAATATTCATTCTGCATGTTTTGGTCATTGAGGTTACATATGATTTTTTTGAAATATTTTCACTAATAATTTTATTCGTTTTCTATCCTTTCTTTTAATAGGAGCCTCCAGCCCTAAGATCAAACCATTCAGCTTTCCGAAAAGTACAGTTGCTGGTGAAACTGTCTCAGTTACATGTGTATTATCTACAATTACTGCTCAAACAGATTTTAAATGGCTCAAAGATGGCGTTGATTTGGCCATTATTTCACAACGAGATCGAAGGTATCAATTATTACCCGCTAAAGGTGCTTCTGTTTTGTTGATTAATTCAGTTATTTTGGAGGATTATGGAAATTATACCTGCATTGTTAATACACCTTTTGGTTCAGATAAATATTCAGCGCCGTTAATTATCTACACTCCTCCTAAATGGATTCTTGAGCTGTTTGATTTATCCATGAAACAAGGAGAAGTGAAAATACTCGATTGTATGGCCACAGGAAATCCAATGCCAACAATCACTTGGTTAATCAGTGATACAACACAAGGTAAGTTTTAGTTTCTGTAGTATCGAATTTCATAATTTTCCGACTAATGTTCTTTTGTTTTATGAAAACTACTTCCAGATGAGAAAAGTTTTGCACATATTAATAGTAATTCAATGATCAAAGGGATGTCAAGCTTAGCCAATGGATCTTTACTGATTGACAGTGAAAAATTGAATTTCAAAGACAAATTCGCATACCTGCAATGTGTGGCTGACAACAAAATTGGTGAACCACTAAAGAAGATCATCAAGCTCAATTTAATAGGTAATTGTTTAACGGAATCTCAGAATTGCCTTGTGGATATGGAATCTATTTTGAAGATGATCATGTCATTATTTAAAATCGATTTATAAAAAGATTTTCCTTGTCTAAATTTTAGCTTTTTTGATTTTATTGATTTTTTCCCTTTAAGTTTGATCTTTTGGTTATTTTATGATTTGGGTTTGCTTTATTTTGTCTTTGGTTACATTTCCCTCCTTGTGAGTATTGATTTAAGTTACAGTACATTTAATTAAGACTACTTTTTTGATAAAAAATAAATCGGGTTAGATAAGGAAAACCAATGGGAAAAATTAGAGCGAAAATTAAATTTTATTTATTTTATTTTGAAAAACACAATTAAAATAAAATTACCATTTGTGTGCTTCCATCTATCCATTTATCTTATCAAAAAAGGTATTATTCTTCTTATTTTGAATGCATTGTATTTATTAGCTTCATTAATAGCTTAAAACTTGAACAACACAATGAATCTTAAATCAATCATTCACTCATTTACTAATCAACTTTTCATCTACAGTGCCTGCTCGTTTTATTGGAAATAATACTAAATTCTTTACTCAAGAAGTGTTGAAAGGAGCCAGTGCTAATCTTCAATGTTATGCCGTTGGAGATCAACCATTACACGTACAATGGCATAGAGACAAACAAATAATTGATTTCAAATCAAATACCAAATATGATTATTATGAGACCAAAACGGACAAAGGGTTGAATTCTGAAATTTTAATCCGCACAACTTCACGCTCAGATGGAGCAGTTTATACTTGTGCCGCCAAAAATAATTACGGCTCCGATGAGCAAAATATTAAACTTTTAATCCAAGAAGCTCCAGAGGCGCCTTCCAATTTACGAGTTGCTGAATCATGGTCTCGAAGTGCAACCGTTATGTGGTCTCAACCATACACAGGAAACAGTCCCCTTACCAATTATGTGCTTCTCTACTGGAATGGTGAAAAAGGTTCAGGAATAAATAATAGACTGAATGAAATTTTATTAGACCCTGGCAAGACTTCGTATACGCTCAAAGAATTAAGCCCAGGAACCGTTTATTATGTTTCTGTAATGGCCGTTAATGCCATCGGCTCTGGCCAGCCATCATCTTCACATAAATTTACTACTAGCGAAGAAAGTAAGATTTTTTCTTAAATTATACGCCGATGTTTTAATTGATAACATGTAATAATCTAAATTCTAACTATTTTAATATTATTTCAGCTCCTGGTGCTGCGCCTGTTGATGTTGAAGCTAAAGCTTCGGGATCAAGCATAGTCAAAATTTCATGGAAGGTAATTTTTAATCAACTTCATTTCCAGCGAATGGAAATAATGACGTAATTTTTTTCATCCTTTCATTTATACAGAGTCCACCTCGACAGTACTGGCATGGAAATTTGACAGGCTATTATATCCATTATAAACCTTCTGGAAATTCTCAGGATTATATTAAAACTGTTTCAGCCAATTTACAAAATGATTTGATAAAGGGATATCAGTTCAGTTTAACTGGACTTTTACGATCAACATATTATACTATTTCAGTTAAAGCATTTAATACTGTGGGCCAAGGACCTTCTTCACAAGAATTGACTGTTCAAACATTGGAAGGAGATGCTCCTAACCAGCCAAGGGTGAAAGATTATAATTTATACTCAAATACCGTCAAAATAACATGGTATCCAGTCATCGATGAAATTACAATGTATACTATTTATCTGAAAAGAAAGAATAACGATTTTTACGACAACGTTATTCCTCTTGGACATTTTCGCACAATTTATACACTTCACGGTCTTGAAAAAGATGTTGACTACTCTATACAAATTTCTGCAACTAATGGGTTCGGTGAAAGTGAACTGAGTAAACCATTGGAGGTCAAAATTTCCACTAGTCCATTCGGTAAGGATAATAAAATCAATGATAATAAATTCAATCTATATTACAATGTTTTTAATTGGCCGTTTTATTCCCTATCAACTCAGATATCTCGTTTCTTCTGACTGAGAGCAATTTAATCTTGTTGGTCGTTTTCACCACTTGTTTATTAGTTGTTTTAATTGCAATCATAGCCTCCGTTATTTATGTAAAGAAGTTTAAGAAAACGCAACAAGAAGGTAAGCATTATTCAAGACCTTATTCCTTTTATTCTAATGATTGATTTACAGTGATTCCACTTGGGCTGAACCAGTTTTCTAAATAGGAGACAATAGTTTCCAATAAGCAAGAAATGTCACTTTTAACACCTCTGGGCTAATAGGACCAACTCCAAACAGCAAGCAATGGTTTCTAAAAAGGAGAAAATGCTTTCTAAATCGAAGCAAATGTTTTTCGCTAATTTTCAATAATTTCACCGTTTTTTGTATCTTATCAAGATACCAAGAACTTTATTAATATTCAAACTATAAATTTCGGCGATTTTCGTGCATCTAATATCCTCAAAATAAAATTCAGTAATTAATTTTTTGATCGCCTAATTAACTTTACGAGTCATTTTCACTGAAAATACTCAAAAAAGACTAACATTTGCTTCTATTTAGAAAGCATTTTCTCCTTTTTAGAAACCATTGCTTGTTTTTTGGAGTTGGTCCTATTAGCACAGAGGTGTTAAAAGTAACATTTCTTGCTTATTGGAAACCATTGTCTCCTATTTAGAAAACTGGTTCAGCCCAAGTGGAATGATTGTATTATGATTATTAATGATTGTTATTTTTTATCGATTTTAGCTATTAGAAGACTTTCCAGTTTATCAACCCTGTCAAAAAGCACACCTAAATACAGTGATAAATGTGGAACAACTCGTTCGACAGCAACTTATGCCACAATAGGTCCACCAACTGGACATGTTACCATTAGATCGGCAGGATCCAACTCACAATCATCATCAGGAGGATATGGTCGAAATATGTCAGACTTGGATGATACACGAAACTATAGGAACACTTTGCTAGACGTGAAATTAATTAACGATGATTGATCTATTAATCACTGGACTACAATAACTTGAATATAAATCAAGAATCAAATAATTCAAAAAAACATTGAAGAATTGATGAAAAATATGGTGTCTTTTGGGTTCAACATCTCCAATGCTGAAAGTGACAAGCTTGGTGATTAAAAACTGGTGATATGATTTGTTGTGTCCATTAAACTTCCCAATCGTCTGAATTTGATTTATCTGATTCTATTTATTAATAAAGAAGCATATATCAGGGAAGAACAGGAACAGCAAGTGATGTAAAAACGAAACTCAAGTAGACGAAGGAATTCATCTTTTCTTCAAATTAATTTATTAAGATTAAGCAATTCTCTTTTTCATCCTCCTTTCGTCAAATCACTGTATATTCACTCTTCCCTGCACCCATTTCCATCTTTCATCCATCAACTCTTCCAAGTCAATTCTTCACAAAACATTCATAACTCTTCCTCAATCCAAGACTCTCAATACAACTCAAGCAGTTTTGCTCATCATTTTTTCAATTGATTTGTATCTTTTATTGTTTCACTTTACATTTATTTTTAAATATGTTTAATGTTTACAAAACTTCATGTTTTCTTTAATTTATATCAATTCAGAATAAGATTTGGTTATTCTGTCACTCAAAGTTAAACCATTGATTCACGGATAATCCTCCCTGAAAGTGTTGTTTTGATAAACATTGTCGAGTTGATTGTTCAATTTTTGGACTAACATAATTGTATAACCTTTCAGTCATGTTATTTGTTGATATGAAAATTAAAGAGGATCATAAGCTGGTCAAAATAATGTTCACATTACAATACAACCAGTTTAATCATGACTCAAGATAAACATTTTTGGTGTTTTAAATGCATGGTCATAAGTAATTCAATGCTTGACTCAAAATTCAACACCAGTTTCCCCAGATATCGTTCAGAATAATTAGTTGATGATTAGCACAAAAGATGATTAGCAAAATGGTTAGAGAAAATAGTGAAATCAGAAAATGGACATTCAGCTATCGACTTTGATGATGTATTAATAGATGAATATGCTGATACATAATCAAATTAATTGACTATTGATCTACTCGATCAACTTTATATAACACATCAAATAAGGATAATTAAAATTAATTTTTTGCTTTTTTGGATTTCATAGAAATTTACTTTTCTCTGATTTTTAGCTATGTGAGTTGGAGTCTGTTTCAATTTCTGGTAAAATTATCATTACATTACAATAAATGAGATTATCATTGATTTAAATTCTCTATTAATTCAAGCTGCTTGACTTAGAATAAATAATCCAATTTTATTCAACCAAGAGATTATTTTGAATCAATTATAATTTTTTGATGATCTTAATTTGGTTCGGTTCGAGAAAAAAAAGATAATTCGATAATAATGTGATACAATAACAAATAAAAGCGCAAAAAACAATTTCATTTCTCCATTATTCTGGATGAAAGATAATGGAGACTGATAATACAATTTGGAAGAACGTTAAACATTGAATAATAATTTAGTTAATTGGATTCCTCTTGGTCAAGGTTTTGTAACCAATTGAAGATCATCATGTTCCTTTCATATTTGGTCAATGGTTTACCCTTTTGTAACTCAATATCACGAACTGACAGCGAAAATAAATCATTTTGTAGTTGAATTAAGTCCAATGAAGTTGAAGTTAGCCTTTCTTGAAATTTGGAAGCTGATGAAGTGTCACCATGTTTACTGTTGTTATTAAGATCATTGTCATTGGAGTTATCTGTGCTAGTTTTGACAGGATCAATTTCATTTTTATCAGCATGACCAGTGCCTGGATTGGTTTGAGCGAAAGTTGATCTTGATATTATTGATGATAAATCTTGTTTGGTAAAACTGTTTGATGGAGATAAATTAAAAGTATTAGCTAATGCTGGAGGAATATTGGAAATTGTTTCCTTTGTCTCATTTGGTTCGAGTTGCGTGATCACAGATGATGAGTCTACATCTATTGATTTGTTAATACTAGTTAAAGATGGTCCCTCGTAGCCCTCTTCTGCTTGGACTTTAATCAGTTTATTGACCAAATCACCTTTAATCAAGTTACCCAAATCCAGGTGGCTTCGAGAAAGTCGCTCAAGAGTCCGATAAGTTGATAATAAACGTTGACGGATATACATTTGTCGCACTTTTTTGTTCATACTGTAAACAATATCCAATGGATTAAGGGTTGGAGACAATGTACCAGAAACTGAATGAGCCTGAGATGGCGAAGGTAACTGACTAACAGAAGAGATACTTCGATCACCAACCATAGCCCAGGTTGAACAAGAACGGGATGTTGCATCAAGGGATCGTATATTGGGCAGATTGAGTCTTGGATTCCAAACACAGCCACCGAAAAGAGCTATCTCGGACAAGGAACTTTTCAATCCATGAGAATCAAAACCAAATCCATCGGTAGGAAAGTTAAGACCATCGAATTGGCCAGAAGTCATGGTTATATCCGAAGTTGAAAAACTTTTGATTCGGCCTAAAACAGCTGATGAAAGGGCACCACAGTTTAAGATGAGTTCACTTTGCTCTTCAAACAGAGTATCGGTTGGAGATAGAGAGAATCTTTGTCCAGATTGCATCGAGAAACGACGAAAACCACCATATCTTTCACATGGGACTGAGAGTAATAAACCAGCAGAAGGTGTACGACAACTACGAATAAATTTGGATCCTTTTAATAGCGATAAATTTGCATGGGATAAACTGAGATCAGGAGATGAGCGAAGGTTCTCATTACTCAAAGTTAGGCTACATTCGGAGTTAAAAGATGAAGAGCAGGTAATGAGAGTTGCACTTTTAGATGAAGATAACATACCAGATGATCCTTCGGCAGGTAAATTAGTAGTATTGGTCAGTTGATGGTCTTCTGGTAAACCAGTTGAAACTGCCGATCCATAACAAGAAGTTGATGACGGCTCAATTGAGTTAACCGAATCCATTGGAGATCACTTATTAATCACAAAATTTTGATAGTAGAATAAATTGACTTAATTTACAAGTTACTCTTTAAGATATAATTTTTCCTTTGAAGCTTCGTTTTTTGGTCAAGGTTTAGCTCTCATATTACAGTTACAATTCAACACCAATTTAAAGATTTGATTAACTCTTCAAGAACTGGTATCACATTTTGTTGACAATATCAATAATAAACGCTTTCTCCTTCTTCTCCTTCCTCTCCTTCCCATGCGAGGGACACTCAATTAAATTACGTGTTGATATATCCAAACCGGAATGAACAATGAGAAAGAATTGACTTCAATTAGAAAAATATATTAAACGTGGATCAATTTTTGGTGTCAAATTTTAAATTGATTGTTGAAACAGATTAATCACAAACACAAAGCGAAACCGTCTGATGAAATTGATACCGAAAAAGCATTGGAGTTGATTGAGTAAACAATAAACTTGAAAGGAAAAAGAAAGAAAAGAATATATTAAAATATTTGAAATAATTGATTGTCATAGACAATACAGATGAATTAGGCGAGTACACAAAGGATACACTTGTTGACAATAAATTAAAATTAGACTATAGATTGTTTATAACATGAATTCAACAGAAAAACCTGAAACAGTGAAACCAGGAGAGAAGCTCAACAGTGAAAAGAGACATAGATAAAAAATAATGCATAAATGGCACAAAAACACAGATACAATAAGAAATTTTGATCTTGTCAATAGTTAATTCAATAATTCTTACTTGGCCTAATAATAGAAGAAGATAAAGATGATGAAAAGGAAGAGGAAGATGGTGGCGATGATAGAGTAGGAGACATGACAGGGAGAAAGAAATAGGAAGACAACCAGAGAAAGAAAGGGAGAACCCAGGGAATAATCTTACTCTAAAAGGAAAAAAAAGCTGAAGTAATATAAAGAGGTAAAAGGTTGAACAATGTTTAGATTATCAGCTGGGATTATTTCAAGATGATGATCGTAAAAGACTTACCATTTATGAAGAATCAATTATCACTATGGTTTTGATCATAAAGATGAGGATTTATAATCAGTCGAGTAGCAATTGTCAAACATGTTGAAGGAAGGGATAAAAGTGAGATAATCAAAATACATTTAACCTGGAAATTGGGTGGCAAGAAAAGGGCAAATTAAGGTATAAAAATGAGTGTCCATGAGATATTTTATATCCAGTAAATTGGAATGTAATAATTATATATTAGATGAAAAAGGGGTAAAATTAATTAATACAAATTTGAGGAAACAATAGAAGGCGAAAAATAAAAATAAAAAATGTTAACTAAAGGCTAAGGATATCAATGTCAAGAAATGTACAGTCAATTGAAGAGGAGAAGACGCGATTACCTTAGGAGGGATTCAAAAGAGCAGAGAAAGGATAAAAAAAGGATGATTTAGACGATGGTAATAATGATGATGATGATGATAAAGATGATGATGAAAAATAAATGGTATAAAAAAAGGAAAGATGAAACCCAATTCAGTGAAGACAAACAAGAAGCAATGCGCAAAGAAAGAGTCAAAAATGAAATAAATTGAGGTTACCTGCGTGCTCAGGTTAATTCTCAATTTTATATTGATCTATTGATCATCCTTTTTTGTGATCAAACAATATTTAATTGCGTGTTTACTTAATTCAAGAGTGAATTGAATATTTGCAACATACGATTCACTTAAGATTTAAAAATGGGTAACAAATGTATCAATTTTTATCAGATTCATTTGGCTTTTATACAAGCTAAAGGTTTATTTGTAAACACTAAACGTTTATACAATAAATTGTTTTGTATTAGTTCAATATTATTTCATACAAAACTAGGTTACTCAGGATGATTCAACCATGAATTAGGTATGATTTACCTTTCATTATCAATAAATAAACATAATAATATCATTGGCAAAAATAGACTCGCAAGGCTTAGGCAAGTAATAAAGCAAACATTGAAAGTTTACTGAATATATACAGTTGTAAATGGTTAGGTAAATATAACTATTATTGTGAAAGAAATGATTCTAATTTAGTTAATTAGTGTTGCCATCTAATGCAATGATAAATAAAGGCACAATTTTGATGCAATGGTTGAAAATTGTGAACTTTATCAAAGTTGGCTTGAAAAATTGTTGGCAACAATAAGTGAATGAAATGCGTTAAAAAAGAGCAACTCTTGAATCAAAAGCTGGAACCGTTGAAATTTCCATTCCATTGCTGTTTCAATATTTCTTGCCCAGAATTTGTTGTATCATGTTTTTTCCTTGTCTCACTTTCACTTCTTAAATAACCTTGTATCAATGGTAAAAGAAGCTACCAAATATTTGTGGTTCCTTTACATTCAATTGTACTTGAGATAAAAAATTAGTCAAATGCAAAACATTTGTTTCCACTTTTACCTTTCATTGCAAGTGATCAGCTTTTTTTGCCTACATTTGTGAGTCTTGGTTCAGTTTGATTTGTTCAATTGTTTCTTCTGTCCAAACTGGTCAAGAGTTGAAAATGGATTCAGAGCAGTTTCTCGAGATTGCTAATCAAGTGGCAAAGTTGAAAATGTTTCCCTACTTTGAGATAGCTCATGCTGTTATTAGCTGTCTTTACATACGAGATGATCTTGGTCCAAGTGGTCATACCTTTTCAAGGAAACATCCATTTGCCTGTTGGATCTCATCGATGGTCAACATCTTTGCCAGTCCAATTTTGGCCAATTTTTTACTTGGCGAACCCATTTTGAGTGCTTTCAAGAGTTCAAATCAAGTCATGTTAGCCACAATTGTTTGGTATCTCATATTTTATTCACCATTTGATTGCATTTACAAAGTTACCAAATTTATGCCTTGTAAAGTTATTCTTGCTTCAATGAAAGAGATTGTTAGATGTAAAAAGATTCATGATGGAGTTTCTCATGCTTCCAAGATTTATCCAGATGGATATCTTATAATGACTATTGTCGGAACAGCTAAAGGTTAGTTGATAACTTGAATGACTCTGATTTACAATTTTGTCTTTTCTTTTCAGGCAATGGTGCAAGTTTTATCAAAGTGTTGGAACGCTTAATAAGAGGAGTTTGGACACCAAATGCTATGGAAATGATTACACCAACTTTGTAAGTTTAACTCTAAAGGCTTTGATAATCTAATTTGTTTAATCTTATTTTTATTTCTGTAAATGAACAGTCCAACGAAAGCTTCAATTGTTGCTTCCATCATCTTTATTATTGACAAGAAAACGGATTGGATTTCAATTCCTCATGCTCTTATTTACTTTGGAGTTGTTATCTTTTTCGTCTATTTCAAATTATCATCCATGCTATTGGGTATTCATGATCCTTTCATCCCATTTGAAAACCTGTTTAGCTTCATCTTCTTGGGAGGTGTTTGGGATACTTTGACTCGTTTATTAACAAATGGTAAGTAAATTTGATTTAGTTAAACATTCGTTTCTAATCTTGTTCACTTGTTTTCAATTAATTTCAGGTAAAAAAGGAGAAGAGCCCAAGATTGAGATTCCTAGACGAGAAGAAATGAAGAAAAAGGAATGATTTGGAAGGAAAAGTAAACAGGATAAATCTGATGCTCTTCAAGTACTTCTTGGTGTAAATATTACATTAAACAATATTATAAAAAACTGATTTCATGTTTTCATATTTCACTCAGTCAAGAATCTATTAGAAGAATATCTTCTGAAAAATATCAATTGAAAAATGAACGGACATTCTGTTTCAGTGATACATTAATATTTATTTTTATTGAAACATTATTATTTGATTGCTGAATATAACTCTATTAAATGGAGAAAGGTTGAAACCCAATTTAACGTGTTGATCGCGAATCCTTAGCTAAATTAATTAAAGCAATGTTATTTAAGTACAGTTTTCACTCGAAGCCAGAAAATAATTCATGAGACTTTTACAAAAATACATTTAGATGATAATATTAATATTATAAGAGTCTTTTTGATCGATTTGGCTCGATTAATTGATTAAAGAAGTATATTTATCACAAACACGCACAATAATGTTATGATAATATTGTTACTATGAAAGTTCATGGAATGAAATAAATAAGAAAAAACTCGAAGATATAAATGTACCATTTAAAGTGTTTTTATTGAATTTATTGTTATTAAAGGTTGTTTCTTTTTTTTCATTTCTGAAGATCAAGGATGGAGAAATAAATTGTAATCAAACTTCAACCGGCATCATTTACAGTATTTTTACTTGAAACTAGTTGTAATTAAAAATTATTAACCCTACCAAGATTTGATTCGGTTGATTAATTACATACATTGGATGAACAATAGCTGCAATTAATGTATTTATGTTATTAATTTTATTGAGTGTCATAGGAAACGTAAACGCAAGTGCCTAAATGTTCGCGCAATCATAAGATCACCTTAAAAGGAGAAGAAGATTCACAATCTAATCTAATCTAATACTATTGTTTAAATTATCTAGAGTCAAGAGCCTAAACGTGATATAGCTATAATAATTCTAATAGCAATTAGTTGAACACGAAAAATGACTTGGTAAAGAAAATAAACCAAAAAATGAATTCAATTGTTAAATAGAAGAATTCAATTTTATTTATCAATTTCAATCATTGATCTCCATTTTGGTTTGGTCTTCATTCTGAATCCGATGAAGGATTCTTCTTTTTAGAACTGCGCTTATGCTTTTTGTGTTTCTTGTTTTTCTTATTCTTTTTATGTTTCTTCTTCTTTTTCTTTTCATAATCACTTTCGGGTGATCGTCGACGTTTGACAGGTGATCTAGAACTTGAACGTGAACCTGATTCACTTCGAGATCGGCTTTTACGATGTGAAACGGACCTAGAGCGTGATTTAGACCTAGACCTAGATTTAGATCTTGATTTTGATAACGCTGGTGATTTAGAGTCTGAATGGTGAGACTCTGCAGAGTCGTTGCTAGCAGATGAAGCTTTTCGCTTACGGCCTTCTCGTAACTTGTCAGAAGGAGCAGGAGAACCATTTTTATCATCATTTTCACGAGCACGATACAATCGTTTACTTTGTGTACTTGCTTCGGTTGGTGTGGCATCATCCTTGCGCGGGCTTTTAGATTTAATTGAAGATTTCTTGTGCTTTTTATTTTTCTTATGCTTCTTCTTCTTTTTCCTTTCATAATCACTTTCACTATTGTCACTACTTCGTAAACGTGGTGAAGGTGTACGTTCACTTGCACGGAAACTTGGCGATCTACGTCGATATGGTGAGGGTGATCTTCGTCGAGGTGATGAAACAGATCTTCTACCCCTAGAACGTGAGCGTCTCATTCTAGGCGAAGGAGAGCGATAATCTCGTCGAGGAGACCAACGTCGAGATGAGAAACGACCGCGAGGAGACCGTCTATAGAAAGGTCGCCTGGGAGGAGATCTAAACCGTCTGGGACTTCGCCGCCTTCGAGGTGAAAAAGATCGACTGCGTCTCCTGCGAGGTGAAAATGAACGACTTTTCCTTCTCCATCTTGGACTCGGTGATCGACGTCGTCTAGCAGGTGATCTAGAACTTGACCGAGAGCCGGATAGAGATCGACTTTTACGATGAGAACCAGACCTAGATCGTGATTTAGATCTTGATTTAGATCGCGCTGGTGATTTTGATCGTGAATGACGGGACTTATCTGAAACATTACTACCAGAAGAAGCTCTTCGCTTGCGACTTTCACGTTGCCTATCAGAAGGGTCTGGAGAGCCATTTTTATCACCATCTTCACGGACACGATAAAATCGTTTACTTTGCAAATTTGGTTCAGTTGGTGCACTATCATCCTTACGCGGACTTTTATTCAATTTTGATGAAGGTGAAGGTGATCTTGATTTGTTTGGACCAGATCGATGACTAGTCGGGCTATTATCAGCAACTGGTGGTGTAATTTTCTTGATAATTTCTTCTACTTTGTTAGGTGAGGTTGATTTTTTATTAGCTTCTTGCTTTTTCAATTCAGCTAATTTAGGAGGTATACCATCAGGAGATGCTTGAGCTTCCAACAAATGATCCCATAGCTCGCCCATGAACTCACGCGCCATTTTACCATTTAGAAAGCCGGTCAGATTAATTTGTAATAATTTACCATCAGGAAATTTGTTTTCAGTTAATTGATTGATAACAAAATCAACCACAACATCATCATCCATCATTAAAATTTCCTCTAATCGTTTAGATATCCAAGGTTTTAAGGCATCCAAATTTACTTTAGTTAGATCAACCTTGTGATTAAGGTTTTCAGAAAACTTTAATTGCTTAAGCAATTTTTTCTGTTTATCTGAAAAACGATTGTCCTGCTCAGCTGAAGTACCACGGAAGAAACCCGCGTCCGTCATGTTGTTTTCCAAATAATGTAAATCACCTCACAAATAATAACCGATTGTTATCAAAAAAGAAGGGAACAAAGGAAAGGTGGGGAACTTGATGGCTAAAAAGATAATGCAAAATAGTTGAAGGAACCACAGAAATTAACTTTAAACAAATTAAATACTTGGTAATCAAATAATTCAAAATGGAGTCATTTCAACCGTTTTCAAACGCTTTGACTAATAATCAATGACTAAAGGTGTTCCGATACATCAGAATACTCGATACATTCAGATATTTGTCGCTCGATATCGATTCACAATGATATATCGATGTTTTTTTCTCAGAATTAATTCTCATCTTTATTTTTGATACATCATTGAATCAGATAAATTTTTGATCATGTTGAACAATTTAATTGAAATTCTCATGTTTTACTTTATTCTGCTATTCTTTCTCTTCTCTTTCTATTATCAATAAATATCGATACTAGACTCTTCGATTTTAATCCATATCGATGTATCTTATAAACAAGATTTACTTGAAATAGCTTATTCTCACTATTTTCACTACACAAAACTAAACATGTTTTCAAGTTATTAATATTATTTTCATCTGCTTTTATGAACTCTTCATCATGCTTTTTACGCATTGCGTATCTTTTTTATTAAGCTCTCATCGAATGAACTACATGTAATTTACGCCTTATATTTCTCATTAGTTCAGTTTATTTATTTACGAATTCGTTAGGGCGAGAATGGTTTCTGAGCAAGAATTGGACTCAATAATGATCTGCTTTAGCCGGATATAGTGAAACGGAGTCTATTTTATTGACTTTTTATTGGTTGATGTGAATGTCGACTAACTAAGGTATCTACTTGAATAATTTCTCTTTTATACGTAAAAGATTCTCAAAATGCTTCTCGAATTGAGATTGAATAATTCATCAGTAATCAGAATCAGAATAAGATGAATGGTTCAAGCATCTGTCCTTTTCGGCTCGTATTTTTATTTTGCTGTTTAAACAATAAGATTGGCTGTAAAGAAAACAATTTCAAAATACAGCCACCGAAATTGCTACATACAATTTTTACATTTTATTCAATGCAACTAACACGTTCCTCAGTCTGAATTGAAGAGATGGTACTTTTTATCCAATATTGATTAAGTTCATTGATTAATCTATCTCAATATGCGCATAAGATATTAAAAATGTTTGCAACTCAATTTCGGTGGCTGTCTATCTGAATATTTTTGATTCTCATGATTTAATTACAGACAATCTGAGCTATGACAGTGGTTAAAGATTTTGTGATGAAATTGTCTCGAATTCTTATTAGAATGAAACCAAAAAATTCTTAAAGTTAAACTTTATCAATGATAAAACGAAAAATAATATGTACAACTTAATAGGTTAAATGAAATAAAAACACGACAATATCTAACAAGCAATATTGAGAGACACATTTGATGTTTGATGAGTGTAACAAAGTTTATTTTAATGAGTATTTTTCTACCGTCATTGGTGATGATTTGGGTCAAACGACAGCAGATACAAGTTAAGGGCGGAAAGGATTAACAAAGTAATTGACAATCAGAGGATCGTTTGTAATACACACGCGAAATCAACATAATTTATTTAATTTAAACTTCATCTTCAGTGATAACATTTAGAGCGACAGTTGCATTGGTTTCTCCAGTTTTATCGACTAATTTAACAGTAAATTGTCCAATATCAGTAGTTAACGTTGATGGAATCGTCAATGTATGTTTTTTAGGACTTTCCTTCGTCAATTTATGGTGGCTGCTTGTTTCATTGATAATTTTGCCGTCTTGAAGCCATTGAACTAAAAAAAGAAAAAGATAAAGAGGAAAAAATTAAAATCAATATTCAATGTTTGAACATTTTTAAAACAAAATTACTAGACGATCTAAATAATTACCTGATTTTACAGCCATTTTAGTTTCAACAGTGAAACTTGCGCTCTTTCCTAATTGGACAGTTAAAGATTGTGGAAAGGTTGCTATTTCGGGACCTTTGATTTCTTCTTCAGGTACTGTTGATTAATAAAACAAATTGTTGTTATTGATTTGAAATTTTATCCCTTGCTTCATTGACTAAACTAAACTTACCAATAACTTGAAGAGTACAACTAGAGAAAGCTTCTCCAGCTTCATTGAAGGCTTCACAGGTGTAAGTTCCAGCATCTTCAGGGTAAATTTCAGTTATAATCAAGTAATAATCATCTCCCTCATTTTTATATTGGAAGTCCTTGCTTGGTTTAATTTCTTTGTCATTGTGTAACCAAATTACTTCAAATTTGTTGGCTCCTAAAAGATGGTGTTAAAATGAAAATTAAAAATTGACAGTTATTGAAAATTTGTGACTGCTATAAATCAAATAAAAACAATTGAAATAACAGTGTTTACCTTTGATTGTACACTGAAGTGTTACATCCTTATCACCATCTTTAACAATCTGACTTCTAACATGAGATATTATTCTTGGTGAGCCTTTTGCTGGTCCTTGTTTAGTACCGGGAGTGATTGTTGGCATTGCTGAAAAATACAAAACAATTTAGTTAGCTTGCGAACTAGTTTGGAAACAATTCGATAAAAATTTTATTTGTTTGGTTGGAAACTTACGGATAACGGTTAATTTGCATTTAGTTGTTGCGGAACCTTGAGAGTTTGTCGCTGTACAAACATATTCACCCTCATCTTCGGGGAATACTTCACCGATGGCAAGTGAAGCAACGCCATTTTTATATTTGAGATCAATTATGTCTGATGAGCGAAGGATTTCGCCGTTTTTACTCCATTCGACTTGTGGCTCTGGAACTCCTTTTATACTACATTTCAACAATAACGAATCTCCATCTTTAATCTCTAAATCGTTTAACTTTTCTGTGAATTCAGGCGCACTTTCAGCATCTTCTGGTACTAAAAGGGACAAAATGAAAATAACAAAATAATAAGGTTAATCAATTAGGAATGATTGGTAAAAAATTTGCATCTCTATGAAGACTTACAAGCTAGATCTTTAGTTCGCGCCCTGGAAGGACTGATATCACCTGATTCGCTTTCACCATAACGTCTTGAAGGTTTTGGGAGGGTCAAGTCTGGACTTGGGGAGATTGGTGTGGTTCCTCTAGGAGATGGAGCTGAATGACTGCCACCGCCAACACTTGGACTAAGTGAACTAGCTGGTGATAATCGTGACTTGAAATCGGTCTTCAAACCTGATTTATAATCACTTTTGTGATCATAAGATGATGCTGATGACTTGTAGTCAGACTTGTGATCCGATTTGTAATCTGATTTGTAATCTGATTTATATTCTGATTTATGAGCGGATGAAAAATGACGAGTTGATGATGATGTTACTTTAGAGCTTTTAGTTGAATATTGATCACTGGTACTTGATGAGCTTGAATAAGTTGAGCCAGCTTTTTTAAATGTAGATGAAGAGTAATCTTTTTTATATGAGCCAGTGTATGATGATGAATCCTTGTATGCTGCAGTTGATGATAATGATGAGCTCATGTGGGGTATGTCATTGATAAATGAGCCCATTGGTGATGCTATGGAAGGTGCTGTATGAGCAACCGTTGGTTTGGGACCAGAAACAACTGGTGCACCATGTGGTGCAACAGTCTTGCGTTTCTCTACGATAACTTGGCATGAACTTTCAGCCTCTCCATATGAATTAGTAGCTGTAACAGTGTATTTGCCTGCATCTTCCAATGTACATGATTGAATGTCACAGGTAATAACACCAGCAGAGTGGGACATTGTATAATCATATTTAGACAATTCTTTGCCATCTTTGAACCAACGAATCTCTGGCGCTGGTTTGCCTTGGAGACAGGCTAAAAGTTTAACACCAATACCACTCTGGATCACACGAGGTCTCAAATGGAATGTGAAAACTGGTGCACAGTCAGGTTCATCAAGCCATAATGGTGGCGGTGGATCACGTCGACGAACCTTGGGTTCATCCAAGCGAACTTGTGGTATATCAAGTGGCTTGGATTGCACATTCAGGAAAACTGGTTCTTCTCGCCAGCCATACGTATTTTCAGCTCGAATAATGTATTCACCACGATCATCCAGTTTACACCTATTGATAATAAATGTAAAATCATTTCCTCCATAGCGTTTCATGTATTTAACGCTTTGTTTCAGTTCAGTGTTATCATGATACCATGTAACAGTAGCTGGAGCTGCTGCAATAACACGACAGAAAAATTTAGCTGCTTGTCCTTCGTATGCGAAGGTTGATTGAGGTCGTATAACAAATCGAGGAGCAGCCTCTCGTCTATCAATGTACGTTTCATGGATCTTGTACCTTTCTACGTGAAGTTTACGAAGAGAAGAGTAATTTGAAATGTGACCAATGGGTAATAATACGGACCACCAGTAATCACCATATTTAGCTCGAATACGATCACGAATTGGAACGTATTTTCTATTGGATATTGGAGTTGTTCCTCCGGTTCCCTTGAGCCATGCATGTTCAAGACACTCATGAGCCGTAAGTCTCTTCTCCTTATGGCGTGTTAGTAATTTACGAATAAAATCTTTGGCCTCGGAGGAAATGTTGCGGAAGGCATCTTCATCAAAGTCCCAATCACAGGCTTTAACATTTTTCAATGTTTCAATATCATTGTCACCAGCAAAAGGTGATAAACCGCTAAGCAATACATAGGCTAGAACTCCGACAGCCCACATATCGGTATAGAAACCAACAGGTTCTCGTTCAACAATTTCTGGTGCGGCAAACTCGGCTGTTCCAGTTGATATTTTAATTACCTCATTAGGATCCAATTTGGCTGCCAATCCAAAGTCAATAATCTTTACGGCACTAGAGTTTTTAGTTTGACACATAATATTTTCGGGTTTTAGGTCTAAATGAATGATATTTTTCTCGTGCATGTGTTTAACTCCTTCACAAATTTGTCTCATGTAGTTGATTACTTCGGCTTCTGACATGTGATAGCCTTCGGTGGTTATCCTTTCAAATAACTCTCCACCAGACATAAATTCATAAATCAATATCATTTCATCATCATCTTCAAAAGCATCATGCAAACGTATCAGCTTATTGTGGTGAAGTTGATTCATTATGTCAATCTCTTTACGAATCACAGATTTTTCATATGGATGAGCAACCGGAATGAATTTAGCGGCAAATATTTGACCTGATCGTTTTTCACGGCACCTATGGACCACACCAAAAGCTCCTGTACCAATTTCTTCCAGAATGTCATAGAAATCATAAATAGATGATGTTTTAATATCAACTGGTCCCTGGAATTTGATATCTTCCGTAACAAATTGATCATAATTGGTAATTTTTCCTTCATCTTTACCTCTAACTTTACGCCCATGAGCATCCGTTAACCAGTGACGTTTCTTGAGCTTATCTTTTTCACTTGGTCTAGTTTTAATAACACTTGTAACATCAGAAGGTTCACTTCGTCCATAAATATTTTCAGCATAGACTCTAAATTCGTATTCTTTTTCGGGATTTAATCCACCAACTTGGTGAAGAGTAAATCGAGTATTAGCACAACGAACCCACGTTGACATTGTTGGCTCCTTCTTTTCAATCATATAATTGGTTATAGAGCTTCCTCCATCCCAAGCTGGTGCCTTCCATGACATTGTAACAAACTCATCACCAACTGTCTCAATGATTGGGAATCGAGGTGGATCTGGACGATCGGATATTGAAACTTTAATGACAGCTGAATCCATACCGAGTTCATTTTCAGCCTTGATTGAGTATAGGCCATTATCTTCTCGTGATGCATCTCGAATAACCAAGATTGCGTGCCTTTCTTTGATTTGTACATCAAAATGAGCACCAGATTCAATCTCTTCACCTTCCTTGAACCACTTTATTCGTGGTTTAGGGAATCCAGTGAAAGGTATTTTTATAATAACATTTTCACCTCTATCGAAACATGCCATATCCTTGAATCTAGGTGGCACATGTATTTTAGGCGCTGTTTTAATAATCAATTCAGCTCGAGATGTTCTGGTACCTCCTTTGTTAGATGCTCGGCAAGTGTATTCATCAGCATCCTCACCATAAACATTTGAAATTCCCAAAATGTAATTATCTCCATCCTTGAGAATTGCATATTTACCTCCATCGTGAATCTCCCGCGCTCCTTTGTACCAAGTAACATGAGGTGTTGGCATTCCCGTAATTGTACAACTAAATTGAGCCGATTTATTTTCAATAGCCATTACGTTTTTCAAAGGTGTCACAAATTCAGGTGGAATAGCAGCTTCTGGATCTTTTATCTTGACTGAACCCGAAGCTTGTGAAGGTGGACTGTTTCCTGCTTCATTCACAGCAAACACTCTAAATTCGTATTGTCGATCTTCAATTAAATTACTAATATTGATTTGAGTTGCATGACACAATGAAATTGGATTGACAGCTTGCCAACCTTGTGTTCCAACTTCTCGTTTTTCTGTTGAAAATAAAACAATAAACGTGTTAAACATTTTCAAACATTTCTTTTGTGTAAATTAATCAATCAAAACAGCAAGGTCTTGATAAATAAATCATCAAAATATAACTTACCAATAAAGTAACCAAGAATACGAGATCCACCATCTGATTCTGGTTTTTCCCATGAAAGGTTAACAAAATCACCGCCAACCTCTGTAACTTGAGGAATGCCTGGTGCTGAAGGTGGATCAAACGGTAATTTAGCAATTATCGGTTTATCAGCAACCAAAGGAATACTTTGACCATTTTCATTGACAGCCATAACACGGAACAAGTATTCACCATTTTGAGTTAATCCTTGAACAACAGTTGTTGTATCACGACAGGTCGAACTAACAGTAACCCATTGACCCATAGATGTTTCTTTCCTTTCAACAACATAATGAGTGATTTTACATCCTCCATCATATTTTGGAGTTTTCCAGGCCAATGTAGCTGAATGTTGATTAACATCGGTAATTACTAATGGACCGATTGGAGGTCCTGGTAATCCGGTAACGAGTAGAGTAAAGTTAGCATCAGCAGATCCACTATCATTTTTGACAACCAATTTGTATTTTCCTTGATCACCTTTAGCAACATCTCGAACAAATATGATCGCATAATCATCAAACAATGTTACTTTCAGATGTTCACTTTCAGATACTTCGAGACCGTCTTTATATAAAGTAACTTCAAATGGACTTGATCCACTGAAGTATATTTTAACTTTACCGTTATCATGTTCAGGTAAGTAGACTTCTTCAGGACAGCGAAGTATTGAAGGTGGTGATGCGATTTTAAGATCAGCTGAACATCTATCAGATCCTAATGGATTTGTAACTTCACAAGTATATGTACCCTCATCAACTTCGAGTACTTCATCAAATACTAGACGGTAAACTCCTTCACCATCATCAAGAGCTCGAATACGGTTGCCAAGTAAAACTTCAACACCATTTTTAAGCCAACGAGCCTTTGGAACGGGTTTACCTAAAGCTTCACATTCAAAGCGAAGAGTTCCCTTCAAATTGGCATTCTTGTTGAACAATTTACGAACAAATTCTGGTTTAACTCCATCAGCAATGTCGGTTATTTTGACTGGCTGAGCAAGTGTACAAGGTTCACTTTTACCTGCAGCGTTGACAGCAGAAACTTGAAATTCGTATTCATTGTTCTCGATAAGGTTAAGAACAGTATATTGACAATCAAGGCAACCATATTCGTTGACTTTAATCCAATAGCTGCTGCCCTTTTCTCGTCTCTCAACAACGTAGGCATTGATTTTAGAGCCACCATCTGATCTGGGTTTTTCCCAGGCCAAATCAGCGTATGATTTACCAACTTTAGTAATGTGAAGATTTTGTGGTGGAGAAGGTACACTGAATTTGGGTCGAGTTTTAACCAATCCAGATGATTCACTAGGTTTACTGAAACCAGCAGCATTTTTAGCTTTCACTCTAAACTCATAATCATGACCTTCGATCAATCCAGAGGCAATCCAGGTTGTTTCACGAAGTAGGAATGGATTAGATACAAGCCAACGACCATCCATGGGATCGCGATATTCAACTTGATAGCCTTGAATCTTGGATCCACCGTCATGCATAGGTCTTTCCCATGATAAGGTGACATCATTTGGTGCAACATCTGTAATTGTTGGTTTACCCGGTGGATCGGGAACATCGAATGGGAATTTAGCTGTAATGGGTCCATCAGTTTCCAAAGGTATAGAAGTACCATACTGATTTTCAGCGCAAACACGGAAATTGTATTTTTTACCAAGCTCAAGGCCCATTACATTGTAATGACAGGTTCGACAGAAAGAGCTCAATTTGGTCCACATCTTTGTCACTGGATCTTGCTTTTCAACAACATAGTTTGTGATTGGACTTCCGCCATCATCAAGTGGAGGTCGCCAGGATAAAGTACAAGTTTCAGGTGTAATATCAAATACATCCAAAGGTCCTTGTGGTGGACCAGGTTTATCAACAACTTGAACTCTACAAGTGCATGAATCGGTTCCTTCAGAATTGGTTAGTCTTAATGTGTAACTACCAGAGTCAGTTCGTTTAGCCTTTTTATTGGTCAATATAGTAAATGCTACATTAACCTCTGAATAAACACGATCATCAGGTATAACAATGGTTCCGTTGATAAGCCATTCAGCTTTGGGCAAAGGATAACCATTGAAGGGAACACGAATGGTGAACTGTTCACCTGCCATGACAACTAAATCTCTTAAATGGAAACCAGAGTCAATCTTAGGTGGACAGGCTGGATGACGGGCAAATATTCCGTCCGAGGCTTCACTGAATGGTCCTTGACCTGCAGCGTTAACAGCAGCAACTCGGAATTCATATTCACCATTTTCTTGAAGACCTCCGATTCGGTGGTTAAGCTCTTGAACTGGATTAGGATTGACTCGAGCCCAATTTTTATCACCAACCTTTCGCTTTTCTATCACATAACCAATAATAGATGAACCACCATCATCTCGTGGCTTAGACCAGCCAATGGTAATTGAATCAGGTGATGTTTCCAGACTTCGAGGTATTCCTGGAGGACCTGGAGGATCGAATGGAAGTTTGGCCAGAATAGGTTCAGATGTTTGAGCTGGGTCACTTGTACCATATTGATTTTCAGCCATAACACGGAAATCATATGATTTTCCGACAGTCAAGTTACGAACACGAATATCAGTGCCAGAAGCAAAGCTACTAACTCTAGACCAAGTATTGGCACCAACCTCACGTTTTTCAACAACATAATTGGAGATTTCAGCTCCACCATCGTCTTTTGGTGGATTCCAGAGAAGAGTTAATGAATCACCGTCAACATCTTCACCACGAACGTTTTGAGGTGGACCAGGTCGATCAAGAACTTTGACATTCAAAGAGACAGAATCTGTTCCACATGGATTTTTAAGTGTAACCATGTAACGTCCAGTATCATCACGTTTAGCTGATGAACAAGCAAGCAAGACATAATCATCGCCTACTTTACTCATTAGTCGTTTATCTTCCTCATCGATGGGTTTATCTTCATTCATCCAATGAGCCGTTGGTTTAGGGAAGCCAACGTACGGTATTTTGATTACAAACTCTTGACCTGCTTTAACTGTGATATCTTTAACTCCTGATGCATCGATTCGTGGTCGATCAGGTTGTGGTTCAATTTTGGTTAAAGCCGAAGGAACAGAGGGTGGACTTTCGCCCATTTCATTAACAGCAACGACACGGAACTCATATTCCTCGGATTCTTGTAGCCCGGAGACCACGAAACTAGTATCAGGAACTGGAACTTCATTGCAAGCTTCAAACTCTTTAGCGCCTTTGAGACGTTTCTCAACAATATAACCAATAATTTTGGCACCTCCATCGTCTTTGGGTTTCCGCCATCTGACTCTTCCACCATTTCTGGTGATGTCAGTAATTTCAATTGGACCCTCAGGAGGAGAGGGAACATCAATCACAGTTACTTGAATTGTTACTTGATCTTTTCCTGAACTATTGACAGCAGTAACAACATATTTTCCCGAGTCTGATCTCTTTGAATTACGAATGGTAAGTTTTGTATTGTTGTCGGTATTTTCAAGATTAAAGTGATCATCTCCACGAATTCCTTGATCGTTGAGAGTCCAAGTTACTGTTGGTGCAGGCTCACCAATAACATCTTTTCAAATACAAAAATAATATACATATTATTTCCACAATTAAATCAACCAGCCATAATTTTTATTGATTTTACTAGTTTTCAATAGTTAGTAACTTACGGTAATATTTGCGTTTCAAAATGAGTCAGGTTTTCCATTGAATACATGCATTCAATTTACCATGCTAATATCATCATAAGATTCAATACACAAGGTTAGTTTCTAATTCGGATTGAGTTAAGATTCGTTCAAATTATAGTTCCAAGACAATTAAATGTTCCAGAAATAGCTTTAGAATAAATGATTGAGATTTTATCATAATTTGACATTGCAAGCTTAAGCTGATAATCTTGGGATAAATAGTCATGCAAGAAAGATTTTTAATCTTTGAATTTGTGATTTTGTTTTTCGGATTAACGTTAGATTAAAAGGTTGAAAAATGTTCAATAATAGACTTGAGATATGCAGTTGAAACTTACCAGCATTGAACCGAATAGTTTGACCGGCATTGATACGTAAGTCTTTGAGATTTTTTCTGTCGATTTGTGGAGCAACTGTAATCAAAAATATTGTAATTTAATGTTTTTGAACAACATTTTTTCAGATGAGAAGCTTCAAATTTACAAATTACTTACGATATCTAGGTTTGGCAAGGAATGAATTTGAGGGAAGACTAGGTTCTCCTGGTCCAGCTTTGTTATGAGCAATTACTCTGAAAGAATATTCTTTTCCTTCGGTAAGGAAAGGTACGGTTCCTTTGCACACATTACCTGGAACTTCGACAGCATCAGTCCATTTAGTCGATCCTTTCTCTTTCTTCTGAATTGTATAATGTGAAATTGGAACTCCTCCATCAGTTGCAGGCGCTTCCCTTTTGATCGATTAATGAAAGATAGAATCATAAATTAAAAAATTCCAGATATAATATTCATAATAATATATGCTTATAATTAAGAAATCATTCGTATTGTCTAATAAAAAATTGTAAACTTATAAATTTACCATTTAAGATCACAATGATCACCACTCCAATCAGTTGCTTCGGGTTTACCAGGCTGACCAGGAGGTGAGAATGGATCTTTGGCAGTGATTGGTGCAAGTGTTTGCAATGGTTCAGATTCACCCTCCTTATTAACAGCTTTTACTCGGAATGAATAGTCTTTTCCTGGAGTTAGTCCGGTAACATCAAATTCAGGTAAAAATGTTTTACCAACTGGGACCCAAGATCCTGTATCAGGATCTAACTTTTCAACTAAATAGCCATCAAGAGGCATTCCTCCATCGTCTTTAGGTTTATTCCACTTCAATTTACATCCATTTTTGTTAACATCACTAACTTCCAATGGTCCCTCTGGTTTACCAGGTTTACTTACTACAGTAACTTCCACGTCAGCTTCGTCCATACCGTATTGATTTTTAGCAACAATTCGATAAACGGCTGAATCTTTTCTTTCAGCTCGATCACAATTCAATTTAGTATTATATGGCTTATTGGTGATGGTTAAATCAGTAGTTTCTCTCACAGGAGAGTCTTTGATAAACCATTGTACATCTGGCGCTGGTTCACCTTGAACATTGACATCAAAACTAAAAGCTTGACCTGCCTTGATAGACACGGGTTTCAAATTTTTACGATCAATTCGTGGTGGTAATTTTCTTGGTTTACATGTTACTGGTTTACAAGGTTCACTTGGAGCACCTTGTCCTCCAGCATTCAAGGCACGAACTCTGAACTGATAAGTTTCACCATTTTGTAGGTCCGTCACTTTAACTTCAGTTCCAGGTCCATCAGTTTGTGCAGCTTTCACCCAGCGACTTGAATCAGCGCTCTTCTTTTCAATAATGTATCCTGTTATTGGAGACCCGCCATCTTTCATTGGAGCCGTCCATTTAAGATCAACATGATTTTTATCATAATCAACAACCTTTGGCATTCCAGGTGCGTCAGGAGTATCAAATGGATTCTTGGCGATAATGGATTGATCTGCTTCTAAAGGCTCAGACTCACCCTGAGCGTTTATAGCAGTAACTTTGAATTTATACTCTTGATTTGGCTCCAAGTTAGCAACTTCCATTTCTGGTCCATATGCTTTACCTGTGTTGAAGTAATTAAAAAGTTAAACCATTGGAATGCAATTTAACTCATCACTTGCTTAATTTTGATGATCTTAAACAGTCATGTTAAAGTCAAAAGCAAAATAATGAGCACCAAAAACATTTATGTTCCCTGATTTGTCAAAAAATGAAATTCTAGTAATTTATGGGTTACTTTACTCATATCAATGATTCAATTAACTTTCTTTCTGTCGAAATAAATGAAACGAAAGTTGAATCTTTTAAACTTACCACATGGAATCCATTTTCCAGTTGCTGGTTCCATTTTGTAAACCTGATAATAGTCTACAGGTGAACCACCATTGTCTTTTGGTTCCTGAAAAATCGTTTGAAGATTGCATATTGTGAGTATTTTTTATCTCAAACAAATTTGATAGTAAATTCATGAAGCAAAAATAGATATCAGTTGGAGTTAAAAATTGATTTTGAAAACTTACTTTCCACTTGAGCTTGCATCCTTCGGCGTGAATGTCTGAGATTACCAAAGGTCCTTCTGGAGCTGTTGGTTTATCCAAAACATTAACTCTAACAGTTGCCTCGTCCTTTCCATTAGGATTTGTAGCAACAATTTTATAAACTCCAGCATCACATCGCTCAGCGACTGGAACTAAAAGTTTTGTGCGATAAGCTGGACTTTCTATAGAAGCTCGACCTCCAGTTGATAATGGTTTATCATCCAAAAACCATTGAACTTTCGGAGGAGGCTCACCGAATACTTTGACATCAATTTTGAGTGGTTTTCCAGCGTGTAAAGTAATATCTTTGATTGGATCAACACGTGGAGGAACGTTACGAGCTTTAGCTGTAACAGTATCACTAGCTTCACTTGGCTGACTGGGGCCAGCTTTATTAACAGCACGAACTCTGAACTGATACTCCATTCCTTTGCAAGAGGAAGAAAACAATTATCAGTTAATTACCGAAAATCTAATTAAAAATTGTAACTTTATGCAGTTATAATACAATACTAATCAAACCTCAGCCTTAAAGTAAGGGTAGATCTAAATCTTGATTGAACTTACCTTCTGTCAGATCTGGAACTCGGGCTTGACATTTATCTCCGATTACTTCGCAAGCCTTTTGCCATTTTGTACTTAATTTATCTTTCTTCTCAATTATGTAAGAAGTAATGGGACTTCCTCCGTCCTTTTCTGGAGCATCCCAGGTCAAGTCAACGTGATGTCGATCCCAATCTTTAGCCTGTGGTTTTCCAGGCTTTCCAGGTTCATCGAATGGATTTTTAGCTTCAATTGGCTTCTCGGTTTCAAGTGGATCTGATTCGCCTTCAGGATTAACAGCACGTACTCTAAATTTATACTCTTTACCTGGTGTAAGACCCTTGATATCAGCCTCAGTATCACGAGTTGTGGTTACAGGTACCCATCGACCAGTATCTGTATCCATTTTTTCAACAACGTAATTTGAAAGAGGTAATCCTCCATCATCTTCTGGCTTCTTCCATTTCAATTTGCAACCTTCAGCATGTACATCAGATACTTCCAAAGGTCCTTTAGGAGGTGAGGGTTTGCTTATGATGTTAAGATCAACAGTAGCCTCATCGACTCCGTGCTCATTTTTGGCAGTTATAACATAACTACCTGATTGTTCTCGTTTTGTCTTCACAAGCATTAACAATGTATGATAAGGTTCGGTATCAACAGTTACATTGTCGCCTGTCTTTAATGGTGCATCTTTGAATGCCCATGTAATTGTCGGTGCAGGTTCACCTTTAACATCAACATCAAATTTGATTGGTTGACCAGCTTTAATTGTTGTTGGTTTAAGATTAGTTCTATCAATACGAGGAGCAAGTTTTCTTGGCTTAGCAACGACTGATCGAGATGGTTCACTTGGCTCTCCTGGACCAGCTTTATTGACAGCAACAACTCTAAATTCATATTCGGTTCCTTTTTGAGAAAAAGAGAAAATAATTATTAGTTAATTATTTCATGATTTTAATGGAGATTCTTTGCTTTTCCTAAGATTTTCTTTGATGAATGTGTCACGAACCCTAACTATGACTTTGACTATGCATTCATCATTCTGCAATTATTTTTAGAACCTTTTTACTCTCACAACTTTAATGAAAAAATTTCATTCACTAAAACTTTATAAGCATTGCAGAGCTGGATATTAATACCGAGAAAATATTTAATTGTGAAGATAGACAAAAAATGTCTGAGTAATTAGATGGCCTCAAGTCCATAATAATGTCTTAAACTTCAACATAATTACCTTCTTCTAAATCAGGACAAGTTCCACTTGTAACATTTCCGACGATTTCACGTCCTTTTTCCCATTTACGAGTTCCCTTTTTCTTCTTTTCGATAATGTATCCTGTAATAGGACTTCCTCCATCTGAAGCTGGAGCAGACCATTTTAGGTCGACATGATCCACATCCCAATCAGTTGGTTCAGGACGACCAGGAGCTCCTGGTTCATCGAATGGGTTCTTGGCAATAACTGGTCTTGATGGAAGACTTGGATCACCAGGACCTGCTTTATTGACTGCAATAACACGGAATTCATATTCTTTGCCCTCTTTTAGGTTAGGAACATGAGCTTTGGTAATGTCACTTGGAATTTCAAGGGCCTTTTCCCACGATCCTCCTGAAAAAAAGAAGATATTAATGCTAGTTATTTTTCAAAATTTTACCAAATTTTACATGAAAACGCATAAAGATTGATAAAGTATATTTAAGAATCCAAATATTATATCCGAATGAGAGTTACTCTTATAAAATTTATTAATAGTTAAAATGAAGTTCAGACGAAATAAAAGCAACGTCATCGTTCATCGAAATTAATTTTAAAAAACTCTTAAAAAAAGAAATTTGGACGTAATCTTTTGCAATCAGATCCAATGATGAAAAAATATTTACCCTTTTCTTTCTTTTCCACTATGTAACTGGTAATAGGGGCACCATTATCTCTTTCAGGAGCGTCCCATTTCAAATCAACTGACTGTGGTGAGAATGCTGTAACTTGTGGTGTTCCAGACTGACCAGGAGGTGAGAATGGATCTTTGGCAGTGATTGGTGCAAGTGTTTGCAATGGTTCAGATTCACCCTCCTTATTAACAGCTTTTACTCGGAATGAATAGTCTTTTCCTGGAGTTAGTCCGGTAACATCAAATTCAGGTAAAAATGTTTTACCAACTGGGACCCAAGATCCTGTATCAGGATCCAACTTTTCAACTAAATAGCCATCAAGAGGCATTCCTCCATCGTCTTTAGGTTTATTCCACTTCAATTTACATCCATTTTTGTTTATATCACTAACTTCCAATGGTCCCTCTGGTTTACCAGGTTTACTTACTACAGTAACTTCAACGTCAGCTTCGTCCATACCGTATTGATTTTTGGCAACAATTCGATAAACGGCTGAATCTTTTCTTTCAGCTCGATCACAATTTAATTTAGTATTATAAGGCTTATTGGTGATGGTTAAATCAGTCGTTTCTCTCACAGGAGAGTCTTTGATAAACCATTGTACATCTGGCGCTGGTTCACCTTGAACATTAACATCAAAACTAAAAGGTTCACCAACTTTTATGTCGATAGGTCGCAAGTTTCGTCGATCAATGCGAGGAGGCAGTTTACTTGGTTTGCAAGTCACTGGTTTCGTTGGTTCGCTTGGTTCACTTTGACCACCAGCATTCAAAGCTCGTACTCTGAATTGATATGTTTCACCGTTTTCAAGATCAGGAACACGAACCTCGGTCATAGGTCCGTCGGTTTGAATAGCCTTTACCCACTTTGTTCCATCAGCGCTCTTCTTTTCAACGATGTAGCCTGTTATTGGAGCTCCTCCATCTTTAGTTGGACTGTCCCATTTCAAGTCTACGTGATGTCGATCAACTCCAGTAACAACTGGTCTTCCAGGAGTACCAGGAGCTTCAAATGGATTTTTGGCTATAATTGCTTGTTCCGCTTCAAGTGGAGCCGATTCACCTTCAGCGTTAATTGCAGAGACTCTGAATTTATATTCTTTACCAGGCTCAAGGTTTGCCACTTCAAATTGTGGCTCATAAGATCGTCCACATGGCACCCATCGTCCAGTTGCAGTGTCCATCTTCTCGATTGCATAGCATTCGATTGGAACTCCTCCATCATCTTTAGGCTTCTTCCATTTTAGTTTACAGCCTGTAAAATTCAAAAAGAAATGGAAGGAAAGGAAATGAATTGAATGTTATTGATGCAAGATAAATTCAGTCAAGTTCCTTGTTTGGGCAATTATAAATTATAAAAAATTATAAATAAATAAAAACAGGAATAATTATAAATCTAAAAATAATTATTCTGCGTTTGAGATTCTACTTTGAAAATTGGCTGGTCAAGAGGTCGATATGAAATTAAAAAACTATTCTAATATAATTTTTACAATTTTAATATTGGACAATTGAATACGCTAAGAAATTCTAACAATAAACTTTTCATACAATCATAACATTCTTCAACAATTTTCAATGAACTTCATGAAAATTGAGAGCAAGAAATCGACATTCCTCTTAAAAATACTGCATCGAAGTTCAATAATAGATTTTAAAATAACGAAAAAATGTTTGAGATTAAGATCTTATGCTAAAATCTAGCTGTTTGCTGAAGTGTTCAAATTAAATTGCTTATTTATAAGGAAAAACAGTTTCATAGAATAGAAAACAATCAGTTTTGAAAATAGTCTTTTAAGTCAGAATCGACTGTTTGGGACGAATTATGTTCAAGGTCATTCGAAAAAACGAAAAATTCTGACCAAATGCACAAAAAGTTAGAAACATGAAATTTAGAAATATTTTAAGATTAATGCAATTTAAACGTGTTTGAAACCGATTCTGAAATACGGTTGATTGTAATTAAATAACTAATAAAGTATATAATTTTGAGTATTTACCTTCAGCATGTACATCAGAAATATCCAGAGGACCTTCAGGAGCTGATGGTTTATCAAGAACAGTTACATTGACCTCAACTTCATCAACTCCGTTAATGTTTTCAGCCTTGATTTTTAAAACGCCAGTATCTTTTCGTTCAGCTGATGGAATAACAAATTTACTTCGGTTGGGCTCATTATCAATGGTACAATGATCGCTTCCAGTCAAAGGTTGATCATTATGGGTCCAAGTAACTTTTGGTGTGGGTTCTCCTTGGACTTTAACGTCAAATTTGATACTTTGTCCAGCATGTATTGTCACATCTCGTAAATTAGTTCGATCAATACGAGGTGCTAAATTTCGTGGTTTAGCTGTAACAGAGTCACTAGCTTCACTTGGTTGACTTGGACCTGCTTTATTTACAGCTTTGATTCTGAATTTGTACTGCATTCCTTCAATCAGGTCAGTTACATGAGCTTCAGTTTCATTTCCAGGGACTTCGGCTGCCTTGACCCATTTATTACTGTATTTATCTTGCTTCTCGATAATGTAGCCAGTAATGGGACTTCCTCCATCTGAGGCTGGTGCATCCCATGTTAAGTCTACAAAGTTTTTGTCCCAATTTGTGGCCTTGGGTTTGCCTGGTTTATCAGGTTCATCGAATGGATTCTTGGCCAAAGTTGACTTTTCAGTTTCTAATGGCTCGGATTCACCTTCAGCATTCAAAGCTTTAACCCTGAATTTGTATTCTTTACCAGGAATAAGTCCAGTTATTTCAGCCTCAGGATCTCTTGTAGTCGTAACTGGTACCCATCTGCCGCTTTCCAAATCAAGTTTTTCGACAACATAGCCTGTTACTGGTTCGCCTCCGTCATCTTCAGGTTTGTCCCATTTCAGTTTGCAACCTTCAGCATGAACATCAGAAACGGCAAGAGGACCTTTTGGTTTACTTGGTTTACTAAGAACTTTGACTTCTACTTCTGCTTCATCAACACCGTGTTCGTTCTTAGCAGTAATTTTATAGACCCCATTTTGAGCACGCTTAGTCTTCGTCAACATTAACAATGTATGATAAGGTTCAGTTTCAATACTGACATTCTCTCCAGCTTGTAATGGTTCACCCTTAAATGTCCAAGTAATGGTTGGTGCAGGTTCACCTTTAACGTCAACATCAAATTTAACTGGTTGACCAGCTTTAATGGTTGTTGGTTTAAGATTGGTTCGATCAATACGAGGCTTAAGTTTTCTTGGCTTTGCAATGATAGGTCTTGATGGGTCACTGGGCTCTCCTGGACCAGCTTTGTTAACAGCCAAAACTCTAAATTCATATTCAGTACCTTTAAAGTTGAGAAAAAAGAAACAATTATCATTTATGAGAAAATGTTGAATAGAATGCAAATAAAATGAATAATGTTGCCATAAAACTAGGTCATAACGATAGATAATAAATAGTTCATTTAAGGAATAGAAATTAACTTACCTTCTTCTAAATCTGGTACAGTTCCATTGGTAACATTACCGTGTATCTCTCGTCCTTTTTCCCATTTTCGACCGCCCTTCTTTCTCTTTTCGATAATATAGCCTGTAATGGGACTTCCACCATCTGAAGCTGGTGCAGACCAGGTAAGATCTACATGATCCACATCCCAATCAGTTGGCTCGGGTCTTCCTGGTTTGTTAGGTTCATCGAAAGGATTTTTAGCTAAAATGCTTTGATCAGTCTCAAGTTCATCAGAGTCTCCTTCTTTATTTACAGCTCGAACTCTGAATTTATAGTTTCGTCCAGGTGTCTAAATAAACATAAAAATGTTATCAATAATTGATTCATGTTAATTATTTCATTATTAATTTCCAGGTACAGTGAATTTTAAGAAATTTTTAGCAATTAATGTAGCTTCAAACTTACCAAATTTGTAACTTCGAAATATGGTTCGGATGATTTACCAGCTGGTACCCAACGACCTGTTTCTTCGTCGAGTTTCTCAATTTCATAGCATTCGATTGGACATCCTCCATCGTCATCTGGCGGTTTCCATGCTAGTTTACAGCCCTCAGCATGAACATCTGACACAGTCAAGGGACCTTTAGGTGTCGATGGTTTTCCTAAAACTGTAATAACAACTTCAGCTTCATCAGAACCAACCTCATTTGTCGCTGTCAATTTGTATGTGCCAGTCTCTTTTCGAGTTGCTCTTAATAAACAGAACTTAGTGTTGTAATCGATGTTATCGATTTGGTAAATTTGGCCATTTTCAAGCTCTTTATCTTCATGTTTCCAGATTGTCTTTGGAGCAGGCTCTCCAATGACATTAACATCAAACTGTACCATTTGACCAACTTTGACCGTAACACTTTTCAAATTGGTTCGATCAATTTTGGGTTTCAAGAATCTGGGTTTCATCAAGAACTGTCCAGTTGACTCAGAAGGTGCACCCGGTCCAGCCTTATTGATTGCTTTTACTCGGAATTCAAATTTGTCACCTGAGTAGTTTGGCAAAAAGATACATGTAATGATTATAAATGCGTTGCAAATTGAATAATTTTTAATTTAGTGATATTAGTGGTACTAGATACTCATAAATTTAATAGTGTTATTGAATTTGTAATTATTTTGCAATATATTTACCTGGCGTCAAGTCGTTAACTCGGCCTTGACATTGAGGTCCAGAAGTTTCAGCACATGTAACCCAGTCAGGAGAGTATTTGCTTTTCTTTTCAATTAAATATCCTGTAATTGGTGCTCCATTATCTCGAAGTGGAGGCTCCCATTTCAACACAACAAATGTCGAATCGTAATCGTCAATTTTAGGTAATCCTGGTGGTCCTGGTGGATCAAATGGATTCTTGGCTAAGGTTGAACGATCAGTTTCCAAAGGTTCAGAAGCTCCTTCAGCATTGTTAGCCTTTATACGGAAATTGTAACGCTTGTTTGGTTCCAAACCAGCAAGAGCAAATTCAGTTTTATCTCCAGGAACTTTTCCAACAGGCACCCAGCGTCCAGTTGCTGTATCTTGCTTTTCAATTGTGTAGCTTTCGAGCGGCACCCCTCCATCGTCTTTTGGAGGATTCCTTTTTTATTGAGTAAACAAAAGTAAAGACTCGCCAGTTAGAAGATGATAAGACATTTATGTGTTCAATATTATTAGTACATCTATACTTCAAGAATAACTCAATTTTCTGATAAATTTGGATTAGAAATGTTTGCCGAACGAATTCGCTTAACTGTGAATTAGAGACTAAGTTTATCTTGATAGACTTACCATTGGAGTGTGCAACCTTCAGCATGAACATCAGTTACTTCTAGAGGTCCTTCGGGTTTACCAGGACGATCAAGTACGATAATTTCAACCTCTGCTTCATCTTTTCCAGATGAGTTTTCAGCAAGTATCTTGTATTTGCCAGATTGTGGTCGGGACATATTTTTCATTTGAATATGAGTCTCATAATCTTTATTTTCAATTTTGATATCACCTGTTTCTTCAAGAGGTTTGCCAGCAAAACTCCAGCTAATAGTTGGAGGAGGCTCTCCAATCACCTCAACATCTAAACGTGCCATGTTACCAGCTTTTACAGTAATGGGTTGTAAATTGTCACGGTTGATTTTTGGAGCAAGATATCGGTGTTTAACTAAGTGAGGTTTCGTTGGTTCACTGGGTTCACCAGGACCTGCCTTGTTCACAGCTGTTAGAAAAACGATTAATTTTCATTAGTATTGTTTAATAGTTTCGAGTTAGGTAAATTTGTAGTTATAAAGTTGAAATAAAGGTTGCTTCACCAATCTTTTATTTCATAACTTATAATTATTTTGACATAATCTCATCCAATAAAATCACTGCAATCAGCATGAACTTACCTTTAACACGGAACTGATATTCAGCCTTTTCTTTTAAACCTTCAACCTTTGCCTTGCAACTATCTCCCGAAACTTCAGCACATGGTTCCCATGAACTACCGAATTTTTCCTTCTTTTCAACAATATAAGCTGTAATTGGAGCACCGCCATCGTTTGCTGGTCGTTTCCATGCAAGCGAAACACTTTTCTCATCCCAATCAGGAATTGTCAAGTCAGTTGGTGCTCCTGGTTCATCATATGGATTTTTAGCTACAGTTGGCTCATCACTGACCAAAGGTTCTGATTCACCTTCAGCATTTTTGGCCTTTATTCTGAATTGATAACGTTTGCCCGGTGTTAATCCGGTTACTTCAAATGAAGTATCATCTGTACGTCCGATAGGAACCCAATTTCCTGATGCCAAATCTAGCTTCTCGATAATATAGCTTTGGATAGGTTTTCCACCATCGTCTTCTGGTTTTTCCCATTTAAGTTTACATCCTTTAGCATGAACATTATCAACTTTAAGAGGACCTTTAGGTCTGCTTGGAGCTGCTAACACAACTATTTCAACTTCAGCTTCATCTTTACCATGTTCATTGGTTGCAACAATTTTATATCTGCCAGAATGTTTTCTTTGACCATCAGTTATGTTGAATTTGGTGTTGTAATCAACGTTAATGATATCATAATGATCGTCATTTTTGATTTCATTGTCTTTAAGGAACCATTTAACAGTTGGAGGAGGCTCTCCCGAGATGTTAACATCAAGTTTGACTGATTTTCCTTTTTTAATTGTAATTGTCTCTAAATTGGTTCGGTCGATTCGAGGCTTTAATTTCCTATGTTTTACAATATGATTTCCAGTTGGATCACTAGGTTCACTAGGACCAGCTTTGTTAACAGCAATAACTCTGAATTGGTACTCAGATCGTTCAGTTAAGTCTTCAACTTTTGCTTCACATGTTTCACCAGGAACTTCACATGCTTTTTCCCAAATCAACTGGAATTTTTCTTTCTTCTCGACAACATAACGTGTAATTTTAGCTCCACCATCGCTTTTTGGAGGCTTCCATTTAAGGTCAACGGACTTATTATCATAGTCCACAATTTCAGGAGTACCTGGTTTGTCTGGTTCGTCATATGGATTTTTGGCAATAATTGATGACAAAGTTTCAAGTGGTTCAGAGTCACCTTCATCATTTTGAGCAACAACTCGGAATAAATACTCTTTGTTTGGAATAAGTCCAGTTACTTCGAATTCTGGTTTATCTGTTTTTCCACATCTTGTCCAGCGACCCGATTCTTTATCAAATTTCTCTACTTCATAACCTTTGATTGGACATCCACCATCGTCCTTTGGTTTTTTCCATTTCAACTTGCACCCTTCTTTGTGGATATCAGTTACTTCAAGTGGGCCTTCAGGTTTGGCTGGCTTGGAAAGTACTTTAATCTCGACTGTTACAGAATCAGTTCCAGATGCATTGGAAGCCGTGACTGTGTACAGACCTGAGTGTGAGCGTTTTGCTTTGTGTAGGTTAAAGTCTGTTTGGTAATCTTTGTTGACTATCTTGAAATGATCATCGTCGGCCAACTTTTGTTTAGCCTCACCAAAGGTCCAAACAACAGTTGGCGGAGGTTCTCCGGTTATATCAACCAAAAATTTGACAGATCGTCCAGCTTTGATAGTAATACTTTTAAGATTAGTTCGGTCAATTTTTGGTTTCAAGTTTCTGTGTTTCACAATATGAGGATCAGTTGCATCACTTGGCTCACTTGGTCCAGCCTTGTTAACAGCTCGAACCCTGAATTGAACAGTGTTTCCTTTACATAAAAAGACATTAAAAAGTTAGTGAATCATATTCATATTTGATTGGTCTATGTTCTAATTTAAATAATTCAATTGAAAAACTTATAAATTTACCTTCTTTTAAGCCAGTGATAGAAGCCTCATTCTTGGCATCCGGTGTAACCAAGACTTCAGTCCAATCAGAGCTGAATTTGTCTTTCATCTCGACTACATAATGAGTGATTGGCCGACCGCCATCCTTTTCAGGAACAGCCCATTTCAAGTCACATTTGGTGTTATCGTAATCAACAATCTCTGGTTTACCAGGCTTGGATGGTTCATCATAGGGATTTTTAGCGACGACAGGTTCAGTTGTTTCTAATGGATCTGATAAACCTTCTTTATTTATAGCTTTAACTCTAAACTTGTACTTTTTATTTTTAGTCAATCCTTCGACTTTGAAGCTGTCATCATTAGGGCCAACTTCACCACATTGGATCCATTTGCCAGAATCCATATCTGCAGATAGCAAGAGAAATTAATTGAGTAAAATGAATATCTAAATAGTTAAAAATTCAAATTTACAGATTTGTGAATTAAGAATCAAAACGTAAACGCGTTTTGTATGACAGTATAAAAAACTGTTAGTATTTCAGTTTCACTACCAAACTTACCCATCTTTTCAATTACGTATCCTTTCAGATCAGTTCCACCATTATCTCGAGGCTTTCGCCATTTAACGGTTATATGTTCAGCTCGAACCTCTTCTAAAATAAGTGGACCTTCTGGTGGTGTTGGTTTGTCCAGCACAACAACATCGGCCTCAGACACAAAAGAGCCAGATGAGTTAGTCAATGTCAATCTATATTTACCACTATCTGCTCGAACAGCGTTTTTATTTTGAAAGACAGAGCTCTTGGCTGTATTTTCAATGGATATTTTACTGCCAGCAAAAAGTTGATCATTATTCAACTCCCATTTAACTTCTGGAGGTGGTTCACCGAAAAATTGAATATCATATTTGATAACAGCACCTTTTTTGACGACCAAGTTTTTCAAACCATCCCCTAATAAGTAAGGTTTAACAAACCTTGCCTTAACAATATGAGGTTTGGTAGGATCTGAAGGTTCACTTGGACCGGCTTTGTTAACAGCGATCACTCTGAACTGATATTGCATGTTTTCCTTTAGATTTTGCACTTTACAAGAAGTCTTATTTCCTGGCACTTTCGGTCCAACTGACCATTCTGGAGAAAATTTATCCTTAAATTCGATGATATATTCGGTAATAGGACTTCCACCGTCCTTTTCTGGAGCAGCCCACTTTAGGTCTGAAAAAAACGAAATCAAAAGTTAATTATTCTCTCAAATTATACTTTCTATTGACAGATGTTAAGAAATCGTTTAAATCATACTTACCAACATGATTTTTGTCCCAATCAGTAACTTCTGGTGGTTTAGGCTTTGATGGCTCATCATAAGGATCTTTGGCAATTATATCTTTAACACAACTTAGAGGTTCGGAACTTCCCTTCTTGTTCACAGCACGAACTCTAAAACGATACTCCTTCTTGTATTCAAGATCTTTAACATCAAATTTACAATCTTCAGTTGTTCCTATTTCAATCCATCCTCCTCGTGAACTAACAGCTTGTCTTTCAATTGAATAATGTTTGAGAGGAATACCTCCTGTATCTTTTGTCGGTTTCCAGGCTAACTTACAACGGTCTCGGAAAAGATCTAATATTTCTAAGGGACCTTCTGGTGGCGCAGGTACACTAACAAAATTGATTTTCAAGTCTTTCTTAGCTTCACCTTCAGCATTACTCAAGGTGAATCCATATGTATCTGAATTGTCACGTCCAGTTTTACGGAAAGTCAAAATGACTTTGTCTTGTCTCACAACAACCTCAACATCCTTCGATGATACGGTTTTACCATTTCGGGTTAGCTTAGCGACTACATCTGAAGTCCTTGTTCCCAGAACTATAGAGAGAAGAAAAAAACAATTAATGAATCTAGAAGTTTGATATTAAGAACAAATTTGTCAAACGTAAATTCAAAACAATTACCATAATAGGGAATTTCAATTATGAGCGGTTTATTTACATCAGATTGGAAGTCTGTTTGGTCCAACTTAATAAGTGGAGGTCGTTCAGCTGTAATAGTTAAAAAAATCAGAAAATAAATAAATATTCACTTTAAAAACGCTTACAAGTATAAAATAAAATTTAAAATGAAAATTGCAATCTTAAGATTTGTTAAATACCTTCATCAACTGTTAAGCGACACTTTGTTTTTATGTTTGGTGTAGCTGCCATGTATTCACCAGCATCTTCAAGTTTGACATTATCAATGGTTAAAGTGTACTTATCCTCATGATACTTGATGTGAATCCTGTCATATGGTGTAACCTCTTGTCCATCTTTGTACCATTTCAATGGAGCTCGAGTATCGGTCATTTCAACCTCAAAGACAACCTGCTTTTTCTCAATCGTATGAATATCTTCAAGCTTCTTCTTGAAACGATTAGCGGGTTCAACAAGAACCTCACTTTCCGTTTCATCGCCTTTTGTTTTAGCCAAATATTTTCCCTCATCAGTTATTTTACACTTTTTGATAATACATCGACGTTTACGTCCTTCAGCAATTATATCAATCCTTTTATCTTTTTTAATCTCTTCTCCCTGGAAATACCATGTAACTGGAGCTTCCCAATCGTCAACTTCACATTCCAAGGTAATAGTTTCACCTTCATTGACTCTCATACTTCTCAAAACTCGCATAAATTTGAACGCTTGTTCAGCAATAGTTAATTTGGTACTTGTAAACTCTTCTGAATTTATCCTACAAGTATATTCAGCTGCATCATCCATGGTACAATTTTGAATCTTCAAGAACTTTTTACCAAGTCCATCTTGTTCAATGATAAATTTGTCGCTGTTTTCCAATTTCTTGTCCCCTTTGTACCATTTAACAGGTGCTTTCGGTGAATTACAGGCACATTCAAGAACACATTCTCGATCAGTGTATCCTTTACTTTGAGGTGGCAATTTTTTCACAAATTTATACACTGGATCAGGTGGTTCCACGTCCAGGTATGCTTCGGTTGTAGCATCTAAACATTTACAAATGTATTTTCCTTCATCTTCAACAATTGGATTGATTATCTCTAAAACATGGAGATCACCTTGACTAACCATGTGATTTTTACGTCCCATGAACAGTTCTTGCTTATTCTTGAACCATTTAGCTTTGATTCCAACTTTACTGAAAACACATTCAAAGCGAATCTTTTTGTCTCGTCCTTCTTTACATTTTTGATTTTGTAAAGGTTTGGTAAATATTTCTGGTTTCTGTTAACAATTGGAAAAAAAGAAATTCATTAGAATCAGTAAAATCAGTGCAAATACACAACACAAAACACCAAGTAACATCGAGTAATACAACATCAAAATATCATCAAAATTATCAAGAATATAAATTTACCGAAAAAAACAAGCAAACACAAAATACATAATTGTGTATATTATTTACTAATAAGGTAAAAAAATAACAACCAATCTTTTGACAAATAGCAGACAAGAAGCAACGCTGAAGCAAAATAAAACAACAGCAAAAGCAGTGATAATACCGATAGCGATTAAATTAGCAATTTGACAACATCGAGAATGAAAATGTTTGTAAATACAATCAAGTGAAATATGCAGCCGCAACAGTAGCATATGACATTGACCACTGAACAATAATTAAAGCAATGACTTTCATAATTGAATTTTTGCCTGTCAATGCTTGTTCATATCCACATCATTTTAGTGGACAATCATTTATCCAAACCTCGCGTTTTCTACTTGGCGGGTGTAAAACTGGCCAATCTGGTATTATCTCTGCAAGTGATGGTCGACGGCTTCCTCTTGGACTGGTTACATCGGTCTTAACATAAGGGAAATATTTGGCATTATTATTATAATAATTGACAACAAGTAGTGATCCCAAAAAAACGGAATCAGATAAGTTGGCATTTTCCTTGTTCAACTGTTATTGAACCAATTTATGAGTATTTTAATTATAAACGCAATGGACATGAATAACAGTTATGAATGAATACACATAAAAACATTGTTGATAGTATTTGATGATGACATTAATGTAAATAAATTTTCAACATTAAATTTCCTTGAAAAGTAAAGGTTGTTCAACAAATAAACATATAACATTTATTTTAAAATTAGTAGATACATTTGTAATTAAGTTTTCAAAGGATGACTTATTCATAATCATTTGGCCATATTCGTGTGTTTTTATATCATTATCATGAACTTCATGGCAACTGTTTGATGTTTTGATTGTTAATGTTTATGTTAACACCATAAAGCTATGAAAATGACTTGAAAACTTAATTTTAAATTGCTTGAAAGGAATGATGAAAAAGACTATTGCATGGAAAATGTAATAACATTATTGAGCTGATCAAAATAATCTGTGAAAATGATTTCTAACTCTTTTTCTTTACCCAATTCTTAATTATTAGGCCCGGATGAACTGAACTTTTCTTACAAACTCTTTGATGTTCATTGAATGGTGAAATTATCGAAATAATAATAAATTCATCCTTACCTTTATTTCCTTGAGAGATGCTCTTCTTTCATCTTCAACGGCTTTCAAGTTACCCCAATCAGGATCGTCTGATTGTTTCTTCCACTGTTGGCGTTTACCTCTCTTCAACATGGCACGGAAATCCATACCTTCTTCACCACCAATGAATAGACCAATTTCAGCACTGCACTCGCCATGAACATTGTAAGCAACAATGGTATATCGCCCTTCATCAGCAGATTTAGACTTTTTAATACAAAAGTAAACGGTATTTGTTGAGCCATCGGTAACAATGGAATATCTTCCTCCTTCGTAAATTTCTTGACCATCTTTGTACAGTCTAAATTGTGGCACTGGATCACCTTCAACGTCAAACTGAATGAAGGCTGTTTTACCCTCAGTTCCTTGTTGATTTTCACCATAGTTTAAAATCTTGGGCTCTTTTCCTTTGGGTTGAAGAGCTGTAGAGGGTTTATCAGTTGGATCAAATTCAGAAGCAGAAGGTCGCCTTGAATCACTTGCGCGACGGTTTGGTGAAGTTCTTAAACTTTGAACATCACCAACATCTATAAACGATCCTCGACGCACTTGGTTTCCTTGAGCATCAATAAAAGAACCTCGACGTCCTCCAGGTTTTGGTTCAGGTTCTGGAGTTGGTTCTTTAACTACTGGGATGGACGCTTTCTTTTTAAGCGGTGGTCCTCCTTGAGAATCTTGTGAATCCTTTCGAGCAGGTAATGGAGACTTTTCTTTCTCCACTTGAATATCAGGGATTGAACTTTGCTTTTCAATCTGTTTTTTGGCCGGCTTTTCTTCTACAGGCTTTTCAGGCTCAAGTTTTTGCTTCTTTTCAGGTTGAGTTTCTTCAGGTTTCGCCTTTTCCTTTTTAGTTGGTTCGCGTTTGGGCACAGTCACTGTAGATTTAGTAAAAGAGAGAACACAAAGTTAACATTAGTTAAAATAGTAGACAATCGTAGACTCAAATGACAGTTACTTACTTTTTACAGTCAACTCGGCTGCTGATTCAACCTCGCCGCCAGAGTTTGCTACTTTGACTAAATACTCTCCACTATCTTCGAATTGAGCGCTCACTAGTTTCAATGAAGACGAAGATTCGGTGGATGAAATCATGTATTTACTTGAATTGGAAATCTGTTTTTTATTGTAAAACCATGTAATGGATACTTTTTCCTTGGATGTGAATGTGCATTTGAATTCAATTTCACTTCCTTCATTTATTGTCTATAAAAGAAGAAATTAAAAATTGAAATTAACTTCCATCGACTCAAGAATTGGATTTAGACTTACTCGTGATTTAATTTGAGAGATAAACATGGGCTTTGCCACTTTAACTCCAGGTTTTGGTTTGACCTCTTTATTTTCCTTGTTTTCCTTGTTTTCTTTGTTTTCGTCAAGCTTAGGTTTCTTGGCAGGCTCTTCATCTTTACTTTCAGCCATGTCTACGAAAAAGACAACATTAGTATATTAAAGTTAACTAAAGGTCAAAATCAACATTTTTTTAAAAACATACCATCAACATCAACTGTAACTGCTTGAGAAGTGCATTCTCCTTTCTCGTTTTTAGCAACAACTTTGTAAACTCCCTTGTCCAGTTTTTCAGCCCTATCGATCTCTAAGGCCACAGCGTATTCTCCTTTGGATACTTCTTTAACTCGAACAACATGACGAGAATCTTCTCGAACAACGGTTGATTCTTTCATCCATTGTACTTTGGGTGCTGCACCAGAAGCAATTCGTACTTCAATAACAACCTTCCTCTCCTTGGTTTGTTTGATAACCTTAGGTTTCTCTTTGATTACAGGAGCAACTAAATAAAAATTAAAAGAACAATTGTTAGACATTTGATTTACTAAACAAATTTCATTCAATAATCAACTTACGTTCAATGTTGAGCTTTAGATTAGCATTACTTTCACCAGCTGGATTACGTACATTACATTTATATTGACCAGCATCAGTTAATTCTGGATCTCTTAACTCTAATCTTATAGTATAAACATCAGTTGATTCCTCTTTAACAATTAACTTAATTCTAGATGTTTCACGAACAATTTGACCATCATTGTACCAAACAATGTCAGGTTTAGGTTTTGAACGAACTTTACATTCCATTATAATCAATTTGCCATTATTTTCGGGAATGATTCTAGGTTTTTCAACGAAAGTTGGAGGTTCACCGGCCTTTTGAATATCACCTCCTTCAATATTAAGATTAAGGTTAGCATTGATATCACCATGATTATTTTTAATATTGCATTTATAAACGCCACCATCATCTTTAGCTGGATCCTATCGATGGAAAATTGAGAAAAAAATATTGATAAAAATTTCAAGCAACAAATAAAAATACAAAATCAGGTAAAAGGTACGAAATAATAAAATTAATGTTTTATCAATTTGTTTGTAAGCCAAAGGAAGGATGAACTTGTCAAGGAGATTGGGTTAAATGTGGATAATGTAGAGCGAAAGTTTATCAATGTTTCCTGAGCAATTAAATGAACAATAAAGAAACAAGTTGTTTTCATTTTTACTTTGAAACGCTTAGCTGTTCTATTTTCTGCTTCCATGCATTTCTTGTCTCTCAATAAAATGCTTTGAGGAAACAAGTTACATTTAAAAATCAAGTTAATATATTTAATATAGAAAGGTTTGAAATATCTTCTGGCATGTTACTGGAAATTGAAGGAAATTTTCAAAATTTCTAAGCTTTCTTCAACTTCTCTTCTCTGTCTCTTCATGGCTTCAGAATAGGCACTTTTCATTTTATCATCTCTGTCTTTTCTTTCAACATTTTACTTTTTGCTTTTTCTTCTTCCCTTTTTTTTATTCTCCTGTCTTTTTCATCTCAAAAAATATATATACACTTACAAACTCACACTTTTTATCACTCGGTGATTTAATGATTTCACACACCGAGTTAACCTAACATTAACCAGAAGGAATCTTCAACAATTTGGATGTTTTCCAATTGAGAGGAGAATTGAGAAAACAGAGCGAAAAGACACTCAGAAAACACACCGTTAAGCGTACAATTTTAGACTAGATATTTAGATATTTGCATTTCCATTAGTATTGTCGTTGTTATTGTGAGGTGGTTAAAGAATGAGTGATTTTGAGATGATTCAAAACAAGCTTCTCAATCATCATCATTATCAGCTTATAAATCAAAATATTTCCAGATTTATCTGTTTTTTTTTTCTTGCTCTTTCCAAACATTTACAGTACAAAATTGAAATACCAAGTTGGAAAGTAAAATGTTTTACCTTAATTTCAAGTCGAACAGTATATTCATCATTTGATTCAGATATGATGCTACTCTTGATTCGAGTTGTTTCCCTTACTAAAGTTGACCCTTTGTACCAAGTTGTTGTAAGCTTTGTTGTAGATTTAACTCGACACTCCAGTATAATAAGGGCACCATTGTCTTTTGGAATGATCTTTGGCCTGGTCACAAAAGTTGGTGAAAGGTCTTCCTCTTCACCTCCTCCTTGGAAATTGAGTGCTATATTGGCATTAGATTCGCCCAATTCGTTAACTGCATTACATCGATATGTTCCTCCATCGTCATTTGAAGGATCCCTAATCTCCAAGGAAAGGGCAAAAGTGTCTTTATCGATTTCTTTAATGGCTGCTTTATGACGAGCACCTTCTTTAATAACCTTTGTCCCATGAAACCATGAAATATCAGGCTTAGGATTGGCTTCAACAATACACTCCAAGACAAGATCACCTCCCACTTGACGGATTGTTGGCTTTTTAGGGAAACGTGGAGCTTTACCCTCTGGTAGTTTAGGTCGGCCTCCTTCGAAGTTTAGATTTATATGAGCAACTCCTTCACCTTTCGAGTTTTTGGCTACTAAACGATATTCGCCACCGTCTTCACCACCAACACGGCTCAACTCGAGCGAGGCAACATGATGATGTTTATCAGATATCAATCTATATTTATGGCGACTGTCCTCCTTCACAAGTTTACCTGACAAATAGTTGAACAAAAATATCAAATTAGTTAAAATGATGGCAAGTTTGGTTAAAATCGAAAGCAGATTATCAACAATTATATTTGATTTGGTTTAAAGATAATCACTTTTCAATTTTGTGTCCTCATTTCAATTATAAACATTTCTTACCCTTGTGATACCATTCAATAGTTGGCGGTGGTTCAGCAACCAGACGACATTCAAATATAATTTTACCATCGTCTGATTGTTTTATTACAGGTTTCTCAGTGAATGTCGGTTTTGCATTATCAGCTGGTACCGAAGTGTCATCACCTAGTTAAAGTTAAATAATTATATTTATAAAATGCTTGAGAATCATTTGCTATAATTATTATAACAAGATAATTGGAGCAATTTGATTGTCGCAATGAAAACTAAACAAAAAAATGTTGTCTCAATACTTGGCAGGATTGTAGGGAAAACATTACTTGTGATTTAATAAAACAAGGAATTGGCAGCTATCAAGTTGAACCATTTTTTTCACTTTTTGATATTGATACTAATATTAATCCAAACAAATTTAATTATCTTTCAATCTAACCTATTAATTTACTTTTTACTGAATAACTGAATAACATATTGAAATAAATTTGCAAACCTTCTGACAAGAAAATTGAATCAAAGTTCAATGACCTATTAACATGTGCAAAGCTCAACCAAAACTAACCATTAAACTGAATATTTAAATTTCACAGATGAGTTCAGTTTCTCAAGTTCAGTTTTCAAAATTGATTGATAATTCCATTGTTTACTTACTATCAAAATTAAGACTTATGCTTGCATTGCTTTCTCCAAGCTCGTTTTTAGCTATTACTTTGTATTTTCCGGCATCTTCAACTCGTACTTCAGTAATTTCCATATGAGCAAGATAATTGTTGGCCTTTTCAACATCTTTTTTAACTGTTAACTGTAAATCAATAAGAAAATTGAAAGGTTTAATTAGTAAGCTTTCACATAAAATATGAGATGCCAAAGCAATCAACATTTCTTGATAACTCAATGCATCATGAGACAGTTAACTTGACTGAATTAAATATATTTGCTGAATAGGAAACAAAAGGATTGACTTTAACCAGCTAAAGTGAAAAGTGTTTTCAGTAATTTGTCAAACTGCAAATTTGACATGAAAATTAATCTCAGCTGAAAATGAACCTCGCAAGTATATTCATAATTAAGTTGATAAAACAACAAAAGTTGGATAAAATAACGTAAACCTAAAAATAGATCTTATTTCGAGCTTAATTCAGCTCAAAGTGATTATGCCAGAATGATAATATCAAATGGTCAAAATGAATTCTTTCTTTCAAAATACAAATCTAAAATCAGAATGAAATAAATTTTAGCATTTCTAGCGATTGATTTTGAAAAATATTTGTGACTCTTCAGATTTGCTTGAATCAAAGTTATCGGAATCATGGAGTTAGAAACGATAAAAGCTCCAATAAAGTCATTAATTGGTACATGAAGTACTTGAATATATTATTGTATCAGAAAATTAAATGCAATTCAAGTTGAAACTGATCTTCTTCAGAAGTTTGGTCAGAAAAGGTGGAAATGTTATAATTAGAAAATGTTTGTTTCTATTTGTCATTTTATCATTATAATTCTTGTTATACTTTGCTGGCTTGTTTCAAATTTTCCAACTTTTCTAACTCCTAGCCCTTAATCAGCATCATCTTTCTCTTCTTGTCATCATCATTTAATGAGATTAATTTTCAGAAATAGACAACACTCTGAAATCTGAAAAGGTATGGTGTGATGCCAATCTGATTAACATTGTCTAAATCAAATCTTTTGGCTTCCTTGACTTGTTTTTTTTTCAAGAAAAGTCCATTGTTAATCCATAATAATAAACAACTTGTTTACTCTTCCAAAGATTTAACCAGACAAACCTAAAAGGATGAATAAAAATGTAGACAAACAATGATTCCCTGATTATCCGGAGACATGGAAATGAATATGATAGCAACAACAAAACCTAAATCAAACCAGCAACAAAAACAACTAAACAGACTGAAAGTACATCAAGACTAAAATGATCATGAGACGAAAAAGATGAGAATTGATAATTTTGACATTTCTCATTATCTGAACCACTGAAAACCTGAAAACCCGAAAATAGTTAAAAAAGGAATTTAAAAAGAAAGGTAAAAGAGAGGAAAGGAAGAGTGAAAAAAGGAAAGATGAAAAGTAGACGAAGAAAAGGCTAAAAATAAAGAGCGATCCAAGTCAATCTCATTGGTAAAATATTTGAAATTACTCGTAAATCTGTGGTTGCGCCTGTAACACACTAAGTACTCATCTTTGTTTGTTTGTTTGTTACATGTACTTTACCTCACCTTTCTGCGCAACTTTGCCTAGTAAATTAAAAGTAAAATTGGTGATTCAGCAAGTAGAGCATAATTTGACTGAACATTTCCTTTCTTCCTACCGGTTGTATTATTATATGCATTATACTTATACACTCAAGCATCTCTCCACACGACACTCACACTCAGAAAGATTGAGGTTTCCCTGAAATATGATAGGGATTACAAACTTATGCGGTTAAGCAAAAATAAGGATTGAAATGAACACAAAAATACGATTCAGTTGAAGAACATTTTTGAACAGTTTTTTTCCTCCAATATTCAGTATTGGAGTAAAATTTGGGTTCAATTTTAATCTGTTCACTAATCATCTTCTCGAGATAATTAAACACTTATTTATAGCTTTAAATTGATTTTGTCTCTTTACCTTGTATCTAGAAGATGGTTCAATTGGTGTTCCATTATGAAACCAAGAAACTGAAGGTTGAGGATCGGCTGTGATTTTACATTCAAATATTAAACGACGACCATCGTCTTCTTGTCGTATTGATGGCTTCTTGGCAAATGTTGGTGCTAATCCATCAATTTGTCTGTTAGTCAAGATAATCGGTTGGGAAAATGATCATGAAAAGAAAAGATAAATTTCATTAGACATTGTTTATTTCATTTGAACATAGTTTGTTTCTTCCTCTTCTTTCATGTTTATTTCAACAATCTTGGTAATTCTGTGTTTCATGTTGAGCCTGAATAACTATTGAAAAAGGATTGTATAAATTGTCATTTTAACGGTCAAGAATCAAACACCTTTTATGGATGAAAATCAAGTTACTGTAAAAAAAGAAACTGTTAGAGTTGAGAGTAAAAATTGTATCCAAATGGAACTGAAACCCTTTCTTAAAATACAGAACAATTATAACTCGTAAATTCCATGAGCAATGAAATTTTAATTGCAATTATCCTCTTTAACTTTCCACTGAATATAACTCAACATGATTCCAAGTTTGTACAGATTTAAAAAAAACAAAAATTCCATTGCAAGTAAACACTGAAACAAATAATCACTGTAAAGTATTTATTTATAATTGGACTCAATTAAAGTGACCAACAAATTACCAACCTAGAGGCCATTGTTGATTAAAGTAGTAACAATCACTGGTGTTGATAACAAGACTAGTTGGACAAAAAATCACCAAAAGAAATGATTCACAGGATGAATACACAAAAAGCACACAGAAAAGGTTAACTGCTAAGCGAAATTTGATTTTTAAGGAAATTTACTTTTACAGGTGAAAATGATAAAAGAATGGCAAAAATGAAAAGATGAGCGATCGATAAAAGTTATTTTTCGATTATTTTGTTTATCTCGATATTTCGATGTAAAAATTACGATGGATTCGCTGGTAAACGTTTATCCTTAACGTTGTTGTTCCGTATTACTCGCACTGTCCACAAATACTTAAGTTAATATTTACTGTGACGAGTTGACAACAACAATAACAAGTGACTAGTTTGAAACAACCGTCCCATCATTATTATATATTAACATAGATAATTACATTGTTTGGTGACAATTGCACTCAGGCAATTTGTTTGTCTCTGTTCAACTGTTTAAATTATCCTGCATCCAATTTCACTGAATCCATTAAGAAGAGAGAAACACGCAAAACAATGTACAAAATCTTTCGATGTTCAACCGTTGAAACAACTGTTGAATCTCCCTTTTCTCGATCGCATTTTTTCTGATTAATACACTTCCATGTTTCCTTCCCTTTCCAAATTGTCTTACTTTTCTCCCTTTCTCTCCCTGTTTATCTTCTTCTTTTTTTTCTTTTTTTCTTATGTCTCTCCCTGTCTTCATCATTTGCCTCATGAACTTAACTCAGAACAAGAATGCGGTCCATTTTTGGCCAACTCAGAGAGACCTTAAAATATATGCCAACTAAGAGTGGGTGCGACTTTGGAAACCTAAAAACAGCCTTCTTCATCCTTTACTAATCTTGGCTTGTGGATCAAGAGGAGGAACCTTTACTTTTCTCATTGAGAGAAGATCAAAGAGGAGGAGGAAGTGAAGAGGATCCTCCAGAGATGCTGAACGAAGTTGAGAGAAGAGAGAAAAAAAATTGTTCTCGAATGAAAATTATTTGAAAATTATTCGCAAACTTATTCACAAGTTGTAGAGTTGAACAATCTAGACTCATTAAGATATTGATTTTCAATTTCAATTTTAAAATCATAAGAATCTTAATTTGTTGGATTGAGAGATTTCATTAAATTCATTGAAATTCATTTACAATCGTTGACTTTATATTGATATGCAATATCACCTTTGCGTTATGGTTTAATGAGAAAAGTCTTGATCTGAATTTTGTTTCTCCTCAAATCTGATTAATATTTGAAACGATTATCACATTACAAGTGAGGGAAACACACACAAGTGATGCTTAAAATATTACAAGTGCTAATCTCTTGGTGATCTTTGCTAATAACAAAAAGTTATTTTGGGAAAGGTTCAAGTAAAAAAAGCTCTTGCATAGTTTGAATACATATAATGATGGAAAGTATCACCAAAATCAATTGTCAACATTGAACATTTTTTAATTGCCACAATGATATCAATTGAGAATGTTCACTTTTCTACATTTCATTAGAGTTTAATGAAATATCAAATTTGTGTAATTAACTATCTTAAGAGGTCGATAATTTTTGCTAATAATCATTAGTAGTTATAATTGTTGATGAATTTTCCATGCTCGTTTAACTTTATACAAAGTATTCAATGATGAAGGTGATAAAACTTCCAAGGCATTCCAACAGCTATTCGTGTTGATGCATTGGTCTGGAAAGTTACTTGTTTATTCACTCCATCAAGTTTATTTTGGTTAGCAATTAGTTAACAGTGAAAATTTGAAACAGAATAATTTATCAACAATAAAAGTTGATCAAAAGATGTCTTTGAATGAAATTGCGATTGTTTTTAGAAATATTTTCGAGGCACTTTTGATTCTCTGTCAATTTAATACTGAAACTGATTTAATCGGGAATCGATGATTTCATTTCATCCTGAAATAGTATTTAACAATTCTTAAAGGTTGAATATTTAAGGATTGTTGAAAGGATTAAATGGGATTCCAATGCTGATATGAAATCACAATTGAAACAAGCAAAGGCAATGATGTTGAGACTTGAGTTGGGAATGAAAATGTTTTATCTTTAGAGCTATTGATATGGAATTGTTTCTAGCATGGAAATGGTTAATTGCATGAGTCAATGGTTTTTGTTGTTGATCAGTTAACCAGACAATTTATCATCAACCATCGTTATTTTAACAGCAGGGAAAAGAGAGAGAAGAAAGAGAAAAAGATTAGTTGAACTTGTTAGAATTATTAATAAATGCTTTAGAGGTAGCAAAATTTTCTTGCGAATTTTTCATTACTTTATCTTTTTCCTTTCTATTTTCTATCCTGAAAATGAGCAAGGTTGATGGGGATAAATAGGAATATGTTGTTGTTGTTGATGATGGTTATGAAGATGATGATGAGGGAGGAAAAGGAAAAGTTGAAAAAATAGAAACCATCATGTTGAGTATCGTGTGTTTCATGACTTTTCCCGATTGTTAGGGTGTTTACCAGGATCAGAAGCAGAACTGATTATCACTCAAGATTTGTAAAGGTGATATTTACAATGATATTTCCTGGCAAAAGGTTATCTGCTGAATCTTCCTCTTTTCTTGTGAAAGAAAGAAAAACTTTCTTTTAACCAACAAACAACATTCTAATCATCATCTCATAAATGTCAAATGTATTCTTTATCCAAAGTATAGCAGTTTAATTGGAGCCACTAACTGTTGACAGTTAAGACAGCATGGCAAATTAGTAACCCAATCATAACAGATTAAATCAAGGTTAATATCTAATCTAATTTTTGTAGCCAGTAAAAAGGATTGGATTGAGTATCAATGTAAGATGCATGATAAATAGGTTTAAGAACCATTGGCGATAATTGTCATTTTAAAATGATATGGTTGACAAAATCATATTTCAGCCTGAACAATGAATGTTTAGGGATCACAATACAGTTATGTGACAATGAAGCTGAATATGAAACTCAAAAAATAAATTGGTTTGAGGTTTGGTTTGAAACTCCCAGCTGGTTATGATGAACGCCTTCAAGGTGGGTTAATACAATGTATAATGTGTTATGTGCGAGTGGATAAGTCAACTTGCACTGTGAAAAATGCTACGAGATTGTTTAGACTAGATTTAGACAGAAAGGAGAGGGAAGAAGTTGCAAATTTACGATTACTGAGTAACTCATTATTGACGGATTTGTGTCACGTTGATGGATAATCAAGTTGCTTGTTTAAGCACAAAACACACAGGGTAAATAAGATAGTGATGATGAAGAGGAAGAGTAAAATACGGTTAAGTGATTAAATTAACACTTACTCATCATGAGGAGCGTCCACCGCTATTTTAAAAGAGAAAAAAAACAATTATTAGAAATTATTTGAGACGAATGAGTATTAAAGACCATTAAATCTCGTATATTAGGCAATTGTGAGTTTCTGATAAAAATTCAAGTCAAGTCGAAAATAATGAAAATGTATTCCATTACAGAAATGATTAACAGTAGTTCATCTAAGGCAGTGATAAACCATAACTGCTAAATCATCTTTGTGATGGTTTAGCAACCAGATTTCGATCACCTAAATTGCCGAATATATTTGATCAAATGGACTTGAGAGATTAAGCCAGAATGAAAATTAACATCAAGATGTTGATGGTTGATAAATTTTGACGATTATTCCAATAATCTTATATAAAATTGCAATACGAATCTGCATTGTTTTGAAATTTGATTCGCTCTTTGGTCAATAAATCTTGATGCTTGGCTTAAACTTTCAATAAGACTTGATTAGGGTAAACGTACGCGTAAAGTTGAGCTTGATCGAGGCTGAAACTTCTCCTTGTTTATTCCTAGCTTTAACCCAATAAATACCAGAATCGTCTCCGATAACATCATTCAGCTCCAAGGCGACTAGAAATTTATTAGGTCCAACCTCTGTAATTCGGGACTCAATTCTTTGGTCATCTTTAATTTGCACATCCTCTTTATACCAAGTAATCTTTGGTCTTGGGAAAGATATCAGCTGACACTCGAACACAAGCCGATTGCCATCATCTTCTTGTCGTATTCTTGGTTTCTTGACAAATGTTGGAGCAATTTCCTCATTTCCAATATCGTCAATACTCCTTTTACGATTCATCTGACTCTGATTCAATAAACCTTTCTTTGATCTGGAAAACAAAAGACAAATAAAGTCAATACTGATACAAGGTTTAGATTTTGAAACATGGGAATTGAAAATTATTTTTCATTACCAGATTAATTTGGTTGAACTATTTTAAACCATAGATTCCTTTTTTTCGACACCAATTGGTTATAAACTGAATTGTTAATGATTAAAGATCATCTAGATGAGTGATAGTTGAAATAAATAAAATAAATCACATAAGTATAACATTTTAAGCAACCGATACATTTAAAATGTAAAAAGGCGCAAATAGAGGGAAAGATTGATAAAAATGGGTAAAGAAAGAAATGATTCAACAAGTCAAATGGAGGAAAATGAGATAAAGAAATGGAAGAGAAAGAGAAAAAGAAAGAGTTGAAATTACTTTTGGGTTTAGATGATGAACACATTGAATTCACAGTTTCATAATTGGATAATAGTTGTCGATTAAATCACTTAATAGGCAACAATTAACACAGTTCACAATAAAATTTAAGATGTAACCTTTACAATCCTTTGGACAAACGGTTTAAGGTGTGTAATGAGCTGTTGCATGAGAGAAGAAAAGTTATCCCAAAAAATTACCAAAAGATACACCCAAAGTAGACAGAGGATTTAGGTTGCGGAAAGAAGCAAAAAGGAGAGTTGAGAACGATGATGATTCTATAAATATTATCTAAAGGATCAGCGAAAGTTGAAGATGAAGACTAAGGAATGAGAAAAAGAAGGGAAAGGAAGACAGATTAGTACAGAAGATGTGGCAACTTGATAGACTAAAAATATTTTGGCTAACATCGTCACCAAAATATTGGTAACTTTTAACCCATCGCTGGTTAAATTTTTGCGTTTCTATCACTTCACATTTTCAAGATGTACAATTTAGGATACTTAATTCCTGATTAGTGAACACTATTACATGATTCCTCGAGAGAAAATTGAATCAATTGTAATTTACAGCAAAAAAGCTAAACTCGATCTTTTCCAGTTGCAATGAAATACCAGATTCTCAGTCCATTCAGTTATCTCCAGTTGAAGCTGGTTTCCAATGAAGAGTTTCTGAAATGAATGAGTCAATTATTAAATCGTTGAATTTTGACTTATGACCAGCCAAAAACCAATCAAAAACACCAAACCCAATGTTTACAGTTCATTCAATTACTACACAGTGAACAGTTTATTTAATTCAACAGCTTACATAGAAATGATTGACTTACAGATTTATCAGTAATCGAACTGCCAAATTAGCATTGAATTGAAAACTTACAAGTTGGAAGGTATTATTAAAATCAAGTTGATATGGATTTAGGATTTGATTCATTTTAGTTACCCAAGAAAAGAGTAGTTTGAAATGTGACCAATGGGCCATACGGACCACCAGTAATTGCATATTTAGCTCGAATACGATCACGGATTGGATATTGGAGTTGTTCCTCCGGTTCCCTTGAGCCATGCATGTTCAAGGCACTCATGAGCCGTAAGTCTCTTCTCCTTATGGCGTGTTAATAATTTACGAATAAAATCTTTGGCCTCGTCCGAAATGTTGCGGAAGGCATCTTCATCAAAGTTCCAATCACAGGCTTTAATATTTTTCAATGTTTCAATATCATTGTCACCAGCAAAAGGTGAAAAACCGCTAAGCAATACATAGGCTAAAACTCCGACAGCCCACATATCGGTATAGAAACCAACAGGTTCTCGTTCAACAATCTCTGGTGCGGCAAACTCGGCTGTTCCAACTGGTATTTTAATTACCTCATTAGGATCCAATGTGGTTGTCAATCCAAAGTCAATAATCTTTACGGCACTAGAGTTTTTAGCTTGACACATAATATTTTCGGGTTTTAGGTCTAAATGAATGATATTTTTCTCGTGCATGTGTTTAACTCCTTCACAAATTTGTCTCATGTAGTTAATTACTTCGGCTTCTGACATGTGATATCCTTCGGTGGTTATCCTTTCAAATAACTCTCCACCAGACATAAATTCATAAATCAATATCATTTCACCATCATCTTCAAAAGCATCATGCAAACGTATCAGCTTATTGTGATGAAGTTGATTCATTATGTCAATCTCTTTACGAATCACAGATTTTTCATATGGATGAGCAACCGGAATGAATTTAGCGGCAAATATTTGACCTGATCGTTTTTCACGACACTTGTGGACCACACCAAAAGCTCCTGTACCAATCTCTTCCAGAATGTCATAGAAATCATAGATGGATGATGTTTTAATATCAACTGGTCCCTGGAATTTTAAATCTTCCGTAACAAAGTGATCATAATTGGTAATTTTTCCTTCATCTTTACCTCTAACTTTACGTCCATGAGCATCCGTTAACCAGTGACGTTTCTTGAGCTTATCTTTTTCACTTGGTTTAGTTTTAATAACACTGGTAACATCAGAAGGTTCACTTCGTCCATAAATATTTTCAGCATAGATTCGTATTCTTTTTCGGGATTTAATCCACCGACTTGGAGAAGAGTAAATCGAGAGATGATTTCAATACACTTTAATCAAATCAAAAAATTGACTAAAATTGACGTCTGATTAAAATTCAAAATATTCTCCAGACTGTCCACTAGATGGCGTAAGCTACGAGTAAGCTACAATAAACTACCGGTTTTGCCTTTTTTGTTTTCTTTTTTCATCTTTCATTGTCTTTACTGTTAGGTAAAAAGTTTTTGCCAACATTTTGGTTTATTTTCAGTTTCTTTAAAATATCTTTCAACACCATGTTGCGATACAGCTTGTTAATTTTACATGTGATCATCTCGATTAACCTGGTAACTGTCAACTGTGATCAAAACACTGATCTTTCTGTGCCTTCAATCTCACAAACTCATACAAAATCTGGTAAACAATGTAAGCTATTTTTTCCGACCTCTTAGTTCCGTGTTAGCTCTGGATCATTTTCATGGCAACAAACCTTTTCAAATTTTTAACCTAACCACCTGTGCTTTTGTGGAACAACTCCGAATGTATTAATTTTCTTATTTCAATTTGTTTTCAGCCGATTGTAAGTATATGAAAGGAACTTGGTCTGCCTGTTCAAATGGCATCAGAAGCCGTGAGGATACTTTGAGGGTTTCCCATTCAGTTTCAAACTGCAACAACACCAGAACTATTCACAAAAAATGTAAAAATGGTAAGTAACTGAAATTTCAATGAACGATATTTAGGTTTGATTTTAGACGAAACTTCCAATCAGTCTTTCTCCTTGAAGATGTATGCTGTAAATATATTTTTGACACTTTTAGTTATGTTGCTCATTTTTTGAGCATGTTATCTTTAAGCCAAAGCAAAATGATCTTTGATTTGTTGCTTACATCTTCTAAAAGGATTTGGTAGCTCGAGTTTATTTCTGTGAATCTCATCTCGGGACTGAATCATCGATAATTTCCTCTTGTGTAATGTCTTAACCCTCATAAATTTGGTATTTTTTGATGAAAACTCATGTCAAAGTATGCAAGGCAAATGAAATTGATTCATAACTCATCATTTGGGTGCAAGATATGGTTGTAGTCATCATTTCTTTTATTTAAAATTGCAATTGAGTCATTAAGGATGAACCAAAGTTGAGTTGAAATATTTATATATTGTCTTTATGGACAGTATTTAATGAGAAAATCGATTGTTTTATCATTATTCTGAACATTATTTCCACAATATTAACATCTTGCTTGTAATTTTCATTGTACTTTCTCTACATTCATCCATAAAATAGCCATTAATCTCACCTTAAATAATTATTCTTTGTTTTCAAACAAACGTTTACTCACCAGAACAAAGTCTGCTTTTTCTCGAACTAAATTACTTCAATTACTTCACCAGCTTAACTTGCTTTTAATGTGTTAACCAGGCTGCGAACAATAGCTTTTATAAGAAAAGGAAACATCTTCCCAATTTCCATAGAATTTCATTCCTTTTTTTCTCCTTTATTTAACATATTGAGAAACCTTCCCAGAATTTATCATGTCAACTCTATCAATAGCAAGCTGAGAGCAAAATTTCCTTAATCTATGTATTTTCAAACAAATGCATTCTCATTCACTTTCTTAGATTCATCTACTTTCCTCTCACCACAATTATATCATCATTATTCATTATTAACATCAATTTTCATTAGGATTGTGCTCGAAATATCAACCCATGGTCTTAAATGTTTATTCAATATTGATGTCTTTTCTCTCCCTTCAAATTCCCCCGAATATTCCTATCCATTTTTCCCTTTACTGGAGATTCTCACGAGTATCGTCATATTGTTTCTCATTTAAATCAATTTGGTATGGAGACGTTTTTTCACAAAAGGCTTGGGAATCACTTTATACTCTATTTTCAATCTTTTCACCATTTCCTCCTTCTCCACCTACTTTTGATGTAAAGTGTGTAAAAAATGTCATTCAAAATGCGTGAAGAGTAAAAGATTGAAAACCGGAGAAATATTCAGAAGCTAAAGATTGGATTAAATAGTGAATAAAAGACCTGGTTATATCAATAAAGCAATGATCAATAAATTGCAGATGCATTTTCAAAGGTCATTTACTTTATGATAAACCTTACATTTGCTGGTGAATTTATTTTCTTGAGTTTTCCTTCTAATCATAAAATAGCCAGGAAATTACTAGCGGTTTCTATATCATCTTTCATTTTCCTAGTATTTCTGTTTTTCCTTTCTTCCAAATTGTCTTGAATTCATTATTAAATTACAAACTGAGCAAAGCTTTTAAACCTAAACTTGTTTTTACCCAAATTACTGAAACAGAACCAAGTAGTGACCAAAAAAATTGACCCAATGCATAAACAAACAAAAATACAAGATACGGTTCAACTTGAAACTTGACAATATCTTGCACTGTAAAGTAAAGTTCAACGTGAAGGAATTCACTTTAGATTTGCTTGAAAATCATTATGAATAGAGCTTATTCATCGTAAATGTTCATCTCTTGACTGCTCTTTCGTGGTCAATTGTTTGTACCCATAATTTGTTTAAATCTCAGACACGCATCTCTGTCTTGATCATCTTACAATTTCCTCCTACTTCCATCTAGAACTGATTTTGAGAAATCATTTCGTATCTTTAAATCTTATGTTGTTTTTTTGTTTGTTTCAAGAATATTTTCCCATCTTTCTTCCATCTTCATCTTCCTCAGTCTCACTCTGTTTTTTGTTCACTCACCATCTGAGATTGTCTGGGTTGCTTTAAGCAACATTTACAAGGCAAAGATCGTGATGAAGTCCACTCTATCTCCAATGTAAGCGCTTGCGCTACATGATTATCTTAAGCCTCTGAGAAGCTCCTTTCAGATGGTGGAAGCTGATGAGATAAATACATCGATATATACCGAAACAAACATCAACAGAGAGACTCATTCTCTTCCCTTTAAGCTTCTCATTTTATTATGTAATTTTATATATAAATCTTAAACAACTAGACTCACTATTGACTCACACACTCAATCATTTCTCCTTCAATCGCTATAATTCACTGTACTCTTCTAGTGTTATAACTGATTCTTCACTTCTTGCTCAACTTGTTTTCATCTTGTACATTAGTTTCAGTTCTTGAACAACTCCATCAACACTTGCAAACCCAGCGATTCTTATTTTTAACCAAATAGCAATGAATTCGAAAATTTTCAGTATATTTTTCGCTCTTGTCATTACATTGACCATTGTGCTTTGTGAAACACCTGAACGACAACCTAAACAAAAATCTCCTAATAACAAGCAAGGTAAACAAAAACAATTTCATTTTTTCGTGTTAACACAACTTCTCAATTTCAATATTCTTTCACTTATCATTTAATATTCCAATTATGTCTAAAATCTAATTACAATCCTTAATTGTTAATATTTCAAAGTAAAACAGTTGCAGCTCAATGCTCATACCTTTAAATAGGATTTTAAATATTTACGTGATTTACTCCAGTAATTAGCATTCATCTACCCGAGTCTTTCTTTTGCAATATTCATTGTTTTTTAGCTTTTCATTTGCAACTCATGATACGTTTCATTCCAAGTTATCTGCTTGATTAGATTCTTTTAAACCTGGCAACTGTGAATCTTCTTCTGTCATTCTGTTTCCATCTTACACAAGTTCAGTGAACCTTTTTCCTCTCATCTCTATCTATTAACAATGAACTTAGCTTTGATAGTTTCCATCTTAATCGCACTTATGTTCAATACATTTTCCCATTGATTCAGGTTTCTTCTGAGAAAAATATTCGAAAATCTTTGTTTACTAATTCTCTCATTCAAACCCAACTAAACCAAAATTTAGTTCCAAAAAAATATATTTCAATGCAAACTTTTGTCAGATAAACCAAGAAAAGGCGTAAAATAAAAGATTATTTACAGTTTTAACCAGAAATTGAAATATCTGTTTATGGACGTTTCTCTAATCAGTCCATTTCCATTATAACTTATTTCAATTTATCGCACAACATTCGAAATGCAGAATGTTTTTTTCTTAAGCAAATGTATGTGATAATTTACAGCAAAAAGTGTCTTTTTTCCTATTAGTTTGCATTTCTCTGAGCTTGAGCTAAAAATAATTGAACTTGAGCTTATTGGAAGTTTTGTTATTGAATCAACCTTCAAAATTTCTCATTATTAATTTTTCTTCGTTAATTATCTTAAGTCTTTAATGTTATTAGTATATCACTAAATCAAAAGTATTTGCTATTAAGATCCAAAGGCGAGAATCTTAATTGCAAATAGTTGAGATAAAGTGGTTTAACTATTACTTATCTGATTGTCTTAATTATTTTAATTGTTTTCTCCCCAGTTTGCCGTTACAACAAAGGTCCATGGTCAGATTGTGTCAACGGTGAAAAATCACGAACCGATACTTTGAAAATACCAACTCCAGGCTGTGAAGCGACACGACCTGCCACCAAAAAATGTAGACCAGGTAAGATGAGCCTTAATCATGTGTTTAATTGACAAATCTTTACTTTTATCAAATAATCCAATCAAAAACATGATCTAGAAGTCGAGTTAATCTAGGATTAATAGATTTATTGGTATTGATTTATGTAATGTAATCTTGTCTTATGATTTTCTTACGTTATTAGTTAATCTTTAATAAACATCATAATCAGTCACAACTTCAATGATAATGTCAAATTAACATCTTGAAAAAAACATGTCAATCTAAAAGCGGAAACGGGTTTTCAAGCTCATTCATTTATCTATCAATCAATCTTCTTGTGACTATTTTTTCTTGCAATTTCAATCTTGCACGAATTTCAGTTTACAATATTTTCAATCTAAATTGTTCCTCAACACAATTTACGCACTTAAACTACACAATTTATCTGGAATTAGCAATGTTATATTGATTTCCTTTATTGATACCTATTGAAAGATGGAAGCTATTAATAACTTGAAAACTCGACGAACTAATAACTCACAGATTTGAGGATTTACCAAACAGCTCATGATTGAAATAACCTTGTTGCTTCTGCTTGTTAAATGTTAATCGTTAATGAACAGCTAATTTGTGCTTCTTCTTCCAACACAATGTAATCTGCTACTAATTACATTTCATGGTTATAGTTTGACAAAATTTGACCCTAATAGTTGTAATAGATGAGTGAACAATCATTTGAAGAGTGAATCTCATGATGACAGTAAAATGTCAACAGAACACATGAACTCAAGTAATCATTGTTATATAAATTATAATTTCAGTTATAAACGTCAATTAAAGACCGTAAATTGAATTAAATTTCTTTTACAATTCTATTCCTCTTTTCTTCCATCAAAACATTTCCTCTTTTTTTGTCAACTAATCATTTTATTTCTGTCTCTTTTTTACAGCTTGTCGATATTCAAAGGGAGAATGGACACCTTGTGAAAATGGTGAAAAGAAGCGAACCTTAACCCGACTAGAAGGTGATGGACCCGATTGTCCAGCCACCAAGGCAGTAAGCAAACAATGTTCACCTCAAGCCAAGAAAACCAAACAGCCTCGAAACAAAAATCGAAAGACAAACTCATCATCAATCACTCCAAGCCAAGCATATTAAACATCTTAACCTGACTCATTGCGCCGCACTTATTCCTTCACACATAATCTGATTCAAAAAGAAACAAAAATTCAATTCTATTCACCCAATCTTCACCAAATCCTTTAGTACATCTTTTCCATTTTATCCTCGAGACAACTTCCACTATTACCTGATTTCAAATGTTTTTCATCAACGTTCCCGTTTACACCAAAAGAAACCTTTTCTTTTCTAATATTTATAGCATAAAACTATGATTTTACTTTGATAATTTCATGGTAAAATTTTCCTGTATCACCGAAGAGAAGAATCTATTGAATCGAAGCGGCAAATTTAGCAACTGTGGGTTTATTTTCTTCTCAAAAGCAATGGCAAGTTGATCAAGTGATGTCGATAAAAGATGAAACCAAAATATCATCATTTCTTCCAGTTTTTTTTCCTTTTTCTCTTATATTTCTTATTCTGTAACACATTATTGTTTCTATTCAATACAATCTTTTTTTACTCTTAACCAAAATATTCAACAACGAAAAAAAAGAGTTGCTGTGAAACAAAATAGAGACAAAACTGGGAAACTCTCAAGCTCAAAGGAGTAAATGAAGGCCAGAAAATATGAAAGACTAACATTGCGACAAAACAAGATCTTCTCATCGAGTCATGACTGCGAATTACCAAGATTTACATTCAATTTTTCTCATAATTCATTTGTTTTCTCTTTTTTCTTATCAATATTCTTACTCTCATTTTCTCTAGCTTTTGTCTCAATCTCTCTTTTTTTGTATTATGTAAATCTTTAAACAAAAAGTGGTAAAAAGCCCGAAAAAACCAATAATATAATCAACAATAAAACTGGTTTAGAGTATAAAAAATTGTTGTTTACTGAATCAACCAGAAACGCACCAAACAATTCCTTTAGCCTTTTCTCTTGAACAAAATCCAACTTTATAATATCAAACCTTTTACTGTAACCTTCCAACTGATTGAACCTCAAATTGTTTCAATTCAGTGAATCAAAAACGAACTAAAATAAGACAAAATATTCAGGAAAAAAAGGACGAAGATGAAAGTGTAATTACATTGACTTAGTCAAGTGAATACAAAAGCTTCAAAGTTGATATTAGGTTTTGTTTCAAGTCTAATACTTAATTGTTTAGCCTTTCATAGTTCACTGTAATACAAACTAATTGAAGTCAACGTTCAGTTATTAAATTAAATTGTAGAGTCAGTATTTCATTATAAATTTGTTTCATTTAATACTTGGGCTCAGTCTGTAATAATGAAATTCATCATTTCCTTTCAGACTTTTATTTGATATACAATTGTGATTGTCTACATAACTGGAAATGGTTATGAACAATTCATATCATGATTGTCATTAGTGTATCACTCAAGACGGAAATGAATTCAATCGATTCTTTACTCTGTCAAATATTTCATCTTAACCATTTCTTTCATTATCATCTGTGATTAATGGAGATCAATGAACTTCATTTTTTGTTTACTCTTCTTGACAGTTCTCGAGATTATTCATCTTCTTATATTCAATGTGATTTTTCGTGTAAATTATTGAGTTAATTTGTCAGATTGTTACCAAAAATTAAATTTAAATGCTTATTTGTATTTGTCAACGTTGTGATAAATTTAGAATCATTTTCAAGTTGAAATTGGATTACATTTTATGGCAATAATTCATGTTCAACTTTGAAGTACATTTAATCTTAACTGGATAATTTAGTCTCCAACCAAGGTGATTATGGATTCCTTTGAGTGCTTGACAATTAGTCGTATTTTTGAGTGTGAATTATAACGTGGTGAAAGGTCAAGAATATAATAATTGGTTTCAATTTTAAAATGAATATGTTATCAATGGAAGTATATTTTGGAAGTTATATCAAGTCAAAAGTGATAATGAAATTTGAGTGTAAATTATAAATATATTTTCTCCGATTGATTAAAACCAGTTGCTATGGCTGTTTCATAAGATGGCGGAGGTGAAGGTTGGTTAGTGAAGCTCTGTCCAACCTCGACATCATCAGGTCCATAATAATTACTATCAATCTCTGGAGTCATCTAAATAATGGATGAATAAAAAAATGAAATAAATAAGTGAATTGAATTTGTGTGTTCGTTGGTTAAAATGAGACAAAATTACCGCAGCAAGTATCGCTTGTCTGGTCAAGTATTCAATTAATGTCTTTTTGCGAATGTGAATTAGTGTTTTAAGGGCAACCATGAGGCCACAGCATAAAAAGAAGGGTCCAATGAACCAGAATCGAGCAAATGCACTGGTTAATAAGTGACTCTCTTCAATTGAAAGTAATGTTATCAAAGAGCCAGCAGCAAATAGTGTTAATGCCAAACAAAGGTAAGCATATGAAATTGTATCACAAGGTGATATTGGAACGCCAATTGAGATGGTTTCAGTTGATGGATCGTTTCTTGAAGACATCTTTTTTTACAATTTAAATATATAATTTCCTTATGTGCATATAATTTTTGTAATAATCAACAACGAGCAAGTAAACGTTTGCTATAACAAGACGTAAATATATCTTTACAGGTTCATTTTTATGCTTTCCAAGGCAAGTTGATTCCCAAGTTGATCAAGACCAGATCATGATCATTGTGATATCCAATTTGATAGAGATGATTAATGTGTTTGTCATTTGAATAAAATAGCTTCAATATCTTTTGGTCCATTTTATAAACAGGATCAACTAACTGTTGCAATAGAAACATGAGATAAGAGAACAGAACTGATTAGAATTCAATATAAAGAATAGATTTTAAAATATCAGATAAAAGAAGTAAGATTCGACAATAGCAAGTCTTAACCTTTTTTAAAGATGTTACGTTGAATCTCAAGGTTACCTTTTTGATAAGGTAAACTTGAGTATTCCAGGTGAAGCGATCGATTACAGAGTAAGTCTTATGATAGGATTCATCATGGTGACTAGACTAATTGATTTTATTAACCTAAACCATATTTAGTAATTATTAATAAATTTCAGTAACTTACGTGTTTAAGATCCAGCTCAGTATCCATCAGCCAATCACTTTGTTTGATGTGTTATTTTTTAGATCGCCGTTGTTGATTTTGGCGATGAAAGGTAAACTGGTTGTATCAAAAGGTCATCCAGTAATCAATTATTTTGAATTGGTTGAAAGAAATACGAAAATCACGGTCGAATCATCAGCGTTTTCGGAATAACCTTATTTATATATTATTACCGATAGTAAACCAGATAAGGAAAAATAAACAAATATTAAATTTGAACTCTAATGGTTCTAATTACAATGCGCATCTTCACGAATAACCATGAGTCTGATCTGCTGGTTCTATTACTATTTTCACCATCATTCTAACATGTTTATCTCTTTCCAGTTTCAAAAGAGTTGCCTATTTTTCTAATCCTAGAGAAGGAGGGAGACAAAGAAGGTCTTTCTTCGAAGTAAGCATAAATTCATTGCTTGTTGCACATTGTTTTCTGTTCCAAGAGTGATCAAAGAGTATATTCGGCAATTTCAATCTTTTTTTGTATCTGATATTCATCACCATGAGTCCGGCAACATTAAATGGTCAACCTGAAAGTTACAACTCGAGCAAAGTAAGTCAATTCGAACACTTAATCAGAGTCAGCTGTTTCTTTCGGTTCGTCCTTTTAACGGTAGAAATGGGTAAAGATTTTGAATTTGCCTTTTCATGATGTAAACAATGTTTTTCCCATCATTATTTCCAATTTTGAATGTTAGGTGATTGGATTTAAAGGGCTGGAAGCATTAGCTTTGGTGGTGATTATTGGTGTCCTCCTGATGATCTCAGCACTGACCAGTTTTACCAATTTTATGATAATCTATAAATTGCGGCTGTTTCCTCGGATGGAGATGATTGCCTTTAGTGACGATGGACACGTTATATTCAATCACGAAGCCAATCTTAATAGAGTTCATTTGTACAAGAATGTAATGGCCGGTGTATCAAAAATCAAAGGAGATATTTCTCTAGAAGCTGGATCAGAGTCATATTTGCACCTCAATTCAGAAGGATTAGAGATTGGTTCACCTGAAGGGTTCAAAGTCTATTCACAAAAAACAGATAAATTGCTGTTTCCACCAGATTTTTCAAAGCTGCCTTTACCTTCAATCTCGTCTATATCCATTGAAGGGGGCATCCGAAATGTCCATAAGATAAGATCGCCAACAGATAGTGATTTAACCATATCAAGTGCAAGATCTATCAGCATATCTGGAAATGAAGGTGTTCAAATTGATTCTAAATCTATCAATTTAGCTAGTTCATCAATAAGTCTTTCAAGTATAAATGGTTCAATTGTATTTGAAGGTGAACAAGGAATCACAATAAATCCAACTCGAATGATAATCTCGCCTGGAAGTATTGATGAAGGAGAGGAAACTAATTCAATGAGTTTACAATATAAATTGTGTGTTTGTGGTAAAACTGGAAGATTGTTCAGGATCAAAATTAAGTCACCAGATCATACGTGCGCTGATGTGCGTTTTCCAGAGTCAAGCAATCCTTGTTCATAAAATTACATTGAATGTACAATTTGTGTTATTTGTCAATAAAACTCAAACTGTAAAATCTATCAAATTTAGTTATTGATTGAGACATCGATAAATTGAGAACAAATCAGCTGGCTCCACATAAACAGCAAAAGGTGTATCCATAAAGTCCAACTGTGAAAACAGTTTCTTATATCGATGTTATTAGATCAGGAGATCACATTTTAATTTAGTTTATATTTTAATTTGTTGATTCTGGGATTATCGGCAATGAATCGGTTCTTTCCGATAGTTGGCTTAAAACGGCGCCACCGGCTTCATACAGCCAATTGTAACCATGGAGACTAGTGACAGCAGCTTGAAACAAAGTTGCAAAGTGATGAAATCTTGTTTTGAAATGGTAAGCTTATCTGATTAATCAATAATCAATCCTTAATTAACTTTTTCATCTCTGTTTTTATCACAGGATACAGAATCACCATCCTCATCCTCAGTTTCACTCGGCATAGGTGACGATGTAAGTAATAATTCATTTATTTGGTTAGATACTGGAAATTTAAGCCCCAATTTTGAGTAACATTAAATAGTACCAATTACCAAGAAGTACCAAAGACATCTGCATTTGATATCAAGATGAAAAAAAATTCCACAGCAAAACCCAAGAAGCGAAACTCGAAGAACCAGCCTAAACTCACAGCCATCGGGCCAATGGACTTTTTCGTTAAGCGCTCTGGGACAACCAACTCAACAACTGATTCATCAACATCAGCGGCAACTTCGTCTTCTAACATTGGTACCAGTTCTCGGACTAGACAAGCAAATGTTTGCGGTGAAACTGAGTTAAACACTGTATCCGACATCATAAGAGAATGGATTGAAACTGAGGTTGAATTGAACGATGAAGATGTTGCATATATTTTAAAGTATTTTTACGATCTTATCGAGGAACGCAACTTAACCTATTTAGCGGCCGTTGTACAAACTTTTCACGAATTAGTTGGCAATCGTGGTGATTACGAATGGAAGGAAGCTTACAACAATGTAATCATGTCTATACAATATGAACTTTCTTCTGATCAAGCTTTACAACAAAACTTGCTTTTACCAAAATTTGATATATAAATCATGCAAGGTTATGTATCCTGGCTCCTAACGAAGGACAATTTCATTAGCATTTAAAATATAACAATAATATAACATTTCCTGTCATGATAATGTTAACCTAATTCAATTTTATCAATAAAATTTGCCTATTTGTCCAAAAAAATTACTTAACTATAATTAAATCTACAGTTGCTATCTTACCTACTTTTCCCTCTCTTTGCCTGAAATATTTTGGTTAGAGAGTCTCTTCCTTTCAATCTCCACCTTTCAGCCAACTGATGCAAAAAATGATTTCATAAAGGATCATTCAGTTTTATTGTGGCATGTTTATCCAGCAATAGAATCACCATTTTGATAATTATTTTCTTATTCTAACTGTGTTTTCATCATTGATTCATCATTATGGCCATCAACAGAGCATTATTATTCAAAGTATCGCTAGATTCATTAGCTACTTTCTTAGGTAAGTTGACCATGGGTTTAATTTAAAGTTTACACCTTTTCTCTATCCAGCTTCTCTATATTATTAATTTTCTCTCATTTTAATTACAGTTGGATTACCATTTTTCTTATTGTACTTCATTGGTGACCCTTATAAACGTGGCTTTTACTGTGATGATGAATCAATCCGTTATCCTTTTAAAGAATCAACCATATCATCAGGATTACTATTCTCCGTGTCAATCATTTCTTCTCTTGTTGTGGTATTTATTTTAAATTGCAAGATTTAATCCACTTTCAAGCAAATTCCCTCAGAATTTATATATTATGGGAATTCCTTAAATTCCTTAAATATATATATTTATTATAAGATCGAAAGAAAAGCATGAAAATTATGATTCTATGATAAAACCTTCACGTTAGCTGCCTTTTATTTTCGTTGGTCTCTTTGTTTTGCCTGAATGTGGATTAAATGGGTATCTGTTAAGGAAATAATTTACTTGATTGAACTCGCATAATAGATTAAAACTATGCATTTTTTATTTATTTTATAGATTTGTACAACTGAATACATGTCCTTAGAAAGCTTTAGACTTGGAAATGCTGGACGCCAACCAGTGCTCCAATTTGCATGGATACTCTACCATCAGCTGATTATATTTGCTTTTGGTGCTCTTTCATCTCAAACATTGACTGATATAGCCAAATATTCAATTGGAAGACTCAGACCCCATTTTATCGATGTTTGCAGGCCCGACGAGGCATTTAACTGCGGTCAAAATGATTTCAGGTATATCGAGAATTATGTTTGCCAAGGAAAACCAGGAATTTCCAGAGATTTAATGAGAGATGCTCGACTATCATTCATGTCTGGACATTCATCATTTTCAGCTTATTGTGCTGTTTACATTGCTGTAAGTTTACATGATGTGCATTTATAAATAGTTTCATTCATTGTTCTGTGTCCTTGTCACTTGTTATCCTTGGCGTTTAATATCATCTTCAATTCTTTCAATTAGCTTTATTCAAATTCTATCTGGTATCATGATCAATTAACTCTTTTTCATCATTCATTTTTACAGATTTACTTACAGAATCGTGTTAAAAGTCCAAAACTAGCTTTGCCAAGAGCTTTTCTCCAGGTTCTTGTCATTTATTTATCAATTTATACTGGATTCACTCGCATCTCTGATTACAAGCACCACTGGAGTGATGTTCTCGTTGGATTAATACAAGGAACTTTGGTTGCCGTTTTGACCACACGCTATGTTGCATATCTTTTTAAGTCTTCAATTATCATTAGTGGTGTTGGAAATAACATGAATACTAATTCATCAGTTGCTGAAAACCTGCAAAAAGATAAAAGAAACTTTTCAACATTCGAAGTTGAAGCTGGACCGGTGTAATTATAAAATATGAAACGGTTGGTAGAGGCTTATCAGACTAAATCAATTGCCTTATTTAGCCTCGAAAAGTTCATCTACAGCATAATGATCCGCACAATTTCATACTTCATAATTTCTGAGCTTATGGTATCCTAAAGCCTTTCAAACCATTTGAAAACTACTTGGTGTATAACAATTAATTTACCAAAAACGTCCATTACTTTCAGTATTCTTATGCGCCGAAACAAAAATGAAACCGTAGACATTCCCAAAGTCTGATATTTCTAATAACTATAAAGACTGATGAAATGTAATAGTTGAAAATATCAGATCACAAATCAAGTTCAAATTTCATTGTATTCTGGAAATTAACTAACTCGGAGATTCTATTTTTCATAACCTTGTTAAAATTTAACCTGCTTGAGTTGCTTGCACTTTCTTGTAATAGCTGGACATATACATTAAATGAAAAATTTAATGTCTCGATAAAATTTAAATTTTTACATGAAGTATGGTGTGATTAAACGCAGGATATATGTTACATGATTGTTAGAGCATCGTGTTCAATTTCGTGATTCAATTGGGTTTGCAAATCTGTGAGCTTCTTTTTCAAAACGTTCAATCCACTTAGCACAATATTGACCGGCTTCAAAGCTCCGGAAGATTCGAGGTTGAAGTAGAATTTTGATGGTTGCTTGTCTCTGATATAATCAGCTTCGTATTTAGTATCATCCAATTCAGAAAATTCACTTTTAGGCCATTCTTCGGGAATTGGAAAAGTTGTGTGCCTAAACGAATTATCTGGATCATATTCAAAGGATACACTAGAAGTAGGATTCCATTTAGCATGTTCCTTGCCAAAGCCTACAGAAAGGAAGCAAAAATGAAAATTTATAAAAAAGAGTTCAATACGAATAATTCGAGTAAATTAAGATATTATACCTTTCTTAGCATAAGCACGTATTCTCAATTCTTGTCCTTTCCTGAGCTTGACGATTAATATTTCTTCATTCTCATCACCATAATCCTCTTCATCAGCTTTTTTGGTAGCAGGTACAACAAATTGATTTTTACTTTTCAAGTCGGATGAAGTTACATTTTTAGTGGCATCCTCATTGCATTTAACATGCAATGTGAATTCGACAGCACAATCCTGACAGAAGTCACTACAGACACAGTCTCTCGAATAAGCCATTTTATCGACAACCTCATCACTGGTTAGAGGAATAAGTCCCAAACGAGAAGCAATAAATTCATCAAACAAAACGGTAGAATTTGCCTCCAATTGAACCCAATCAATGGCCAAAGTTGGTACCTCACTAATAAATGTCCGGCGTAAAGCATTGGCGACACTTAAACTTGTTTCTTCAATAGAGAATTTAATATTTTCCTTGGAAGAATCAGTAATACTGATTTGTGGTTGATTAGCATATGGCATTTTCAATTTAAAAAATAAAACTATAAATTACGTTAATATGAGAATGAAAAAAACCTCAACAAATAATAAAAAAATGAGAAGCGCAATTCGGTTTCGATACCAAGCACAAAAAAGAGTCTGTATCTCCTGGTTACCAGTAACCAGTTATCATCATGAACCGGTTACCCAAACATAAGCGCGAAATTTGAAAATAGAAAATCTATTAAAAATTTAATCCCAAAATGAGAATAAAATGAATTAATAATAGAAAGAAAATAAAAAATATGAAATAGGCCGGACAATATGAAGTAATAAAAATGCTCAACTATAGTCCAATAAACTCAATAATTTAGGTGATCAATAAAAAAGACTTATAAATGATGAAAATAATTTTTGACTGAACTGGACAATAAATTGCCATTGAATTGGCAAAATATTTGAAATGGCGAAATGAACGTTCACTTTTAAATCTAAATTTTCTGTTGAAATCATTAATCATTTTAACGGTCATTCCATAACAAAAGGTAATGCTTTTAACCTAAAAAGTCTGGTCAAATTGTGAGTTAAAAGGGACAAAACAACTGAAAGTAAGGCTTGAATTTAATCCAATCATATTTATATTCACCAAGCAACTGAATCAATACTAGCAATCAACAAAAAGGCCTCAGTCATTATTACAACAATTTAGAAAAGTAGAAACAAAAAAAGTTGAGATTTATTGTCAATTCATATCACGATTGGACATGAAGTGAAGCAGTGAAAAAAAAGACTGACCATTTGAATGAAAATATGAAAAAGTGTTGAGTTGAATGTAAAATGTATTGAACAATATTGTAAATTGCCATTAAACAACAAATATAATTTCAAAAGTGGTCAATTATAGCCTATTGAAGGGTTGATTGAAAGCAAATCAAATTGATTAGGGTTGAGCTTGAAGAAATGTATGAAGAGAGGAAAAAAAATTGATATAACAATATTAACATATTGATATTATATTTAACAATTGATTGTCTAGTTTGTGGTTAAATATTCATATAAATGGTATTATAAATCAAAGTTGCGTGTTTCATTTTAGTTAATTCATGTTAAGGGAGGAAAAGGATGATAATTATGATAGTGATGATAATGATAATGAAAGATGAAAGATGAAGGAAGATGAGGAAAAATAATAAATTGAAAAAAGGTAACTAAACAAAAAAGGATTAATGTTTTGATGTTAAAAGATGCTGATGATGAAAATTGTGTTTATGAGACTGGAGAGAAGCTAAAAAAAGATGAAAAATTTTCAATAGACTGGTACAAAAAAAAGTTCATTTAGCAAGAATCAGTTATTCAAGATGATAAATGATGTATTTTCAATGAAAAAAATGATTAAAGTTAAAAATCATTCGAGAAAATGAAAAACCAGAAAAATCCATTGAACGTGAAAAGGGTCTCACTAGATGTTGGATTTGATGGGGAGAGAGTGACTCTGTAGGTTGCAAAATACAAGTCTTTGGCCTAACCATGAAAATGGTGAAAATGATATTGATGATGATGATGATGATGATGTACCTTAGCAGATATATTTTATGGTGAGTTTGCGCTTGAAACTTGGCATGGTGATGAAGAAACAGGGAGAATGGTAGATTTGATAGACAGAGACAATGAAAGAAGAGGAGGAAGACAAAATGAAGAGGAAAGAGAGAGAGAGACTAACCGAATATATCTGAGCGAATCAAGTTCTCAGTGTTTCCCTGTATTAATATCATTTTTACCTGTGATCTCTTCGTACTCTGATTCAATTGTCACCATATATTTCAACCCTTTTTACTATCCATTACTCACTTGCACAATCTCTTGCTCTCTCTGTCTCTGTCTCTATCTGTATCTCTTTTTTTCTCATCATCACCGTCATCATCATACTTGTTCATCATTACCTTTAAAACTTTCATTTCACATAACAGGATAAATTTGAATTCATTTTTCCACCTCATCATATTAAACAATTGAAACAAAAGACACCATCAACAAGGAAAAAAACAACAAAGATAATTTTGTGAGTTTGCCTTGAATCATCCTTTTCATCTTCACTGCCTTCATCTTCATCATCTTTACCTTTTTAATGTCTTTAGGTCATTTTGTTTACCTTCATTAATTAGCCAACAATTTTAATATTTCATCTTCTTCTTCTTTTTTCCCTCATTCCCTTTCAACACTAAAATTAGGCAACAAAGAGATTCTTCATCCACTCATATCATCACCATCACTTGGATCATCTGCATCATCACAAGCAGCAGCAATAACCTCCTCAGGAAGCTCATCAAAACTGGAACCAACAATTTACTGTGAAATGGATATCGATTTAACTGATCCTGAATTGGAAAAAGCAGCAACCAAAATACAAGCAACATTCAAAGGGTACAAGGTTAGGAAAGAAGTTAAAGAGAAGACTCCCGAAACTGAAGAACAGCCCAAAGAAATTCAGCGAAGTGATTCAGTAAGTAAATAATTGTTAATTTATTTAATGGTCTACCATCAATAGTCATAAAATTAATTGTTCATTAAACACAAAATGGATTAAGGTTAAAGTGAAACAGCAAAAAAGTAAAACAAAATCTCATCTCAAATGTCAAATTTATTGTAACACGAGAAGGTTCACTTCAATCCACTCAAAGCAACCTAAGCCTAACACCTCTTAGGTTGAGCCAAGCATGTTTACTCGGGTTCGAGTCCATTCAAAGTCAAGCAACATATCAAAGTCAATCTTTTCATTTGCCATTTACAAATTGTCGAAACAATTAGATTAATCAAACTGCAATATTCAACTGTTGAATTACATTTTGATTGAACACTGATTAACACTTGAAATCCAAGTATAGCAACTTTTTTGTACCATAAAAAGGATGAAAAATTTTCTCTGTTTTTTGTTTGTATTCAAAGCATTTGTAAAAATAAATGTTGAAAAGCAAGTTGCTCAAAGTATACTATCATGAAATACATATTAGGAAGCTGAATAACATGGTAAAGATGGTAAACATTAGATGAGAATACAGGAGAAGAATAAGAAGAAGAAAAGTAAAGTTGTAAATATTTTTTTCTCTTCTTTCCTTTACCTTCAACTTCTGGTGTTTTCATTTTCATCTCAAGAGTTTGTCAAGCATCATGTTTACATGTTATGTTGTCATCAGCTATTGGCTACCCTTTCATTGTCTACTCCATTATCACCCTTTCCTTTGTATATCATGTGTATCATCATCATCATCATCATTTTACATGGAAATATATTTACATACAACTCAAGTTTACCTATTATTTTGTCAGTGCCAAATACAGAATAAATGTTGTACCATTAGCATATAAAAAATGGTTAGAAAACTCGAAAACCAGTCCAAATGAAACATTTCAAGCCCAAAGTAATAACAATAATAGCCTTTGTTATCCAATATACTTTAGCAAGGAAAAGCATGAAAAACAAACAAATTGATAACAAACAAATGTAAATACATTAATTCAAATTATGGTGAAAAAAACTTTCAAAGGTAAAGTCTTAATGTGTTTCAAAACTCCCAGCTATTATTACATTTAAATCGTGTTCAACATTATAAGGACAATTTGAATGATCGATACAAATTCAAGTTGCAAGATTAAATTAACCTTAAGGTCAACTACAAGGTTGACCATTGCAAACGAACAAACCAAATTAGAATTTGAAAAAAATTCGCTTTTCTCTAACAAATTTGATCCTAGATCAGTTCGAGTTTGCTGATAAAATCTTTGTTCTTATCGCCTTATAAATGAATCGAAATGCAAAAGGTTCAATCAAATGATCATTATTTTTTCCTTTTTTTCGCTGCAATTGATGAACAATATTTAGTTGCCAAGTTGATCAGAATCAAGTTGATGAAAAATCTTTGCACAATCGAATGATTTTTCAGTTGGAATTTGATTTTGCAAAAGGAAAGTTGATTTCATTTTTTTCAGGTAATCTTTACTTTGACCAAAAGTCTTTAATAGAAGTGAATTTTGACCTGAATTGTCAATGGTCATTGGAAAGATTGTTTACTATTCAATCGGAAAGATTAAAGATTCAAATGCTTGCCATAATTGTATCGACGTCATTACATGAGAAACATTTATTTTTAGATTTTCCAACAAAATTTCAATCCTTCCAGAACAGGTTCATAATGAGCAACCCTGTAGACAAGCAAAAAACAATAATAAATGCATTTTTTCAGTTCAATTCAAGTTGGGAGTTAAAATTGAAATATTTTATTTTTCCTTCTTTTTACTGTTTCTTTTTCTTCCTTTTAAGTGTTTCTTTTCCTATGTAATTATCAGTATTGGTTAGATTGAATACTTGTCAGCCATTCAGTATGTCACTTTAACATTTAACTGTTTTCAACTTGAATAAGTACAAACACACAGAAGAAGATAATTTATTTGCTAATAATAATTATAAAAAATATTTTACGATCGATAATTTAACCTCTCCATGTTATTCAAGTAATCTCAAGGTGGAACCGAATAGATGATGATACTATAAATGTCTCATCTACTGAACAGTCAACACTAACCAGAAGGTCATTATTGTTTTACCATTGCTATTGTTAACCAGAAAAAGTAGCAAAATGATGAACTCCAACAACAAAAAAAAGGTAAATTAAAATTGGAAATTTTGATGAAACTCGATGAGAATTGTGATGAAAATAAAGTGAAAACTCGTCAAATTGCTTTCAATTTATTCCAATTTTAATGATTACCAAATGTTTGTGTATCCAATCATCCTTCGTGACTCTATTCTCATTAAACTGCAAAATGAGTTGATCATTAACAATAATCATTAACCGATTTCACAGTTTGACCGTAAACAACATTCAATATTAGATTGCAATTTAAATTGTCTTTTATTGTCTATGAGTCTCTCTGATTGTTGTCTTCAAGTTGGATAATTAATTTACTTGTAAAGACAACCTTGATTGTTGTTAAAGTGGTAATTTTCATTGAATTATTACAATCAAGAGTGAAACAAAGCAAAATGAACAAAAACAAGAAAAAAGTTCATCATTAATGATTGAAATGGGAAACAGTTGGGTTATAATACAAGTAGAAGGTTTGATTACAGTTGAACATTAACATTTACTGTAACCAATGGTTGTGATTAACTTATAATTTTTATGGTTCTCATTATAAATGGTTATAAATTGATTTAATTTTGTTTCAGGTAATAAAGATATTTAATATAACGATAACGATGGTAAAAACAAAATAGCAAACAAAACATCTCAGAATTGCTTTGCTGTATATTTTTAGTAGTAAACCTTTTCTCATTTGTTTTGCGTTGAATTTTTCTTGTTTTTTCCTTTTTTCTTCTTCTAATTATTAAATAACATTCAGTGATTAAAGTGTTAATCAGTTGTTGATCAGGGAAAGGTTTTGTAGCTTGGAAAGTGGTTAAATTGTTAATTGTCTTGACTAAATGGTTACTGACAAAATGATAATAATAATAAATCTTTTAGGTTAAAGTTTATGTTAATGTTTTCAGGTTGTTTTTGTATGACATGTTGTCTTGCTTGTTTGTGGATAAAATTGTAATTACTCTTGTCGCCATCTCTTCATATTGGTTAATTACTTTGGGTAATAGCAACACCTTTAAAAGATCGACAATTAACTGTCGACTAATTGTCAACAGTAATAATTAATTTAATCAAAAGGACAGCTTCTGTCAATTGTAAAGTCCAACATTTACCCATTTTAACCCAGAACGATATGCAACACAAGAGTAAGATTATACAAGACGAAGGAAATTTTCTGGTTAACAAGATGAATTTGATTCTGAATTGTGTTCCAATAGCAATTTCAGTCCAAATTGAGGTTAGATTCACTAATGATTTGAATTGGTCAACATTTGTTTTCCTTCCAGTTCGAGTTACAATCCTAATGATTGTACTTTTGTCTTATTGAACTAGATTCAGAGTTGAGATGATATGAAAAAGGTTTGAAAATTTGCTCGAGAAAATTTGTTTCTCATTTTGACTTTTATGTAAAGCTTTTTATCCTGACTTTTTCATTTGCAATTTCATGTCTAGAAATTAGAAGAAATGGAAATGATGATTTTAATGATAAACAGGGTGAAAGTGAAGTTTAACGTTGATAAAAACTCCACCCAAAATGAATCTAAATTCAGATAATGGTGATAGCTAGGCGGAAACTATTCAGATTCATGATGAAGCATTTCACTATTTTTTCTGCTTTTTTTTTTGTTTTCTTTTTTTTCCTCTTGCCTGTTAAAGTCTGTTAAGATCACTCAAATTGTTCACATTATCATTGTTGATCAATCCCATTGTTGTGTTCAATGAGGTTATTGAAGATAGTCATGAGTGTTTAAATGTTGTTTCAAGCACAAGGTAAAATGGAAAAGAGTAAGATGATGAAGAGACAAAACAAAAGTGATCCTTTAATACACTTTATCCTTTGGGTGTTTCAGGGTTTTTCATTAAAAGTAAATGTAACTTTCAATATAATGCTCTAGTAATTGACAGCATTTTGTCACATCAAAGGCCACGTTTTTAAAGCTAAAATGTCATTCTAATAATAGATTAATCAAGTTGATTATGGAACAACATTTACACTAAAATTGGACTACAATTTGGTTACAATTTCAAGATTTCCAGAACTGAATTTTGAGACAAAAAAAAACTTAATGACATTCATTTGAATACTTTTTTCGTCCCTTCTTTTCATTCCTTGAAAGTGTTTCAAATTGAATTAAAGATTCATCTTTTAAAGTCCCAGATGAAGGTTGATTGTTGAAGAGTAAATAGATGAACTTTTTTGAATCTGATGAATGTTTACAAATTAAAGGATGAAACTAATCATGAAAATGAAATGCATTTAAAATATCATTACACAAAAGGCATAAGATGAAGAAGTGTGAAAAAAATGAAAATAAACAAAAGTGACAAAAAGATTCAAATGAATTGCTAGCAAATTAAAGCCATTGTATCATGCAAATGAAAATATTGAATTGAAATCAATTTGAAATCTCTTTGAATTTACTTTCAAATGAACTTTTTTTTCTTCTCAACCTTTTAACCTTTTCTCACTTCTTTCTCATTACAGATCGATATCGATTTAAATGATCCGGATGTTGAAAAGGCAGCAACCAGAATTCAGGCCACTTTTCGAGGATACAAAACACGACGGGAAGTTAAAAAAGATTAATCTTCATTTAGTACAATCTAAAGGTAAATCATTTTCCTGTTTTTTCCTGTTTTCATTTATTTCAATTCCAACTGAACAAGTCTAAGTTTAATGATGAACAAAATCAGCAAATTATTTTCTTCTCTTTGGTTGAACAAGTAAAAGACTAAAGAATCTTAGGTTTTTTTTCAATTTTGCTTCATGAAAGGAAAATCAGTTCACAATTAGTGTCTAAATTTTGATTGAACTGATAATCGTTTTGTGCCGAAATGGCTATTTTTGTAACATTTGTTGATCATTATTAAAGTGCTTCCATGTAATCGTATAATACAATATCAATCAATTTTTCATCTTTACACAGTTCGACACTGTTGATGATGTTAAAATGTCTGAAATGTACCTTTGATGGTTATTGATGCGCTTATTTCTTGAAATGTTTATTGAAAATTCTGAAATTTTCAGGGTAAAAAATGAAGTTTGGTTGTTGCTTATTTACCCAGCCTTTTAACCATGATTCTTAATGATGTCAATAATTTTTGATAAAAGTTTAATCACAAATGACTAGAGTTGAAAAAAGGTTAACATGGTAATGAAAAATCATTATCATGAGTAGCTAGATTAGTGATAAGGCAAATGTTCAGGAAAAGTTCATTAATAAATGTTTGGGTTAAAACATGAATTGATAAAGTTAACTTTCAATATTCAATCTTGCAAATTTCAGGTTGCATCTTTTATCCTTAAATCTAACTCAGAATTCTGCAAGTTGAACAATAAAGATGAAATTTAAAAGCTTGAAGAAAAGTTTCTGCTGAGAAATTAAGATGAGAATTGGAGATAAAAATGTGAATATTCACCATAAGCAGAGCATCACTTCATGTTACACTTGATGGGGTGAGAGTGATCGTGTTAGGTTAAAAGAAGTCTTGTGGTGTAACTATGTAAAATGATGACTATTGAAAGACCAAAGAAAAGGCCTCTTTAGACGTTAATTTAATGAGGAAAGAGTGCTTCGCTTAGGTTAAAAGATTCATGCTATGCCAAACAGTATTCGTGTCAGAATCACGTAAGTTGAGGAACATTAAAATTCAAGATCGAACCAATGGCTTCTTTAAGCGTTAACTTGTTCGACCGAGAGTGATCGTGGTAGGCTGAGAGATTCAAGCGTTATGGTGTAGCGAAGTAAAATGATGAGAATTTCAAGACCCTCTTAAGGCCTCTCTAGACCATAATTTAATGGGACAAGAGAGTCTCGCTTAGGTTAAAAGACTCATCTCAAACTAGACAGAACGTAAGATTATGCAAAATAAAATCCAAGATCAAAGGCTCCTTTAGACGTTGTCTTTGATGCTGTAAGTGTGACTCTGTTAGGTTGAAAACTTCTTATGGTCTCAATAACCAGAATGCAAAGATGACTTTATAATCTAAAAGATTTTTCAATATGTTTCTCTTGATGGAACGGGTTTAACTTGTTTAGGTTGAAAGCTTCATGTCTTATGGCCTGGAATGAAAGCTTTTCCTTTCAGTTGTGATTGGCCACTGAAATTCAGACTTTTCATCATCATTATCATCAAGCTTATCAAGATTTATTGGAGCATCCCAAACTCCAGATTAATTTCTATGTTCACTATAATATCTGTTAAATCTGTTTCATAGTTTTTTTTTCATTTTCATCTTCATGTTCAAGTAACTGTCACCAAACAAAAAAGGTAATCATTTAAGGTTGATAAGTCTTTTTTTACTCTCTACTCCAGTCTAGAAACAAATTGGGTTTACGATTTCACATTTTTGTGCTTACCTGAAACCAGGTAAAGGTAACCCTAGAGTCATCTTTTTTCCCATGAAGTTTATCAATTGCATTGAATGGTTGAAAAGTGGAACACATTCAGAACAAATAGAAGAACAAAAAAGACGAAGAGAAAAAAGAAAATGCTATGATAAATGAAAGTTTGAATGAAAAACGAGTGTAAATGTACAAGTGAACAACTAACAGTTATTTTGACGGAAATAATTTCTTCCTGGTTGAGAATCTCATTGTTTCTGTTTGTTGTATTATTTTTTTGCCTTTTGTTTCTGTGTCAACGTAAATTTGATTAAGATAAAGTCGAGATTGGCCAGTCTTGATCAGCCTTGACCAACTCTAATTGAAATCATCTTTTCTCTTTTACTTCTGTCCCTTTGTTTGTCCACATTTCAACATCATCTCATTAACTCAAGTGAATCTTGATCAGTCTCATTTTGTCCAAATATCCAACCAAAGTGATCTGATTCATTTCAGTCAAACTCAATTTGTTGACCCTTTACTTTACCTTTTCAATTTCAATTTAACATCCAAATCATTGACAAGATAATTTACAATTGAAATGCAAATGTTTCAAAAGCAAGTAAAGTGTTAAACGAAAAATAATGTAAAATTAAATTTAATTATCGATTTGAGTGTAGCAAAAAAAAAGGAATGAAAAATGAGTGAAATTTGCTTTTAAAACAAACATTTAATTGATTTACAATTTGAAACTTTTGTCTTCTTTTTTTGAGGTCAATCTCTTCATTCATTTACTTATCCATTAATCAACTTTAAACACAAAGAAACTCATTTAAAGTAATCATTAAATGAAACAAAACTGAAATCATATTTAACCTCATCCTTGTTATCTGGCACAAATGCTGGGAGTTTTCACTCCCAATGAGGAGTTTCACTGTAACTGATATAGCATTTGGATGAGATTTGTAGTTGATCTTATTTCTGCTTTTGAATCTTCATCTTTCCATCTTCCAATCACCATGAGTATGATCAATTTCTTTCTTTACATTTTTCTCTTCTTCTTCTTCTTCTCTTCTTTTTTCTTCAGCATTTCACCTTTTTGCTTGAGCTGTTACCATACAAAGATATAACATGTTACAAGAAATCAATAAATGGGTTTTGCAAAAAGCGATGTGAAAATAGGAAAAGGAAATTAGGTTAACAAGATGAAAATGAAGATGAACCAGAACTTTTCTCAATAACATTGAGATTATCTGAGACTCGCGTGTTAAGCCAATTGAAAAGCAACTTTATTTATTTCTGTTTTTTTTTCTTTCTTTTCTTTTCCATTTCATTTCAACTTTTTTGCTTCATTGTCCTGTCAAAATTTGGTGTCATTTTTGATTCAATATGATAAATGTCAACTTTATCAATATCAAAAGTAATACATTTTAAAGCTTTTATTCAACATTTTTAAACAACATTGAACAGTCGATTGAAGATGTTCATCTTAACGGATTAGTTTGAGTTTCCCATTCGACTGATTCCACATTTGGCCCAATTTAGATCATCAATTTCACTCAATTGATTAACCAGTCCAATTCAAATCTCATAATACTCAAAGTGTTTACGATTCAAGTGCAATATTTGAATGATTATTTTGCTTGTTAAACCTGAAGATTTAAATCATTGGAACCATCAATCATTCACCTTTTACTCCAACAAGTTTAGACATTTCAATTTGGATCCAACCCGAGGCTTGAATATCATTTCCTTATTGTAATTAAACTCAGTCAAAATTAAACCAAACATCATTTATAAATGAAGGAATGGAGTGAATTACAAATGCAATGACAGTTTATGGATGTCTTGTGGTTGGATTGATATTGATTCTCATTGTGTTTTCATTGACAAGTTTCTCGATTTGAATAACATTCAATAGACAATGGATTTCTTGATAAAACGCAATATTAGCTTCACGAGTTTACAAAAAGGATTTGATATCAAGTGTCCAGACACTTTTTGTTGCGATTTTGTCAATAATTACGACAATCTTGTTATATATTCAGATTAACTTGAAAACCTCTTTGAAATGTGACTCTTTTCATTGTCGAAAGTCTTGTCTGTTCAAATTTATTCACAAAATGAGATTAAAAATAATCCTTTCAATTTAAGCCTAAATCAATGTTGAAACTCATTTTCTTATTGTTGCATTGGCAAACTAAAAGACTGTAAAAAGGTCTTAGAAAAGATCAAAACAAATCAGACAAACACAACAACATCGCTTAATTTGCCTTCATTTCAATTTCGCCAATCGACTGAAACTTAACATTAAACGTTTTGGCATTTCGTAGCTAAAGTTTCATGGAAGCAAAAATAGCTTAATCTATGTTAATTTCCGATTTACTTTTATTCACAGATTTGGTCTCATAGCGTCTGCAAATATCCAATTTCATTGCAAGTTAGGCTTGAGATTTGCCTATTAGTTGGGTTTTGATATTTTAACCCAAATAATTGCATTCCTCAATGACCCATATCAATTTCATATCATTAATTGGAAGCAGTTATTGAAATCACTTTAACTTGAGATGCTCTGGATATTGAATAACTTGAGAAACCAATAACGTTTAATGGATGTAAATATTAAACCTTTGAAACCTTTACTTGTGTCTCGAACTAATGACCACAACATGATTAAGCTCTCATTCTGGTTCATTTCAATCAACTTACTTCATCTATTTCATCTGTTTTATTTTGCTTTGTTGCTCGAAATCAATTTTCACTAATTATTGAGTTTAAATTCAACCTAATTTGTATTAATTGTCCTTTGTATTTTACCATTGAAATAATGATTAAATGATATTTGGGAAAAGCTTTGAAATTTTACTTTTCAACTCCTTTTGTCAGACAAAACTAATTTATTTTTTCCTCTTTGCTTCTTTTTCTAATTCCAAATTCTGTTGAAATAATAATATTATTATTAATAACAATAAGAATACAATACTCAGAGTAAACTCAGAATCCAGTGTTTGCTTTATGCTTACAATAATCTCAAGTTCAATAGGAATTGTTATACCAAAATAAATGAATCTATTAAAAGATAATAAGAAGAAAAAGGAAAAATGTAAAAAAATTTATTTGTTTTGCAAACAAGAAAACAATGGAAATTTATTCAATATGAAATACAACCAAATCAACTTGAATTTATACCTTCAATGAATTCATACAAATTATAAAGGAAATACATTTAAAGGAAATACTTTTTAGAAGAAGGAAATACCGAGTATTTCCAGTAGCAACAGCTATTGATGGCAACCGGGTTGCCATCCTCAATAAGCGCGAATCTTAAATCTTACAACAGGTTATTTGGATTTCGATCAAAAAAGATCTCAAAACGTTTCGTTGAAGTTTCGTTGAATCCTCAATAAAAGAATGCATTTCAAACCATTTAAATCGAGTTTCAGTCGATGTTCATCAAATATTCAATCGTAATTGTAACCTTTTGCAAACACAACGATTCTACAAAACTAACGATTCGTTACATAACATTCGTTTCGGATTGAACAGAGGTTCGAGTTTGCTCTTAATATAACTTCGTAAATGATGTTCGTTTGTTGTAAAAGATTAATTACGATTAGTTAATAACTTGGAATTGGTTGCAACGAAGCAAGTTGATCCAAAGAAGCTTGACTAACGAAATTTGCAGCTTTTTTCTGGAATTTTGTCTTTAAAAAGTAATGAATGTTAATCAGTATCGGTAACAGTTGAGGTAAATGTGTGTTTCCAGTTGATTATCGATTAATAATTAAGGTGCAATTGATTACAGTTTTGACCTTATTTCGGTTAAGGAAAGTTTGTTCAACAATTGATGATTACAACCAATGAATCCATGAAATGTTCTCGGTTTAAGCATTATTATTAGCAATATTTAATATCGATTTGTACATTTCAAAGTTGTCCCAATGGCTATAAAAAGCTCAAGCTAATCAATAGTTAATCATTTAGTTAATAATCATTGATTTGTACCGTTAATCACTTTTAACTTTATTAATAGTTAATTGTGTAATTAAACTGTCAACACTGTTTTCATCGTTCAGTTCGTTCATCATTCCAGTAATCAATTTGGTTTACTTGCTAAACACTGTTAAACTATTGTAAAGAGAGAAAAATGATTTAATATGAAACTTGCTAATCAATCAACGTACAATTGTGTTCATGGAAAGCTTGTTTTCAATTCCAATCAGAACCCAAACAGAAATGATTGAACCTCAATTGTTTGAAAACTGAAATAACCAGTAAAAGCACAAGTAATAACATTAAACGAGAAGCTCAACCGACCAAACTGAACAACTTGTTGAAATATATTGTAATATTAACGTTTGAGTGAAATAAAAATGAAAAGCAATCAAAATGATATTCTAGAAGTTAATGGAGGCAACTTTTACTGTAAAGTTCAATGTTAAGAGTATTTAAATGAGTGAAAAATTAGCTGCTTCATGTTGCAAGTGTTTTTCAGGGAATGTAAATTGAAGTTTGTGCACAAATAGCAGTTTGAGATGCTTTCGCTTTGAAATAAACTTCACTATTTCAAGAGTTTTCGTCCCAGCAGCGAAACAGTAATTAGTGTTTTGATAGTTTAATGCAATTCAAGAGCAGATCAGGTAAAGTATAGCAAATTTAGTGAAGCAGACATTGATCGTTTCAAGAAAAATCGATCATTTGACAGTAAATTAAGTTGAACAGAGGGTTTTGCAGAGAAATAAAGTAAATTGTAAATAAAGACAATTTGATTGTCAATTATTGTTGCGACCAGTTATAATGGGCCTGTCTTCAACCGTATAAAACCAATCTTTCCATCATATATCAATTAGGTTTTGCGACTATTTGATTCTTTCGATTTCAATCGCAATCTTTCGCTTCGCTAGTTAAAACTGGCTAGTGCAAGGTTTTAAAACCAAACTCATCTTCTTCAAACTTAGCTCTCAAATCAATGTTTCTACATGTTAGCAGATCGCATTTTACCAGCTACTTGATTCATGAAAACAAATCATTTACGTCTCAAAACAAGGCTAGTTAGACACAATATGAACAATAAATGCTTGATTTAGAGTGTTTTTTTGTTAGTAGAAGGAAATAAGCAATGCAATAACAGATTTTGACCCAATAAAACGCAAAGCACTTGTTTCTAACGTTTAGAAATAACGATGAGTTAAAAATGATTCGCTTGTTTTGTGCTTTCGATTCTCGCACAAATTGAAGCTTCTCTACAATCTCTTTAAATTTTGTTGATCTTCCTGATCGGAGCGTCAAGAAGAATAACTTCTCCTCATTTTGCACAAACTTTGAATCGTTTGAATCTACAGTGAATATGTTTAATGGGAGTTCCCGTTGCTAACAAGTAACTTAATCAGATCACTCGTTTGTTTCGACTAATTCTGAACAATTCGCTCTAATGCAGTTTAACGTTTGCTCATTACAACTTTTGCTTCATATTTCAACAAATTTCGCTGCAAGTTCTAAGTTCTCATTCTATTTGCAACGTTCAAAAGTTTACTTCTCACAAACTTGATTGCAAACCTTTAAAGCACAGCAAATCACTCCAACTTTTCTCATCTAAAAGCCCAAAACGCACAAAACATGAACTTTAATGTTTTCCAAGTATACGAATATCATTTTGCTAGACTTCAATCTCTTTTGTTCAAAACCTTTTGAATTATTTCGTTCTAGTTTTGTTAGACACAATATGAACAATAAATGCTTGATTTAAAGTGTTTTGTTTGTAAGTAGAAGGTAATATGCAATGCAATAACAAATTTTGACCCAATAAAACGCAAAGCACTTGTTTCTAACAGTTTCAATCTTCAAATTTTTCTTTGAGATGAAAGTGTATGCATAAAGAACGTTTAGAAATAACGATGAGTTAAAAATGATTCGCTTGTTTTGTACTTTCGATTCTCGCACAAATTGAAGCTTCTCTACAATCTCTTGAAATTTTGTTGATCTTCCTGATCGGAGCATCAAGAGAAATATCTTCTAACCATTTTGCACAAACTTTGAATCATTTAAATCTACAGTGAATATGTTTAATGAGAGTTCCCGTTGCTGACAAGTAACTAACTCAGTTAGATCAACTAGGTTTCGACGAACTCTCAACTATTCGCTCTAATGCAGCTTGATAAAGGTTTGCTCCGTTCAACTTTTGTTTCATATCTCAACGAATTTCGCTTCAAGTTTTAAGTTCTCATTCTATTTGCAACGTTCAGAAGTTTACTTCTTTCAAACTTGATTGCAAACCTTTAAAGCACAGCAAATCCCTCAAACTCTTCTCATTCAAAAGCCCAAAACGCACAAAACATGTACTTTAATGTTTTCCAAGTATAAGAATATCATTTTGCTAGACTTCAATCACTTTTGTTCAAATCTTTAGAAATATTTCCTTCTAGTTTTGTTGGAATAAGAAAAAGGGTGAAATATGATTTTAAATTCAAATGATTTGAAATTTACATACCAAGAATGAAGTCTGTCGTACTTGCCTTTATTTAGATTTCATTGAGACGAAATGTTGAGAAAAGGGTTTGGTTTTTCATCAGTGATCTTCGATTCATACTAAATTGATCTTTGCAATCTTGCAAGCAATATTTTTATAAGAAGCAAATCAATCGCGTAAACATATGCAAAGCTGATTGTTCATTTAACTGACGACTTTACAGTGAATTGCTCACCGTTTTTGCACACAATTTACTAATTATATTTTCATCTTTTCCAGATAAATTGCAACGGGTTCAATTGATTAAAAGCTGATAAAAGCTGTATTTAATTTCAACAATAAACTGTAAAACATCACACATCAAGCAAAAAACTAAAACCGCGCAATTAAACGAAAGCCAACAACAATTAAGGCAACCAAGAATAGATGATGGATCAAGTGAAGAGTTAATCTTAATCAACTGCAATATAAATCAAATAAAATGAACGGCGAGAATAGATTGACCAAGAAAAGGCATAAACTTTCGTCTTCTTTTTTTGCCCATTTTTCATGGTAAAATAACGAAATGAAAAAGAGTCTTAATGTTAGGAATAAAGGAAAATGTTGGAATGAAAAATGTTTATAAATACAGTTGAAAGGAAAAGTTTAAAGAAAGAAAACATCATTTTGTTTGGTTCCAAATAATCAATGGTCCAGTAGCAATCAACTTCCCTCCTCATCATGTGTCATCTTAATCATCACAAGATCATCCAGTAATCATCAATGATCATGTTGATCAGTCAAGCTTAATCACTGTCATCATCATTTCTGGCAGCCAAACTTTAAAACCTCTTTTACATTAACAGAAAGCAAAGCGAAACCCAAAAAAGCAAAAACCCAAAAAACCAGATTTCCATTTTAAAATCATTTCAATCTTCAATTTTTCCCTATTTTAAGACACAATTTGTTTCCATCTCTACCTTAATTCAATAGCTAGTTAATTGTTTAAAGTCAATTTTCCTTTTCTTTTCCAACAACAGTTAAAGTTGTTCATTTATTTATTTCCAATCAAGGTAAACCATTCAAGCTAATTCATCTATTATTGCCATTTATTAACATTTTATCGTCTTGTTTAATTAGTCGACATTTTATGGAAATTAAAAATTAGGTAAAAATGATTTAATAATAAACAAATTGAACAACTTCAGGCAAACACCTTCAACCCTAAAAGGCTACCATTTATTGATATTGAAAAACTGTCTCAACTCTTCAATCGTCACCAAGAAAAGCCTTCAATTTAACCTTTTCATTGATTCATTCACACAATTTTGGCTTTTATTAGCAATTTAGACAGTTAATCAATTTGAATCTGCTTTTCAATTAAACCCTTTCAATCGATAAATTGTAATGTAAAAGGAGAACCAGAATTGAAACCAGATTTCTGGTTTCACCAACTAATGGGACAAACAGCACAAAAATGGGAAACAACTTTTTACTCTTTTAATAATTCATTTGATCCCCCAAAAAATCAATCTTTCAAATGCTAATTTAATTCGCAAACCAATTCTTTAAATGTATTGTACTTTAATTGTCACGCAATTTATGCAATCTCAATTTGCTTTGCTGTCAGTCTTTGGTTTGTTATTTCATCCTCATTTCAAGCTATCAATGGGCACAATCAATTTGTATTTACTTGATCATTGTCAAGTCAACAAATTAATATTAAATTATTCAATGGACCTATCATTAATACAGATTAATCAAAAATGCATTTTCCACTCAACATAATACAATATCCAACAGTAATAATACTTCTCATCTAACAACCTTAATGTTCAACTTTATTCAAATCAACTGAACCTAATATTATCATTTGTTCATTTTTTGGTTTTTCAATTTTCTTCATGTTCTTCCTTTCAATTAATACAATTTATGTTAAGTTAACAATTCTTTAATTATAAACAATAAACAAATAGGAAACACCAAAACCATTAACATCATATTTTTGATTTTGTGTGAAACTCAACTAATAATATACAAGTTTACATTAAAATTTAAACAATTCCAACCAATTTTATTTTAATATCCACTGAATAACAATATCAAGAATATAAGTCTGCTGGTTTAAATAATGAGTTTTGATTATTAGGTTGAGATAAAGACTTATATTGAATTGATTAAGCAAAAATTTACTAAATTATATGAGTTTATAATGGGGAAGGATTAAGGTTATGTGGGTTTTATGGAGGTGATTGGATTTGTGTTGATTATGTTTACAAGAATAATCTGAAGATTATTATGAGTTGGGTTGAGAGTTGAGATGAGATTTGAATTGAGTAAGTTGTTTGATTAGTTAATTGATTGAACTCAATCTGTAGTGGTGATAAAAGTCACTCTAAACAGCAGGAACTTCATTAAAGTTGAGAGTCTTGTTTTTGGCTTTTTCAATAAATTCTGGTGAAGCCTTCCTTAAATTGTAAGCTTGGCCAAATAAAGCGAAAAAGTCGATGAACAGTTTACTTATGTTGAATGTTTGACCAAATTCAGAAACTGTGTAATCATATGGAAAGGTGTGGTGGAAGTTGTGGTAACCTTCACCAGCCGCAATAACCGACATTAAACCAATATCTCGAGCAGTTATCTTTTTATTATAGCGACGCTTTCCATACATATGGCTGACACTTCCCAATAAACCATGGACTGTAATCACTGAACAAGATTTAACACAACCAGCAATAAGGAAGGCATGGAGTAAACTATCGCCCCATAAATAGTAAGGAATTATCGTTGGTAAAACGTATCCAAGTAAAAGAGCCAATGGAGGGAAAAACCTGAATCGAGAACAAAGAAAACAGCAGATAATTAATACTTTGATTGTATAACCATTAGATCTTGAAGTTTCAAATAACACACAAAAAATAAGTTATCAAGGATCATTTATCAACATAACACTTATATAAAAATTTACATAAAATTATAATTAGATTTCTGCAAAGGCTCTTATTAACCAGAATAACTTAATCTGGTTAACCAACAAATCTTTTAGCGTTGAAACACTAGATGGCGTTAGTTCTCAATAAAGTGCTTGTTTTTAAGGCAACTGTTTATTTTGAATTTTAGTTTCTAACAATTGTAAGTCAATCAAATTAGATTCAAATCAACAAATTTTTATTTTATTTGTGTTTTAAGTAAAATTTGAACATTCAATTTCATGAAACAGTTAATCATGGATGAGTCTACTTATCTATTCTTTCCCAAAATATGAAAGTCAACAGATTAAATTTGAATAGAGAATTGATTTTGTTTTCGTTGAACTACACTGAACTACCTGGTTAAAGCAACCTTTTCTGCTCAGATCTGTTTTGTCATTCTGAGCACGATTCATCATCAGACTAACCACCATGTAAGTTGAAGCCAAAATTGAATAACTCAACTTTATCAAAGCAAAAATACTATGGAAAAAATTAGAAAATGATTGATGATTGATTCATCAACTATTGCCACTTGATCGTACATTAATTCAATTTCACTCTTCCCTTTCATTTTCACTCCTAGTATTCCTAGTGAACACTGAAGTGTAACTGTATTTTCCGTTGGAATATCGGTAATTCCGCTCCTGTAATCAGGTATAAGATAAATAAACATGTTTATTATCTGTTGAGCTACATCTGTTAAATTGGTGCAATAAATTGTTAAAGGTTGGTTTACATGAAATCACAATTAATCTAAGGGAAAGTAATTTGTTTCTTCGTTTCTTGTCAATCTAGATTACAGGTTGAATAACATTTACCCTTTCAGAGACATTAGCTTAGTCAATTGACTATAATTAAGGGAGAAAACAGTTTACCTCAAGGTAAGAATAAAAATTATTCTAATTCGTATATTAATTTTTTTGAAGAAAGTTCATTATCTTAATTGATTAACATTCAGAATCATTATAGTGATCCTAGCCAAATGATAAACAACCGTAACTTATTCATTTGGAGTTATTATCACAGGTCTTGTTAGTCTGGCTAATTTGTAACATAAACTGTGCTAATCAAGAAATGGTGAATATTAGTATCAAATCTTGCATATTAGTTAATGATTTAAGATGTAAACAAAATTCTGTTCTTTATGTTATCTACTAATTAATTTTTTAATTTATGTAACCAAAAATTAAGTATCTGTACGTATCTGTTAATAGATCCAAAGATTAAGTATTGACATCAGATATCCAGTATCGATGTTAAATTGTGCGTCATTAGGTTAAAATTATTTAAAATGTGATTTTCTTGCCGTTAGTAAATTTGAAATTTAATCGTTATTTTAATTATTTTTGGGCTAAATTTGCATCAAGATCATGGTAAGATTTTATACATTTACTCGATTGTCTATTTTTCTGGTTGTCTAAATTTGTCTATTTGTTTATTTATTTGCAGCTTTTACATCTTAACCGTTTTTCGCCATCAATGTGTTGGATGCCATTTTAGCCCATGCTTTATCTTGGTAATCTTCAATTTTTACATTAATATCTTTTCGACTAACTATCATCAATAACGTCATCATCCTCTTCATAATCACTATCGTTTCATTTTGATTTAACAGATTTCAATCTTTTCCAATCTTCCTCAAACTGATGGATAGAAGAAATTGAATAAAGCCAAAACCCCATCAGCCTATGGAAGTAACAAGTAAAAAAAGTCTGAGAAAAGGCTTAATCTGACAAAAACTCATGCAGAGAAATGAAAAAGAAAACAATGAAAAGATGAAGATAAAGGTAAGCTACATATTCAGTTATATTCAACCTGACTGAATCTTGCTATTTTTTTCTCTAGATTGTTTACCGTAGGTAAGTGAAAAAATTTATAACATTGAAGCTTTAGTTTCATTTCATTTCCATTATTCAAGCTCATATATGAAAAGGATGCTTTTTCTTCTCGATCTCTCTTTATTCACTATTGAATCGACGAAAATAAAAAAAGGTATAATCATCATCTTCATCATCATCACTGAAAATCATAGTTACATATCTAATAGATACAACATTATTTTAACCCGGAAATGATTGGAAACCACAGTTTATCATCTCAAAGAAAATAATAAAACTAATAATGATCTTTTTTTCGTTTCTTTTTATCATTAGATCACATCTTTGCATTGATCAACTACATCTTGATCATTATTGTAGCTGTACATGATTTTATTTATTCATTCAAATGATTAACCTGTTAATGCAAATGGAAAAAGCAACAAGAAATTAATGAGTGAATGGATTAACATTTTAATGGTCCATCAATCATTTGATTAATTACCTTGGATTGTGTTAAATTACCTATTTTACGCTAGAGTAAAATTTATTTGTACTAAGTTGGAATTCAATGTAAATTGTCATTCTATTATCAAGTAAGTTGACACAGCTTCATGGTTAAAGCGAAGGAAAATATTCCAACTCCATATTTTCATTCCAAATGGCAAGATAAAATAAGTTAAACCGATTTTCAATAGGAATTAAAAGATGGGGATAAACATTTGTTTCCAAACAAAGCATCCTAATCTATTAATTTCGGTTTTTTCTGCATTCAGATCGAGTTTATAAACAGCTTACGTAAAGATGAAACTTTACCTTCATTATCGTTTATTTCACCTTTTCAAACTTAATCCAACATTTAAATCCCTAAATGAAACCATGATTTCAGTTGATAGTTTTTTCTCAGCATTTTTGAAAAAGGTTTTTTTTCTCGTATTATTTATTGATTATAATGTCAATTATTTAAATCTTATCAGGTTTGTCAGGATTGTCTTTGAATCTGACAAGTGAAGGTCTGTGACAACCCATTGTAATACAAAATAACAACTGTTAGATCATTAATATATATATAAATAATAGCTTTCTCTAAAGGCAATTTTAGTTTGACCAATTTGACCATTCTTGCTGTCAAAATTTAACTCATCTCTCGATTAGCCGAAGATTGTTACAATTAGCGCTAAATTAAGTGTTTAAATGTTGACAGTTAAATATGAAGATACTTGAAACGTTAGAGTTTCACATTGATAGCAACAACAAGGTGAAAATGGAGCAAAAAAGAGTTTCCAAGTGAATTTATAATGGTAACAACTAATAACTGAGGAGAAATTGAACTTAAAATGAAAGTAAACTCTTGATGGTGAAAAAACTTATTGACAGGGAATCGCCTGGGGAAATAGAATAAGATGAAGATGATGATAATGTTGGTGGTGAAGCTAAGATGAAAGAAGAGATTTAAGAAAGTAAACTCGAAAGGATTCAATGATATAATAACGTAATGTAAAATGCAGCTTCTCCCACACAAACAGTAAATGTCTTCATTGGACATCAATACTTTTTGATTGTCATTTTGATTGAATTGTTGAGTTGCACACTACTGATACTAGTAATTAAATCTTTTCCTCTATTTCAGATTCCGGATAAGCACCGTCATCAGCGTGGGATAATTACGATTTGGGAACCTTACAATTCGTGATAAAAACCATTCAGTAATCTAATCAGTCTAATTCAGCCATCGGAGTATCTATTTTGGTTTAATGTTGCTGTGTTTTTGGTTTTGTACTTACATCTTTTGATATTTAACAACTGGATCGTTAAGAGCATCTTGAAAGTCGAGAGTTGTAACCTTGGTTCTATACTCGGGTCTGGGCTTCAAGAAACGCCAACCAAGTTGGGCAAAACAAAAGCCTCGGTGCACATTTTGTGGATCAGCATGGGTATCAATGAAAACATGATGGGCTCGATGGTGTTTTACATAATAATAAATGGTACTCTTAGGAAGGAAAACAATTTTAATCAGTTTCAGCAATATTCATCATTCAACATCAGCAATATCTTTCATTTACTCACCTCAGCTACTGAAGTAAACATTAAAGCCAAGAGTATTCTCATGAAAAGCTTTGCCTTGTAAGCATGATGACTCCATAAACGATGACAACCAGCTGATAAACCAATACTACCAAAGATTGCCAATGAGAAACCTGGGAATGGTAAAGAATCAATTGAGAGTTAGAATCACTTGATGCCAATTAGTAAATAAATGAGAGTTTGGAGATAATCAAATTTCGATTGTTGGTAATATGGACTGATGTTATTATGCATCAAAAGAAAATCATGGTTCTTGGTTTGATCTGAATCTTATGCTATCACTATTATTCAGTTGGAATTTTGGTTAATTTTTATGGTCAAATTGCTTTGGTTTCGTGTCTTTATTGTCGTGTGAAAATATCTAATGGTCAGAATGCTTAACCAGTAAATCCAACAGTTGTATTGGAGCAATTATTTGTCATTAACAAGGATGAGATGGCCATGTTTACATGGAGTTAATAAAAAGACCAATCCTTTGATCAAGTATCAACTGCTGATTCAGTGCTTAAGTTGAGTGAATTAAGGATAATTTTAACAATTGTAAGTTCATTCCCTTGATTCAACCATTTGATTATTCCAATTGATTTCAATCAGTAATGCATTAACATGGGAAAGTTTAATGATAGAAAGGTTAAATCAATCTAATAATCGCTTTCAACCAAATTTTGTTGAATTTCTCGACTAATAATCTTATAAATAAAATGTTTCCAATAATAGTTGATGGTCAAAGTTACCAATTGGAAGTTTTATTGTAAATAATTGAAATCATCATTGAATCATTGAGCAAAATCTTTTTTGTCATAAGATTGGGCTTTTGCTCCTTTATTTCTAACTGTTAGTTTCTTTCATTAATCATTTTAATATTTAATTAAACTATTTACCTTTACTTTAGTGTCGAATCAATAATAAAAATAATTCCTGATTTCTGTTATCCAGTCCATTCAATGTTTATCACTCACCCTTTATCACTGTACCTAGGAATTGAGATTTTTGTATCTCGATATAAATAATTTAAATACACAGTCCATAAAAAGGCAATCAAATCAATTTTGAATCAGCGATTTTCTCATAACCTTTAATCATCTGTTAATTCCTTGTTAAACTATTTTCAGTTCAATTATTCACCAGTAAAAGGTAAGAATCTTAAAAAGCAAAATCTTTCGAATCGTAATTAAATAACAGCCCCTTAATGACCAGCACTTTTTGTCGTTTGTTAATCACATTTCCTTTTTACTATCTTTAACTGCCTAACAACATTAACTCATTAAGTGATTTTTACTAAATTTAGGTCAATAAATTCTTAATCATAATTATAAATTTCCTGAATCTTAATTTCCAGTTAAATCTTCTGTTGGTACATGTATCTCATCGTCTTCCTGAGTCGCTATGGATTTAACCTGAAATTTGCCCGTTATGTTGGACGATCGATTGCAAAGAACTGTAAATTACAGTATATTTTAAAGTGAACATTAAATTCTTAAAAGCTTCAGTTGGAAGTGAAACCGAGATGACTGTCTTTCGTTTATAAGGACTTCAAAGATTGAACCCTTTGCTGCGTATCTAAAAATGCCTAAAAGTAAACAAATTTAATTTCATCAGAATCTGGATCATGAAAACATATTCCACTAGAGAGTTATCTCATCCAATGGTAAAAGTGTCTCAAGTTTCATTCAAATTGGATTCCAAGAAAACTACAATTTTTGTTACAAAATTTGGGTTTACTTTTGCTTTTGTCCAGCTCACCAACAATGTCAATAGGGACAAAAACAAGTCTCTAATTGCAGTTATTACAAATCTTTTGGATCACCAATTTGGTTCCTAATGTTACAAACAAACTCTTGAAATTGATTTTTTTTTCTCATTTCACATTTCCTACTGTTGCATACATTCATGTGCCTGTCATCATGAGTATAGTGAAAAAATATTTCGTAAGTACACTTTCGTCTCAATCACTTTCCAATCTGCTTTCTTGGTCAATTCAATTTTAAGCAACTACAGTTTCCATTTGAGAAGATATTGTGTCTAAACTTGTGATTGATCAAAAAGAGTCGAAATATTTTTTCATTTCCAACCCTTTCATCAGATCTTTTGAGATTCAACCAAGATCACAATCATTTATCAAACTCAACAACAAATCATTTGTCTGAACAGCCAACAATGGATATCAACATGAAACTTTTTCAGTTCAAAGCAAAAGAAGCTAAAGAAGAAACTTCTATAAATGAAACAAAATTTCAACAATTAACTTTCCAAGTAAAAAAAGATACCCAAAAGAAAAGTTGAACTCTTTTTACTGATGATATTTTTTTGTATTGCATTTCAGTTTTCAATCAACCTGAGAATAATTAATCACCTGAATGATCAACTTTTAATAAACAAGCAAATGGTTGATTACATTGGAAGAAATTTGGAACAATATTAATTTGCAAACGGAATCATCATGGAATCATCATCATTATCAGATTAACAAGAGGAACAAAGTCTCGTAAAATATTTGCTTGAACAATTTCAAAGTTATGGGAATTACCTTTGGAGGAAAACCAATTTAATAAGAGGATGAGAAAAGGTTAAATTTATTAATGATGGAAATCAATTTAATACAATTTAACTTTTCAAATTAATTGCTCCACTGATTAGTGTTAATGATAAGTAAACTTGTGCCAAAAAATTACCCTTAACGACTGCCGTGAGATGTAAAAATGATCAAAGTGTATTTACATGGTAAAATTAACAATAATATTATTATAACAATCATTTGAGATGGAAAATTTTTATCTCATTTGAAACGTAATAAGAGTCAGGTAAAACACCTGAAAATGTTTGTTTCAAAAGAGACCAGAAAAGAGAAGGTAAAAGGTAAAAGCAAGAGAAACAAATGAATAAAAGTTGATGATGATGAAGATGAAAATGGTGATTGGAATGATGATAAACTAGAAGCTAATGATGATGCTAATAGTTTTATTTTGTTTTGTTTGTTTCAAATAACTTTTATTTCTGCTCTTTTTTATGTATCCTCAGAGTTTTATCGTTGAAACAAAACAAAAAAGATCCCAAAGGAGTAATAAGGAGTCACTGGAAGGAAGAAAAAACGATGAGGAAGACGAGGATGATAAGGATGAAGGTGAATAGCTAGGTAAGAAGCATATTAACAAGGCAAAGGAGTAAAAATGTGAGATGAAAAGCCTTCAGGTAAACCTTTTAATGTATTTCAACTGTTCTCTTCTCTTTATCTGCTCTTCATTTTGTTCACTGTCTCTTAACTAACCTCATCTTCCTCTTTTTTTGCAGACACAATAATCATCGACATCGACATCACAAACAGTCAAGTCTTTCGTTATCTTTCCAACTTAACATTGATTAAGATACAATTTAACGATTAACTCTTCTTGTCACATTTGACTTTCACTTTGAATGGATAATATTTAATCAACTAATCAGATTAGAAGGAAAAGGTTTAATCTTATCTTTATGCAATTAAAAGTGTCACTGACTGGAAGCCGAGGAAAGGCTTCAAGTGATGGGCAAAGGTTGAACCTTTAGGTTGAGGTTGTTGGTTGCTGGCTAGTCAGACTTTGATTTTATGTTTAATGTTATCCACTTACCAAAAGCCCAAGTATAAAGCATAGGGAAGATGCTTGAAGTGTTGTGATAATTTGTTGAGAAAAAAACTGCATCTTTTGTTATACCATAAAGAGTTGCTCCAATCAATGTTAAATGATAAATCACTTGAATCCAGCGAATATCAAATATGATAAATTCAATTGTTGCTTTAAACTTGGAGCAACACGTTAACGGTTCATCTTGATTGGCATCAATGGCAATTGGTTGATCCACAGGTGAACCAATGACCTTATTAATCTTGATGGTTGGTAAATCGGGAAGATTTGCAGTTGTCGTCGTCTTTATTTCAACAACCATGATTAGGCACTTTGGAACAAAATTGAAACTCGAAAAAGATAAACTCGCAAAAATAAATCAATTGGACGGTCGCATAGTTTTTAGATGAATATGATTGAAGCAAAGTTGATTCAGTTTTAGCCAAGTCTCTCCAATCGACTCACGGAAAACTGAAAGTTTGAAAATACAGGTAATCAGTGAGAGTCTTACTTGACTGAAATGATCATCATCGTTATCATCATGAAAACAACAAAAGTTATTTTTAAGAAAAGAAAAGGAAAAGAAAGGAAGAGAAAAGAAGAAAAAGTTGATGAAAAAAAAGGTTCACTTTTCGTTGATTTGGTCTCATCGATGTTACGCTTTGACGGGCTTTTGATTCAAGCGGAAGTGGAACCCAACTTTAATATAATATTATATTGCACTATTAGATGATCATCATGAAAAGTTGATGGTTATTTTAAAAGCATGATAATGACGATTTAGATGATTATGTTGATGAAGATAATGATGATGATGTGCGTTTTGATACTTGTTTGGTTAGTTTATTTTTGAATATTATGCAGCCTTTGCTCTGGTTTAACGGTTAATCAAGGAAGCCAGCTTAACCTGACAACTGGTCAGACAAGCTTTAAACTTTCTCCTGTCTGTAACTTATTTTTACACTTTCAAATGTAATGATGTTGATACAAAAACATATCAACATTTGATTGTTTTCATTTCAACAATGTCAGTGAAAGGCAAACAAAATCAATTGGCAACTTGACACTTCAATTGTGATTCATACACTTTTTGCTCATTGTGTTGATTTTTTGATGAAAATCATTCATTTCCAGTTCTATTCAAGTCAATTCATTTTGATTCTCTATTCAAATTTCAAAGATGCTTTGAAACTCTTCGAATTTTTTTTGGTGAAAATTTGTGGAAAAATATTTTTGGGTTTTCTTTTTGCAAATTTTGCGATTTGGTTTCATGATTGATTTGATGATTGCTAATGATCTGAATAATGACAATTAGTTTTCTTTCTATTGAAGTGAAAGTTTCATTGAATGAGCATAACGAGTGTCAAGGTAAGATGAAAAGGATGGACAGGGAAGAGGAAAAAGAGGATAAAAATGAAGATGAACATCTTTTAGACCAGGTAAAGAGGATGGTAAAGAGCAGGGAAAAGAGACAGGAAAATAATGATAATAAGCTCATGAAAAATAATGATACGATTTGAAGATAACAAGATGCAATAATAAAAGCAATTCTTGATTCGCATTATTAATGTTCCTCTCAAAAGGCTTCATAATAGGATTCTCAACGAAATTGCAACCAGTCTCAGAGTACTAAAGGTTACATTTTTTTTGCTGTTTCCTTTTGTCATTAATTTGTTGTTGGTCGCTTGTAACACTATTATGAGCACTTGAATAGACCAAGTGTTTTCTGGTGAAATTAAGAAGCATCAAATTGTGATTCATTTTTACCCAGAAAATAAACTCTTGTTCAATGTCAATCATTCTCACCATCATTAGGTCAATGATTTATCTTTGATTGTTGCTCTGCTTTGTTTTTCTCTGTTTATTGGTCAGTATTTTTTGGAACTTTTTTTTATAATTTTGACAGACTTTTGAAAATTTAAAAATTGATGAAATTATTTTTTGATTTTTTTAGCCTTTTGTTGAGTAAAAGCTTTTTTTGTAAATAAACATTTATTTTCAATTTTTGTTCATGATATGAAGTGCGTATAAATTACGATCTAAATAATGAGATCAATGAAGATAGTCGTTGACTATCATCAGAGCTTAGTATCTATCACGCCCTGGACCACCTCGGCTTCCTCCAAAACCAAATGAGAATCTACCTTCTCCTTCTCCGTCTCCTCCTCTTCGGCCTCCGAATCGGCCTCCGAATAGACCTCCTGCTTGGCCTCCTGATTGTCCTCCGGATTGACCTCCACGACCGCGTCCGCCACCACGTCCGCCACCGCGTCCACCGCTACCCATTTGGCCCATGGCATCAGTGACCATACCTCCAATGCCTGTTACGAGACTGCCAATTCCTTGGGTTGCAGCACCTAAGCCTTGAGCACCGTTGCTTACAGCACCAACAACGGATCCAAGACCACCGCCGCCAAGGTGAACTCCAGTTGCAGTTCCAACGATACCAGTTGCAGCATCAGCTAAGGATTGAGTGATGCTTGAGACAAGCTGAGGGTTGTTCATGATACGACCAGTGACTCGCATGATTGCTCCTGGTTCAACACCATTTCGTTGAAGAGCTGAAAATAGGCTTGAAATATCAGGTGGACCTCCAGATGAAAGTGATGACATGAGAGATGTCATTACACCGAATGGTTTGATGCCCTCTTCTTGTAAAATTTGTGGGATTTGAGCTAAAGCACCGAAAGTCTTTCCTCCAGCATTGGCTAGGGCACCTAGGGTTGAAATGGCACCAGTGATTCTTCCAGCTCCAGTTCCAGCTCCAGTTGCAGTGCTTAATCCATTGCCGACAATTTTGCTGAGGCTTCCTCCAATACCAGTAGCAAGACCTGTTCCAAGTCCAGCGAAACCTTGGGTAAGTGAACCAATGCCACTCAAACCTGATGCAGCTGCATTAGCCAATCCAAATCCTCTTCCTGAACCTGAACCAAAGCCTGAACCAAAGCCAGAGCCTGGACCAGAATTGGATGAAAATGATTGACTAGAAGCTGAACCTGAACCAGGGGCACCTAAAAGTTTAAGCAGATAAAACGTTTCTAATCTTTCTTTTCAACACAACCTTTCTTACCATCAGATTCACTACTGGCTGAACTTTCATAACTAGCAGAACTACTGCTGCCACTACCAGCGTTGGCGAATGAGTTCAATGCATTGGCAAATCCTCCCGGTGCAAAGCTAGACGCTGCTTGAACCAAACTGCCAAGTCCCGATGCACCAGCACCAAAAGCACTACTAAGTCCACTAAGTCCAGAGGCGCCTGCACCAAAGGCACTGCCTAAGCCAGAACCGAAACCCGATCCTTGCAAGTCAAAACCGACATTAACCAATGATTAATAATCAGAGCCAACAAGCACAACTTTACAAATCAATAGGCATTAAACTTACCTGCAGATGCTGAAAATTGTGCTGCTCAAAAAGCATCCAAAATGAAACGCAAAATTGTTTTATGAACGTGAATACAGTTTGACTAAAATCTCCTTAACTTACCTGAACTATAACTCAAGCACAGAGCAAAAAGCAACACAAATCCAAATTTATTCATCTCTGTTAAACTAATTTTATTATCATTCAAAACTCGACACAACAAAAATTTATGTTCAACTGGAAAAAAAGTCTTTTATATTATGAGAAAATTATCCACAGCAAGCAATACCAGCAATGATTGATTGCCATTTTGATGCAATTAAAAGTTGAACACATAGACATTAATAGCTAATTGTGCCAAATATTGATGAATTAACCCATTTCTAACGTATTTTTTGTTTTTGTATAACATCATCAAAATAATAACAAAGGTATGAGTTACGTAGACATCATTGAAACAAGTCGTACAAATAAAGTAAAACAAATTAATCACTTTATATTAATGTGTTGGAATGAGAAACAATCAATTCCTTCAAACATTCACTACAATTATTAATCATTTATTGTTAATTAAACCTCATGATGACCATGAAAATGAGGTAAAAGAACAGTAATCTTTACAGTGAAAAGTGATTCGTTTATTGACAATTAATCATTAAACTGATTAACATTACACTTGAATGTTTCAATTGTAACAATGAATTTAAAGATTTGCAAATTGATCAACTTGAGGTTCACCAGGACGCCAAGTGACGACCATAAATTGAATATCATAGTCAATCCATCATCATTATCGGAATGAATCTTTCAAAGTATTGAACCTGAAAAGAGAAAGACTTTTTTATGAACGTTCATGAATTTAATATCTTGGAAAGGTAAGAATGAAAAGTTAGGAAAACTTCAAACTTGGTCTTTGTTTAGATCAATAGATCAATCATTTTATATTTCAATTTGTAACCCAACAATGAACGTTTATCCAATATTGAATCAAAAAAAGCACCTGAAAATTGTGACGCTAATCTGCACCTAGTTTAATCAGATTGAAGCGAAACTTGAGAGAAACAAATGGAACAAGTTTAAGTGCAGAAAACTTTTCACTTTTCCAGTGCACATGAAAAGGTTGAACATAATTAATGAATTTCCTTGAACAATGAATAACTCTAAAGATGATCAATCAAACAAAGTTATCTTCAATTGTCAATGAAGAAAGTTCAAGATTAAAATTAGAAACAAAATTTGAATAAAAAGATGAATTTTATTGCTGGAAACTTGCAGTCAAAAAATAATGATTAATCAAACAATAAATTGACAGAAAAGTACTCTAAATCTTGAAATTTATTCAAAATCAAGTGAAAGCAGGAAAAGTTCAAAGAAGATTCAAAATTTTCATCTTGATCCGAGGTTCAATGTTAGATATTGGAACATCAAAAACATTGGAAACGATTTTTTGACCAAAATTGCAATTCCAATTATTTTCAAAGCAAAGTTTGTTTCATTTCTCATAACAGTTACTTGGAACTTGACTTTTCGGTGAAAAGTGCCATTGAAAGCTCAATGAAAAGTGGATGTAAAACGTTTTTGATTATTTTTTAATGAACAACAATTTTAGGTGAAAAAATGAGGAAACGATTGAAATCATTTGTCTTTGATGGAAATTGAATTTCCATTGTAACCCATTTTCATCGTATTGTCAATTCGTCGATAGATTAGTCGATGTAATTTATATCAACTTTGTTTTCCTCTCTCTCTCTCTCTCTCTCTTGCACCTTTCATTTCACCTTAACTGAATCTCAATGGAAAATCTTCTTGTTGCTGCTTTTACCACTTACCTGTGATTCTCTGTTATCATTCCCTTTAAGCCACCAATTACTTTATACTGATACCTGAAACTACAACTTGCAACTTAAAGTGATGGAAACACAGGAAAAAAAGAAATAGCAAAACGTAGTAAAAAGAGTAAAGAAAAAAAAAGAAGAGAGAAACTCGATGAAAAGGAAAGTTCAGAAAAGGTAATGTTGAAGGGCCATGAAAACTGAGTATGGCCATGAAAAAGCTAACAAACTGAGAAGAAAAAAGATGACAGAAGAAAACATTACAACTAACAATAGTTTAATAGTGAAAGGTTGGTGACAATTTTGCACTCAGAGACTTATGTAGCAACTTGTTTCATTCAAGATTATGTCAAGAAACGGTGAATGTCAATCGACTAATGATATGAAAATTATTTTACATTCAATGTATCAAAATGAGGATTAAAAGCTTTTTATTATTTGAAAGTTGAGTTTCAATTTCCTGGTAAAAGATTATTGTTTCCAATTTTGTCTTCGCTTCTTTTTTTCCTGGTTTGCTCATTGACTGATTGATTATTTAATTCTGTTGATGTTTGACATGTTTGTTGTGTTTTTTGGTGAAAATAAAATGTTATCCAATTTCAAATAGATTTACATGATTACTATTATTGAAAAGTGAATTGAAATGGAATCATTTTATTTCTTTTTCGTTTTCACCTTTCGTTGTTCATTGTAACCATACTGGGCTTAGTTTAAAACTGTCATGTGAACCTTTTCCCAGCAATTATTCTGTTGACTCAATCTTTCGGCTGAAGGCAGGATATTGAGGGTTGAATTGAATGAATCTGTTTGTAATGTTGGTACATTGAAAAGAAGAAAGAAAAGGTAAAATTTTCTGTTTTCTCTTCAATGAGTCACAGATGAGGCATTTGCACTCTTTACATGTAATGTTTGATAAAATGGAAAAGAGAATGGAAAAGAATGGAAACTTGAATTTGAAATTGAACAACTTTATCATTTATAATCTGTTGATAATACCTGAACTTTATTATGAATAAAAAATGTTAATCTCGGGAAAAAAGAGGAAAAATAATCTGCTTGTTTCCAGTGTTGTATTATCAAACTGAATTTACATCAACTACAACACAAGAATGAGTAATGCTCAATGTGAATGCACAAGTTACAGGGAAACGGTTAATATGGATTCAAGATGTTTGCTTATCAACAAAAAGAGTTTAGCATTCAAGTCTTTGGTTAAAGATTAAATGAATGAAAAGTTGTTGGAAGGAAAAAGTTGATCAAAACTAGAATCAGAAGCGACTTTTTCGTAACAATCAATGTTCTCTGCTTTTTACGCAGTAATATCACTGTTGCTGTTGCAATAGTTTCCTGTGAAACTCCCAGTATAACTTGGAGCAACCAGTGGCGTGGTCGTTGTAACGACTTGCAAAATATTTCTTTCAACTCCCTGCGGAATTCCCTGTAAAATTCTCTATGAAATCCTCTGAAGTTGCACAATTTCTTGCGGAACTTATTGTTCACTTCCCTGCAGGATTCTATCCAGAAATTTCTCAACAACTTTAATGGTAGATAAACATTGATGAAAACTGAATAACCAAATTGAAACAGCTTTGTGTCAAATGATGTTGATAGTTTATCAGAAAAGTAATTTGTATCATTTGTCTTTGCTTTCTATTAATAGTTGCCTAAAGAGCTAAAGCAACAGAAATGCTTTTCTGCAAGTGACTGTAAAATTCAACTCTTGTTTTTAACAATAAAATTTATGAAACAATTTGATAATTCCCAGATTGAAAGAAACAAAGAAACTATCTATAGATCTGTGTAAATAGCAATTTAACAGTTGACTTGATACATTGCTTAGTCATTATTAATTGAAAAGAAATTTTGTTTCTATTTTGTTCAAGCTTCTCGGAGTTTGTTCCCATCATGGTTTACGCTGCTCATGAAAAATCATGAAATTTCATCATTTTGGGTGACACTATCATTGAGCCAATTCCTCCATAAGTAAAGACGGAAATTAATGCTGGTGGTACGAACGAACACTTTTCTGTGGAGTTTGATGTTGAGAACTGGAGTGATGCCATCAAGCTGCTTTTTGTTAAGTCAGCAGGCCTAAGGAAACAAGCTATGCCAGCAGTCGTGTGTTGATGCCTTTAGATTCATCCTGTCAACTAACTTATTCCTGTACTTGCACACGACTGTAACAACAGTAACTAGGAAACTTATGTGTGCTCCAAAACCGAAAATATTAATATAATACTTTTACATTTATAATAAAAGAATGTTTGTTATCATTTATATCGACAGAATGGACAAGTTTTGAGCTTGAAATTTCCTTGATGCTCAACTGAAAATCATTCACTCAATACATTGGCAAAGTTTGAAATCTGTTCGGATTTGCTTGTAAAATCTCTTGGTATTTGTTGAGTTTCTTGTAACGTTAGTTAAATACTGTATTTTGACTTGAAATTGGCTTGTCCATCGGTTATTTGCTCAATATATCAACTGGGAGTTTGATTTATCACTTCAACGATTCGTTAGTTTTACATTTATTCCAGTCAATGGACAAACAGGTGTATATTGTACTGGACATGTGTTTAAGACACAATTTCGAGTCAATCGCTTGACTATGTCTATCATTGGATGTTCAGAGAGTATATCGTTAACAGAATCTTCTGAGAACCAAAAGTAATCAGTTTATCTACTTTGCAATAACAAATAAATATGTAATCAATTTACTTTCAATCACAATTTTATATCATTTCTCCTCCAGTCTGATATAGACTAACATCTTGAAATATCATTCACTTGAAAGGATAATTTACTATTAGCAATACATTACAATCAATCTTGATAATGTAAAAATGTTATAATTATAGTAGAACTGGAAAAGTAATTTCAATGAGAAGAAGAAGAAGAAAAAAAGCGAATTGAAACTGTTTCCATATTGATTAACTTTCAATGTGTGACTTGTACACATTCAACTCCCAGTTCAACTTTGAAAGGAAAAAATAACAACTCTGAAAATGGTGAAATTTGAATTGAAGTTTATGTTTTCTATTGAATTTAATCTTTCAGCTTTCAATGAAAAATAATCAAAGTGAGATGCTAAAAGAATCTGAAAAGAAATGATGAATTATCAAAAGATGAATAAAGGCAGAAAATCACAGGTTAGAAAACATTGAAATGAAAGAACCAAATTGTCTGAATAAGTGTCGAATCAACAATTAATAGTGAATGAGACTGGCCAAGTTAAAATGATCGTAAACAAGTCTCGAGGACAAAATTCATGATTATTTGAGAGCAAAAATTCGCGAGTTGAAACTGAATGAGAAAGAATCTGATGCTCTTTGTATCATTTCATATAATAAACAAACGATTAAACTGTCAACATGTGCAAGATTGATGGCCTTTGAATGAGAATTTGAACTTACTGAAAACTCGATTCACTCAATTTTCAACAATTAATGCCCCTTTTGGGCTTCAAAGGTCAGTGTTTATTGCATTAAGCAAACCAACAAATTGAAAGTTTAAACACGATTCTGAATGTAAAGCAAATTCAATGGAAAATCATTTTTTCTTTAGTTTGTACAACTCGAGTTTTTACTTGAATTTTGACGATAAATTGATGAGCACATTGAATGATAACATTTGAGATTTACTTTTCAAAGATGATATTCAACGAAAAGCAAATGAAAACTGATTACAGTTGAAACACAATTTGCATTCAAATTGGTTGCATCTTTAATTACAAATGTAAATGACAGGGGAAAGTTGGAAACATTCAAATTGGATGCAATAAAAAATATGCTTTGATTCAATCGTAATCAGTTGATTAAAAGAGTTAAAGGTTAATAACTTGCGTCCAAAAGTAAAGAGATGATTCAATTGATTCAATTTGATCATTTATTTGCAACATTATTACAATCACTATTCATATTAAATGTTTGTCGATGAGTTGCGATGAAACATTAACAACAAAACTGATGAACTGGAAATTTTGCTTTTTCTCGTTTCTCTTTTGGTCCAAATTTTTAATTTCAATTGGTCAACATTAACAATTGAAAGGGCAAGGATGAGAAAAGATGAAGGGAATGAAAATGGAAGGAAAAATCCTTGAAATCTTTGAAGTATTACCATGATGGAGGTGAAAAATATCTAGTTTTTGTTTTACAAAAGAAGAGGTTAATTGGTGAAACGAAAAGTATCATTTGATGATTTTGTTTTTTTCATGTTCTGTTGTAACAATTTGATTGTTGAATATTGCTTGATATTTTGATGGATCATCAATGGTTCAATGTTGAACGATTTCAATGTTCATTTGGTTTTCCGGTTAATTGATTCAAATTATTTACTTTTCGTTCATTGAGTCCTATCAATCATTGCAGTTTAAATATGTGAAGTGTAAACAGTTGATTGATCATTTATTATTGCCGGTGTTGTTGTTGTGGTTATTGATACTACTTGTGGACACATTAATTGGCATGTAGATGAGTTTGCTGGAGCAATGGTTGATTTAAGAGATGATCGATGAGAATGATTATGTTGCTGTTGTTGATGAGCGTGATGAGGGTTATGATGTTGCTGATGATATTGTAGATGATTTGATGAGGATAATGAGGTATGTGAAGAGGCAGATGATGGGACAATTGTTGATGCAGAGGCGTGTGAGGCTGAGGTTGACGATGAGATTGACCTTAGACTGGTTGTTGGTTCACTGTTGAAGGGATCCATTGGAGTTGAATAAGAGACACTAATCCTTGAACCTTTTGGGTTACTCATTAAACTATCATTGTTGCTTAATTTAGTTGCATTTGTACTGTTAAAGTTGTCATTAATACTATGATTAAAACCGTTTAGCGTCCTATTGTTGGCATTGTTTTTGGTTAAACAAAGGTTGGCGTTAATTTCGGTTGAAGATTGTTTAGTCAATGATGAACTTTTACTGGTTGAATTGGATACCATTGTGTTGCCTGTTGATTGAGAGGCAAGTGAACCCTGGCCGGTTGAGTTCATCATTGTGATGGGAGTTATCATACTGGTTGGCGGATTGATTGAGCCTCTGTGAAGTGTACTTTTACAGTGACAAGATTTAGTTACACCTTCACCATTGGAAGTAAACAATTGACGGATTTTAGGATAGAAACGGCAAAAACAAATGGATAAAAAAAGGCCCGTAACAATGGCCAAAGTGACCAAAGCCCAGGTCAATTCTTCTGCATTGTAATTATCTGGACAATCCGGACAAACTGTAGAAAATTTTGAAAAAAGAAAAAGAAAAATGTTATGAAAAAAATCACTTTTTGTGGTCAACTTTGTTCAACATGAATTGATACAACATTGGGTAACATCTATTCAGACCACATGAAAAAGTAATTTCAGGTTTGAAGTAAACATGGGATAAAAAATGATTATTACAAAAAGAGATTGATGAAGTTTATCAAGAAATGATGGGCTTGATAAAGTTGTGATACAAGGAGTGCTTGGAGTTGATCAATTGTACAGGTAAGAAATGATATTAAGGGAAATGTATCGATAAAAATAAATGAATGGGATAAAAAGAGATGAACATGGGAAAAAGAAGAAAATAAAATATTGAAATAAAACAGATGAAATACCTTCTCGGTTACCTTTACCACCAATAACGGCTAATCCTTTACCATGAATAAAACCAAAGCCATCCAAAGCCAGGATAATGTAAGATGATGATATAAATCTCATGATAATCTGTTGAGTTGAATCTTTTGTTTTAGTCCAAATGTTTGCAAAATGAAAATGTCTTCATTCAAATTGTTGGGTCAATTGATGGTGTTTCGAGGTTCATTTTTTTCATCCTTTTTCGACTCATTTCAATGATAAGTTGATTTTTCACCCAAACTTCATTTCTTTTCATTATCCAAGTCAACAGTTGATTGTTGGTCAACAAAATTGTCACAAATTTACATGGATAAACTTTTTGGTCAAGAGGAAACTTGTCAGTTCACAAGGTAAACATTTTCATTGTCATCATGTCTGAACATTGAAACACAAAAGATGAGAGCTTTTATTATCAACTGATGAGCTTTATTTTACGACTCTCATGTTAACTGACATTCAATGTTTACTTGAACGTTTTGTTACCTGAGCAAAAAGTAGAGGAATGAACAGAGTAGATCTAGTGTGTTAAAAAAGAGCGCATGATTGAGCAAAATGATGATCATGATGATCATGATGATAATGTTGAAAGGGAGGAAAAGGATAAGATTTTATTTCTTGCTTTTTTTCAACTCCAATTTTTCCATCAAATTGTTACGATTTTTATTTTCCTTTCTTATCATCATTTCCCTTTTTGAGTCAACATTATTTAAGCAAACATTTGGAAACAAGGTAAGCATGATGATTGAGCATCATCATGATAATGTAAAATGAGTAAAGGTAAAGAAAGTGTCAAATAATTTCTCGATTGTCAACCTTTTTCGCTCAAAAATTTCCATTCAAATGGCATGGAAATAGTGCAAAAGAATTCATCTTGACTGAATATCTACCGACTATTTTAACTCAATTGATTAGTTGCACAGAAGTGTTTATTATTCTTTACTATAACAATCTGATCATTAGATCCTTAGATCATCCTGAAAATCGTCAAAAAAAGATTTGCCAGTACTTTTTATCACTGATCACTCTTTTTGCCTTAAAAGACTATGTCCAAAAAACTGCGATTTAACCGCTAAGAGTTGGGACTTTGTGAGTTTTTAGGGGCATAAAAACTGAGTGCTATTAGTGCTATTGAAAATTTATTTGAGTCGGACGTTTTCGAAAAAACGAGGTCAAAGTTTAAACTTCGATCGCCTTCTTTCATGATAAACCAGATTTCTTCATGAAACTCATTTTCCTGGTGTAACTTTTGCTAATCAACCAGAAAATGTAATTATTTTTAGTGAAAAATTCTTCGCTTTTGTACAACAACAGATCATTTCTTATTTTCAGTTAAATTGACCTCTTTCTGTGACCGTAAAAGTTAGAGATCTGAAACTCAATTTTTACCAATAAATCTCATGGGCGAACATGTTGAGTCAGCGACTTTTTTCGAATTTAACAGTAACAATCAAGAAATTTTACGTTTAATTTTTTAACCAATCTTTTGCGTTGAAAAAGATATCTCTAAAATACAAAAAACTGTCAACAGGATAAGATTCACCAGACTATTCAGCTAACTTTACCACCTGGATTTTACTTTCAAATCCGCCACCAATACGCAAATCATCCCCATACCACATGCTATGAGGCCACTCGTAAGTGGTTCTCAGTCTTCTTTGCAATTGAACGATTATGAAGTCCACAGTACCAGTTGTATTTTCAGTTACGTTTAGCCAGCATCTGATATCAATAAGAATAACACGAGGAAGTAGCTGCAGAAGTTAAGGAATAATTTTATCAGAAATCGCTTTGCCTTTTCTAATAAAAAAATGTTTCAAATTTGGAAAATATTTTGCATATACGGCAAAATCTGAAATATTACAGCCGGTTATGTAAAATTGTTTTAGCAGCTGTGATTGATCTCGACTAAAGAAATTTGAAATCGCTAACATTTCAAGCGACGGATTATGACAAGTGACATTTTCCAGCCTTTGTGATAAGATGTCAATACCAGTCCTGAACTGTTCAACTTGCGAGAAGTCTATCACTCCTGTACGCAACTAAAATCTAGACAAAATAGATTTCATATTGTATCGAAACATTGGGTCGGTCTTTTTAATTGTGGCCTTTCTTCACGATTGGGCTAAACTTAAGAGACAGAGCCCATTTCAATAGTTCAAATCGTTCGGTTCGATAAGCTTCATAGAGTATGGTACTACCAACAGGACACACTGACGCCCAATCATCTAAATTAAAAATTTATGTGTTAATTGCCATTAACCGCATTGACTTGCAGCTTACCTGCTAAGTATTCAACATTGCGGTGTTTTTTAAGGACCAAACTTTTCCACCTTTCCAAACTAATTATAAATAAAAAAAATTTTCAAAGTCTAACCAGAATACTCAAGTTATTTCTAGTCTAGTATTGTCTTGACGCCTACAACTTAAAAAATACTCAACCCTTGCTTGAAACATGATCAAATAGTATCTAAGTTTAATTTTTTCACCATTTTCTAGTGAGTCTTTGAATGAAAATTTGCATAATCAGTTGAGTAGTTTTTATCCCTTAAACATTTTCGTAACTTCAACTTTTCAAATGTATTTTTTATTTCGTCTAGTTGAGAAATAACTTTAAAGTTCAATTATTTGTTGTTGAATTACAAGCTTAGCAACTAGACTGCATGGTAATAAAGTTGACAGTAAATCTTTTCATTTTTAGCTCAATATGAATTTATCATGAAATTGAACTTTTTTCCTTTTTTTTCTAATAATTGTAATAATGTACTTTTACACACAACAAAAGCTTTCAATGATGAAAAGAAATGAACATTTTCTTCTTCTTCTAATCCTTTATTCTCTCTATACTCGACATCATCTTACAACAATAAGTTTTGAGAATTGAAAATGAAAGGCAAAAATAGCACAACCAGGAGAGACTGAAAGAGAAGGCAAAAAGTTGAAATTAAATTGTGAACTTATCTGACCATGAATAAATTGTTAAATTTTCATTCCTTATATTGGATGGTTTATTATTCATACAGCCAATACTCGATACAAAATAACGAAAGAAAACCTTTCACTTGAATAAACCCAAAAAAAGGTCTTGCCCTTCACCAATCATATTATCAAGATTAAAGGTTAATGTAAAAATGTTTCCAAATTTATCCATTCGCTTCCATTAATTATTGAGTAAAATTCATCAAAATAATTCATAACCATTTCCATCAAATCAAATGTAAACTTATAATCCTGACATTTGAACAATTGTCTCATTCCCAGACTCCTTATTGAGCTTGAAAATTTCACTAGACTTTACAAGCATTGAAGTAACTCCAAGTCTTGAGTTGTCATTTTGCTCTGGTCTATTCAGTACATGGAGTGATGTTGAGAAGTTTATTGAAAGATGAACAAAATTTTCATGTGATAATGATGAGAGCGATGGAAATTTTGGAAAGTTTATTTTCTTGTTTATTCCTGTCTTTCAAATGTCATCAGTTATTGTTGAAGTTTGCTGGAAAAATCAACAATAATCTGACTCTGATGTTTACCTTTCATCTTAATGTTACATGTTTATTGCCCTGAAGATCAATCTCATTGTAAAGTTTGTTCCCATTAACAGGGAAGCTTCACTGAAAGCTAACTCAACTCCCACTAATTTAGTAAAGTATCAAAGGCAATGATTTCAAATTTTCAGTCAATAACTATCATCAATCTTTTTTGTCTTTTCATTGTTAATCAGAAGGAAAAAATGTTTTTCTTGGAACGAAAAGAGAAAAGTAAAAAATATTTCAAACAATCGCGATTATAATTGAACGTTTCTGTTCATCTTCAATTCAATTATCAACAATCGACTTATCCAGCTTAATACATTATACATCAATTGTAATGCTGTTATCATTTTCAATCAATTTTTTTGTGTCAAGAAAAAAGTTTCCCATTCCATGTCCAGTTTGTTATCCATTTCATCAGTAACTTTCTGTTTCAATAGATAATTGATAAACTTTGAGAAAACACTTCAATCTGTAGATTCTGTAATCTTGAAAAATTGGCAGAAATGAGTAAAGAAGATGAAAAAGAGGGAAAAGACAAAAGGTCTTTCAGGGAAAAACAAATGATGGAAAAGAGGAAAATGTTCATCTCATGTAATAACAGTATTCCTAGTAAATACAATGTACTTTTAGCCACTCACTGAGAGTAAACGGGTTATCAAGGAATCCATGATGAAAATTCAACTCTTTTTACCTTTTATTGTCTTCTTTTGTCAACCTTTTTCACTTTGAATCAGTTTGAACATGAATTTTGTATAAAATTGTCTAACAAGTGTCAAAGGATTGTGACATGAAAAGGAGTTTTTGGTGTGAATTTGAAGCACAATCTTTACAACCTTTTGATTATTAATTAATATTTCTCAGTAAAGTTCAATTACATTCAATTGTTAGCTCATTCACTGTTGGAAGTTATTTTTGAGTAAAATTTTTCCAAATGAAATGCACCTTTTCAATCAGCTTTATGATGATATCAAGCCTGAAGGTTTGACAATTGAAGACAATTAGTTTAAACATTTTGTTTTTTCCCTTTCAAATGATTAAATGTTTTTCAATTTTCAATGGAATCAATTGTTTCAAATTGAATATCAATTTTTGTTGAAAATTTCAACTGTAAATGGATGTTGAATGAAAACAAAAACAATGCAAATGTTTGGCTTTTCATTTCTGTCAAGGTTTATTAATACATCATTCAAGATGGAAAGCTGGTTGGAATGACTGAATTGATTTGATAAGATTAATGATTAACCATCGGCTCAACGTCAATGAGTTCAGTGAAACCTGTTAATGAACACTTTGTTTCTAGAGCTAAATATGACAGTGAACTTTTCTTGAAAGCTTTAATTTTAAAATGTATCTGAGAGTGAAAAATGATTCAATGGTTGGCTTTGCATATTCAAGTGAAACACTCAAGTGATGAAGATGATTTTTGACTGTTTTTCAATGTTAAATTGACAAGATATGCAATTGATTGTGAGTGGTGATTCAACGTAAAAATGAGATGGAAAAATAAGCTAAATCTGAAGCTTGAATTTGTTGAGACCCAAAGACTTAGCTGAGGGATCCACCTACGTTGAGTTAAGATTGGGAACACGAAGGAACCTTTTAAGGTAACAGTAAAGTGTAAATGAGTTTACAGTAAATTTACACCGAGAAAGCCATGAAAGATGATGTAAATATGGGTAAATTTAAATTGGAAGGCAAGATGAGCAGGAAAATGTGACTTGAAATCATTGGGAACATTTGAATCTTGTTTAGTGTTTTAACGTTTCTTTTTGTTGTTTTTATTTAATTTTGTCCGTCTGTTTAATTTTACACTTTAACTTGTCTTTAAATATTCATCAATAATTTGATTCGTACCTTCAACAATTCAATTTCAATCATTAAAATGGCCACTGCTCATACAGCTCCAGGACTTCACGTTGAAGTAGCTAAAGCTGTAAGTATTTTTCCTGATTTTGTTTTCTTCCTCCCTCTCTATTTACATCTTTTATTATTGATAGGGCAACATGAATAGTTTAAACTTGTTTATCGTCTAGAATGGTTATCTAATTTAATCATCATTAACATCACCCTAATCAAGTAATATTTATAATGAGAGCAACTTGTAAGTCTCTTGAAGCTTTGGTTTAACTTTTGGGTTGTAATTTTGGGTTTCCTCGTAAGCTTAACATACAAATGTACAGTTTACACCTTTTGAATAAAACATGCTCTTGATTGGTATAAATTGCATTGATTATTGTTCAATTATTTGATGCTTGGTTTAGTTTGGTTAATTGATTAACATTTTACAAAAGGTTGTTGCTAATTTGCAACCTAATTTCGCGGTTTGATCAGTATTTTTGTATCCTTGCCTCTTCTTCATCAAATACCTTTCTAATTGGCTCTCTTTCAATTTTGTTTTTTCTCTTTCTCTTTTCCTTTTCCCTTCGTCTTCTTCTTTGTCATCCTGTGTTCATCATTAGATGTTTGCCAAACGTAATCCTGAACTTGAGGAAAAGGTATTGAAATGGATTGGTGAAATTATTGGTGAAAAGGTTCCCAAATATCAAGGTACACCTTATGAAGAAGCCTTGGCAGATGGAGTTTTCTTGTGCAAGTAAGTCATCCTTTCATCACATTGCTTTCAACTGGTATCAATGCTGTCAATATGAAAGTGATTTGATGAAAATTAAATAAACTTAACGTGTAAAAGGCTTAGCTTTGTGTTGTAGTTGATCGGGTGAAAGTAACTCCATTAGGTTGATGAGTTGATCTCTTTTGGGTTAACAGTGAAAATTGAAAATTGAAAGTATTGAAAGTCTTGTTTTACCCAATAAATTTGATTGTTTAATCGCTATCAGGGTTAACATTTTAATCAATTTGGGTTACTGTTTGTCATTATTAAACCCACAACATTGGAGAAGCAAATAAGTGTTACAAATAGGAATAAAATAGAATCATTTATGGGACCAACTTATGTTTGAGTTTGAACCAGTCAATCAAAATGTTCAAGTAACGAGACAAGAGTTTATTTCCAACACACAAACTGATTCACTTTGATCGTTAAATTATGTACATTTATATTAGTCAATGATTCTATCTTGTTTGTTGTCTTTCTCAGAGGATGATAAAATGATAAAGAGGAAGAAAAGGGATCAAATAGGAAGAAATATCATGAAATTTTAGTCTACAAATGATAACAGGTCTGAACAAGGCAAATATTTTTTTTCCTTGATCGGTTAGAGGGAAAAATGATAAAGTGGAAGCTGAAGAGACTTATAAAGTCAAATTTTTGAGTCTCCTTCACTCATCATTTAGTCTCATCTTCATCTTTCATCTTCATCTTGATTCAATCATGATTCTGTTTCTACTTCAAATGAACAAATTTAGATTCACTTGCGAGTCAACTTTGCTTTTGTCCTAATAAGTTTGTTATACATTTTGTTGGTCTTGAACTGAAAGCAAAAAAATTTTGTTTTCACATGAAATATCATCATTTTTCATTCTCTTTTTTTCTTATCCTCACTCCCATCATGATTTTTTCATGCTTTATTCATCCTTCTGTCCTTCATCATCGTTATTATTAAAACTTGAATGGACCTTGAGAAGGCAATGAAGGAGGTTTAAATTGTGTTAACATCAAGAACCTTTTGGATAAGTTAACCAATTTAATCGATAGATGCTTTTAATTCAGTCTTCTTCATCTTCTTCTTCTTCTTCTTCCTCTTCAACTTCATCACAAATCAATTCTATATTAATGCTATCATCTTTTGTCATGTCTGCTCAGCTATTTTAGCTGTTAATAGTCAAAAAATAGCTAACCTTCGTTAGAGGATTATAAAAATTCTTGAAGCATTCTGAGACTTTTCAACTTGGAAATTATTAATTTCTACTCTTGACAGTTCTTAGGTTAACCGTTTTCCTTTACAAACTTGTCACCTTTGTTTACTTTTCATCTCGATTTTCTTGGGAACACTAATGAAAGGGTTAATGTTGATTTTTCGCTTTTTTCAATCACCCGCCATGTTAACGCTGTTATCCTTTTTGCTTTAAGCCTCTTCTTTCATTGGTAGATTTAAGCGGTAAACAAGCTTTCCTCTTATGTCATGTTAGTTTTATTATTTAAACTGTTTTCATATCATTTGTGAAATTGTTAATTATGTGATCCGATATTTAACTTTGTATAATAAGATTGATGAGGAGTTGATCACCAGTAAAAAAATCTTAATTAACCGGTATCCTGGTAAGTTTCTGTCAACCTTGCTTTTCTTGGTTTACTTTTCTGGTTGTCGATGTTTAAGTTTTGTTTTTGTTTTTGTATCATTCTGCTTATTAATGAAATCAATTGTGATTTATTTGTTATTACATTTTCAGGTTGATGGAAAAGTTGAATCCTGGTTCTGTAAGAAACATTGATTTGGAACCTAAACATGCTTTTAAGATGTTTGAAAATGTTGCCAAGTTTTTAAGAGCTGCTCAAAAATTTGGTGTACCAGAAGATGATCTCTTCCAAACTGTTGATCTGGTTGAAAAGAAAAATGTACCACAAGTAACAGCCACGATCGTTGCTGTTGCTCGTGCCGTAAGTTCATATTGTCTGGAATTAACATCAGTTATTTACTGTGTTTGAATTTTTTCAGTGTTGGCTTCATCCAGAATTCAAAGGACCTTACTTGACTGGAAAACCAGCTGAGCCTCAGCCAAGGCATTTTGATGAGAAACAATTGAAAGAAAGTGCTGCTCTTGGTTCGCTCGCCTTATAATCCAAATGACAATTAATTTGTATCGACTGATACTTAACCACTGAGCTTCGCTGCAATTTTAATCAACATTCTGGCACAAACTCATCAGCACTTTATAATTGAAGAATCGGCTTCAATTACTTCTCTCTTGTTAAATTTGCTGTCTTTATAACTGTTGAGTTACTTCATTTGATCATGTTTCAGTCAATATCTTGATTGATCAACTGTTTTAAAAAGCTTTCAAGCTTATTATTATTGTTATGTTTATTGTTATTCAAAAACATTTATTTCTGGGAATAAACAATATTTTTAATGTGCATCGATAAACTATCGATAATTATAATTTATTTTTTGTAATCAGCGTGAAAGTTCGATATACTCAATTTCATCGTCTACAATGAGCAAGTACATAATTATTTTGTCTAATGAAATAAAATTTATTTATCAAAAATCAAACATGGACTTTGATATTATAACAGAATAAAAACAGATGATGCATGATCAGGAGAAAGAATGATCTTCAACAGGTGAAAAATTGATTTATCACAGTTTCATTTTGATTGATTAGGCACTTATTTCTTTGTGATCTAGTCTTATAAAAAGTTATTAATAAAAAATGATAGCTTTAACCATCAATGGTTGCTGTCCTTTTAAACAAAATCATTAACATTGTTTTCAACTGTTTCCTTACACGAACAAAATGGAGGGTTACAGCATGGTTGCATCCATGGTTTCCAAATAGAGTTGGATAATGAAAATTGTGATTCAACATTCGGATCAAGTGTAGACTGATGTAAAGCTACTTGTTGATCTACATAATCAATTAAAGATTGATTGTGAGGTAATGGAGACTCTTCCTTAGGATCTATGGCAATATTGTAAATAATTGGAGGATTATGAGCAATCACATGTTTACCAAAACATTGGCAAACAAATTTACACTTTTTCTCGGCTGGTTTCGTGTAATTGGGTGTATAATAATATATTTTATAAATTGTTGATGGGTCTTGAGCAAATCGTACACCATGAAGATAGACACCGCAATAGTGAAACATGATTCTTGATTGAAAGTATTCTTCAGGGTTAGCTTTAGTTAACCATGGAGTCCAACTATCTCCATCCAACTCTCTATCATCTTCAGCTGGATAGGTTGTGTTCATTAAATCAATCAATGTTGGTAACAAATCCATTTGAGAGGTTGGATGGTTATAGCTTACACCTTCTGGTAGTTGACTCGGCCAAGATATTATTCCTGGAATTCTGATTCCACCTTCAACGGCTCCGTGTCCTTTGCCGCCAGGAAAAATGCCATTATAACCACCATCAGGTTGTCCGTGGATATTAACTTCTTCAATATGTCCTCCATTATCTGAAGTAAGATAAACAAATGTATTATTGAGTAATTTTTCCTGTTTTAGAGTTTCCATAATCCTGCCGACAGAATAATCAACTTCCATGACACAATCACCGAATTTTCCATGTTTCGATTGTCCCAGAAATCTTTTACTTGGAAAATGAGCAGAGTGAACTTTCAAGAAAGTAACCATCAACAGGAAAGGTTGATGTTGATCACTGTTTACAACTGCCGATGATTGTTTGATAAAATTGATAGATTCCTGTACAATCCTGTCAGTTAAAGTCGGTAAATATATCGGTTGCTCAATCAATTCTCCATTTCTCATCAAAAATAGATTCAAACGAACCAATGAATTTACAAACAACCAAGTTCCTCCAAAAAGCATCAAAGCAATGACGGAAATTGAGATGCCAGTTTTACGATATCGTAGGAAAAACCAAAAGCCCCAGCCTATTGATGCTCCAATACAAATACCAGTGATGATGAGTTTTTTGAAGTTTGGGAAGTTGGAAGTAACAACCGAATATCCATCTTCTCCAGAATCTTTTACATTAGTCATTGGCGTTCCATAAAAATAATCAAATCCATGTGAATTTGGATGATGACAATGATCACTTATTGATGAACAAGATAGACCAACATGCCATTTTCCAACCAAGCCTGTTCGATAACCAGCTTTTTTAGCAATCGAAGCAAATGTTATCTCACTGGGTGGCAATCCGGCAGAAGATGCGGCGAATAAGATTACTCTATTGAGATAAGAAGGAGTCATTCCTAGGAATGGAAGAAATCTATGTTAGTAATTTATTTTTATAAAAATCCTGAAAATTTGACAAATGAAAAGAGTAAGAAAATTTACCGTATCGAACTGGATATCTCCCTGTTAACAAAGCAGCTCGACTTGGAGTACAAACTGATGCTCCGGCTATATGGTGAGTTAACTTTATTCCTTGTGAGGCAAGTTTATCCAAATTTGGTGTAGGTAATGTAGCATTGCCAAATGGTCCCAGATCACCATAACCCAAATCATCAACCACAAAGATGAGAACATTTGGTTTTTCGGATTGACACCAAGGAGTTATTAGGATAAGAGTCATAAAGAACAGAGGATTTAACATCTAAAAAATTTAATGAGAAAAAACTTTAGTTGTAAATAAGATGCAGAAAAACTTGTTCAAATATTTGCTGGTGTTTATTATACCGGTAGTGATGAAAAAAAATAATATCTACAGCATGAGTCAATTAATAGGTAATATCAATATGAAACAAATTTACATAAATGCCACTAATTCAACTTGTTTGTGATTTAGCTTTAGATTTTATCAATTCTCTTTGATATTCTTTCATCTGTTGTCTAGTCATCGTACCGGGTCTGATACTGATTGGAATCATTTCAGCTCTTCTCATAGGAGGATCGTCAGATTTCAAGCTTTTCAGATACTCAAGGTGTTTCTCAAGTAAATCAACCGAAGGATCGGCTGCTGGCTTTTGGGTTAAATCATCATACTGTGAACCAAGGCTCCAAAGAGATTCAAGATCATATTTTTCCCGTGTCTCAGGCATGAAAAGATGAACTATGATGCTTCCCATATCAAACACTTTCCAATCAGGTGAATCTTGTCCTTCCACTACGAGAAATGGATCAGAATCATGTTTCTTTAATTTCCACACTTTGGTTACGAAAGAAGTCACTGCTTCAAGATGTTTAAATGATTTAGCACTGGCCAGTAACATATAGTCCGCATATCGCAATTCCTTTGGTAAAGCAAGAACGACTACGTCCGTCATATTTTCCAAGCGTAAAAGTTCCACAAGCTCTTCGATATCGATGACTTCTTCTACGCCTCGCTCTAAATTGATATTATCATACTTAGATGGCCTCTCACGAAACGGAAAATCAATATCATCGGAAGGATAGTCTGTAGCTATTTCTTGAGCTAATAATTCTTCCGTATAATCTAGAATCAATTCTTCTTCACTTTTTTCAAACAATTTAAATTTTTTGGTCTGTGATGGAGCTATTTCAATTGTAGCAGATGATTCATTAGATATGTCCGCAGGAGAGGTTGTTGATTTTTCATTCACAGTTTCTTCATTTTTAATATTTTTAGAGTCATTATGACTATCATTCCCACTGAAACTACTACAGGCTCTACTTGACCTAAACACAGGTTTCAACAGAGTTATTTGATGCGACTGCAATCTACTTGCCTTGCAAAAATTAAATAAAAACGCTTTTTGAGAAACAAGAAGTGGCGTTAATCGTTGAAATAAAACAGACATGATCCACAGCGCTATCAATTGAAGAACAATAACACAAAAGATAGAAAAAAATTAATTAGTACTCTTTAAACAAGCTTCAAAATGTTTACCTTCAATGTTCACAATTTAAAATTAAATAGATCACAATGTATTTTAAATTGTTATTTTATCCAATAAATAAACTTAAATGATAAATAATTGAGAATTAACAATTTCATTTCACGTGATGAAAACATGTGTTAAATCAAAACACATATCTGAGTCTGCTCAGCTCTTACAAGATTTCTGATTATTGTTCATATTTATATCAATACAATTATATTGTTATTATCTGACAATTAGACTCGCGTTTCAATGACTTTTTTTGAAAAATTATAACTTGAAATCTGATAAAGCTTGATATTCAAAAGATGACCAAATTTATAATTTAGTATCAAAATTATTTTATTTACACTGTACATTGTAATAAAACTTTGGAGTAAATTTTTGAATGGTCAGTTAATCAGATTCCTCTGTACTACTGGTTTCGTCTTTTTTTGATTTAGCTTTGAATGGCAATCCTCTTCGCGCTGCAATTCGCGCTAACCTTTCTTCCATAGCATTAGATTTTTTCTCTTTCTCTTTAGTTTTGTGTTCTTTTTCCTTCAAAAGTTGTTCATGAAGCTGATCTAATTGTTCCATCTGCTTTCTTCGTTCCTCCGAATCACCAGAAAGCTGATAAAATCCCACTCCATGTTCACGAGCTTCACCAAATCGGACATCAGCATAATGAATTGGCCCCTCTTCTTTAATTTCAGGTTTAATACTCTCTTCTTTATCGCTGCTGTCATCAAGATATTTAAATTTTTTAGCTTCATTACTTTCAGCATGACCAAGATTACGATTAGCTTCAACAAAATACTTCAAATCTTCACGTAAACATCTCCTGGTTCTGCCAAGAGAATCTGTAAACTCAACCCAATCACCATCGTCATTTTCCTCTTCATCTTTCCGCTTGTAGCCTCTAAGTCTTTCCTCAGCTTTACGCCTTTCTTCGTTTCGTATTTTGATTTGTTCCATAGCTTTACCATCGAAATTTACTAAATATCTTTGATCTTCATCTTCTGGTTCATCATCACTATCTTGAAAGACACCTTCCATGGCTTTATTCATCTTCGCTTCATAAATGGCTGTTTTCCTCTCCAATGCCCTTTTAGATGCTTGTAATTCTTTTTCAATTTCTTCATCGATTGCCCTCTTTTCATCCTCATTGGTAGTCTTCTCTTTTTTCGCTTTCAACTGTTTCACTTTGTTTTTAGTTTCAAGTTTTTCAGCTAATAATTTCCATTTGTGTCCTCCTTTAAGATTAACTTGAAAGCTTCGATTACTTTTCGACTCTTCTCGTTTTTTAGATAACTCAGCTTTCAAATCAATAAGTGAAGAAGCTAGACTCATTACTGAGCAGTTTATCAATAAATTTTCACCTGAAATTAAAAAGATAAAATAATTAGACATGATAAACAATAGAAAGTGTGCGGGATGTTAAAAAAATTGGAGTTGAATTTCACGTACCCTGATTGTGCCACAAGATCGGAAGCGTTTATATTAAATCAATCAGATTTTGCCAATGAGTTATACTTAAGATACAAGTATAAATAATTCAAAGATACACCTTTAACAATCATTAGAATTATCTGATTCTATCAAAAAATTCACTGAAAAACAATAACACAGCAAAAAGACAATTTACAGTAAACAAAAACATATGATAGATCACATGATATGCTATTTTCACAAAAAAATCCCAACTTCTATTTCCGCTCAATTTGAATTCTTAATTTGTCCCATTCTATTTATTCGTATTGATTTTGTTCTTGGTCTGAAAGCAAAAAAAATTTGTTTTCACATGAAATATCATCATTTTTCATTCTTTTTTTATTATCCTCACTCCCATCATGATTTTTTCATGCTTTATTCATCCTTCTGTCTTCATCATCGTTATTATTAAAACTTTAATGAACCTTGAGAAGGCAATGAAGGAGGTTTAAATTGTGTTTTACAAAAAAATGGCGATTAAAAAAAATTTGATAAATTAAAGAGGTTGTGGAATATAATTGAATCTGTTTACAAATGTTTCTATTTAATTTGTTTGAAATAACTATGTAAAACAAAAATATAAAGGAAAGGATTGTGGCAATTGGTGATAAACAAACAATGAACTGAGAATGGCCGAAAAAAATGTGTGACAAGAAAATGTAAAAAATAAAAAAAATTTACGCCTGTGGAGTGTTTTCTTGGTGGGTTGGTGAAAGTTTTAGCCGTTTGGCAGGTGATTGTTGGAAGATGGTGGACATCAATGGATCCCTATTTTTAGGGAAATTACTTTTTTGAACTTCATACTTTAATTTGTATTTTTGAACCTCTGTATCGGTCAAGTCTTTGCGAGCATAGAAATGTTCAGGTGGTGCATCTACTCCATGTCTGTGAAGCCAGTGTTGCCTCATGTTACAAGAACGATCTTTACCAATGTAGTAACAGCGATAACCCCCATCGCGGAAAAGACAAATTTTGTATTTATGAAGACCAGGAGGCTTAGGAGAGGCAGGATCACTGGTACCATTATTATATTTAGTAGGCGGTGGAATTGACTTTCGACCATAAGATCTCTTGAAAGCTAATGGATCACAGGCTCTGGCTAATTGATTTACAAATTCAGAGTCAGTAGTTAAATCAACTGGGACTCCAGAGCTATCTTCACGAAGCTCTTCCGCATTTCTTCTGATTTGCTGATAACGTTCAGTTGCAATTCGTAAAGACTCTGCAGAATTATTTACTTCATCGTTGGGTGAAATCTCACGATGACTAGAATCAGTCAAGGACAGTATTGATCCATTAAAATAGTTATGGTTCCTTGACATTTCTTCATAATCAGTTCCTGTTTCATCTTCATCGTTATCATATTCATCGTCGTTTTCTGTCTCTCCATTGTTTGCTCGCCTTTGGGACATTGATAAATTTATTCCTGAACTTGATTGATTCACGAAAAAATCACTTGAAAAATTCAGCCTTTCGTCATTTTCACTCAACAAACGGGTCAATTCGTCAATAATTTTGAGTTTATTTTGCCATTCATTCCGTAGCCCTTCCGCCATAATACTATGAATAATAGAGAATTGCGGCAGCATGAGAGATATAAATTCTGATTGTAAATGGCACAATTTACGTCTTCGACGTTCTTTTTCTTCAATGATTTTTAAATATTGTTTCCCATAGGCATCTAGTTGACTGATTAAGTAACGGCGTTGGTCCGATTGCTCCAAAGCTTCGTATTCATCCATTGAACGGATGATAGGATTCCTGTCCCCCACTGAGCGATGAACTAAACTAACAGACCCAAACTTCTGACATCCAAAGTCTTTAGTTACTTTAGGCAAAATGTTCGGAGGCACTTCTTTTGATCTATAAGATTCAAACGTAGACGTATACGAATCTTTAGAGCCTTCTTCTACAAGTTCTTGAATAGCTGAGCCAACTTTACGCAAACAATAAAATAATTTGTCTAGTTTATTTGGTTCAGCCGATGTAGCAGGTTCCTCAGTCGATTTTTCTTTTTTTAAGTCATTTGGTTGATCTGGTTCAATCTGTGATGATAATTGAGAACTCAATTCTGACAACTGAGCTGAAGGTGTTGATGGTGATGATAATTCTTCTGATGAAAGAGGTTGTGGAGGGTGCAGAGGAGGTGGAGGAGTCTGAGCATCTTTTTGGATATGACCATTTGGTTGGTCAGCTTCGATTGCTTTCATGGCTTCTTAATTGATGCTTTTTAAATTCGGGATAAGTTCCAAGATTAGAAACAGCTACCAAAGTAGTTTTAATTATTTTGTTGCTCAAAAAACACTGAGCAAAAAATTCTTCATAAAGAAGTCAATGTAGACATTTAGAATCGAATTCCATGAAAATGATCATCATGTTCTTTGATTACCAATCTTTGAATAAGAGCTTTTTGTATGTGACTTTTTGTACAGAAATGATGTTTGTAGTGTGTAGGTAAATAAAGTAATCAAGATATGATGCAAAAATGAATACACAGTTAAGTGCAATAAGTTGATGATGTTGCAATTTTACATGAATATGTAATCGAGGCGATTGAGAGGATAATACGGCTACGGCGGGATGTCATCAAAACAAATTTGTACAATTTCTTTAAATCAAATTGTCACAAAATAACAATCCTGTGGATTCTGTGAAAACAACAGAAATTAAAAAAATAAGCTGACAAAAGCTTTAAATGATATAGACATTTTTTACTCACCTATTATCATAGTTTCCTTTATCTGACAGTCAGATTAGAATGGCCATTTTAACGACCAGCGCTAAAATACGAGTTTCAAACAGTAATGAGTCATATGAAGTGGACTAGGAGTTTCTATCAAGAAAAAAATAGATACAAAGAAAGGGTGAGTAAGAAATAGAGATATCTAAATGTGAAAAGATAACTGTTACAAAAGAGAGAACAATTCTTTAATAATTTTCTCATTTACCTTGACCTTGCGTCCTCAACAGATGATTATTGCATTGATGATTAAATCCTTTTCAGACCCAAAAACTTCAATTGTCAATCTAGATAGTTAAAGGAACCATAAATAGGTTACAATCAGGTAGTCAACAAATAATTAAACAAATCAAATCAGAAACAGCAAGACAGCGATAGACAGAGAGGTAGAGAAGGTAAAGTGAGAAGAGAATATTCTCTGTATACAGTGGTTTCGGTTAGAGAGATAGAAACAGATTAAAGAATATAAAATCTGTCATGAAACAAAGAACAGATCATTGATTAATTTGGTACTTAACTTACCTTTGTCAATGTAACACGATTAATTGATGATGATGGTGTTGAAAACACACAAAGATCAACCACTTTGAGGTGTATGCAGGATCAAAACATGAAGATAGAAAGAGAAAGTATCTAAAAAAACAAACAAAGCGAAATCTGACAGGAGAAACAAGGGAGAAAAGAGAGAAAGAGAGATACAAACAGAAATGTATTAAAGAGATGTCTCGTCTCTAAAGAAGGGAGAAATACAAAGAGGGTGAAAGACTTGTCCTTTTGAATAAGTTGACCATTTTAATCGATAGATGTTTTGTTTTTGTTTTTGTATCATTCTGCTTATTAATGGAACCAATTGTGATTTATGTGTTATTACATTTTCAGGTTGATGGAAAAGTTGAATCCTGGTTCTGTAAGAAACATGCTTTTAAGATGGTTAAAAATCTGAATGATCTTGTCCAAACTGTTGATCTGGTTGAAAAGAAAATGTACCCCAAGTAACAGCTACGATTGTTGCTGTTGCTCGCGCCGTAAGTTCATATTATTAATAATTAATATCAGTTATTTACTGTGTTTGAATCTTTTTTCAGTGTTGGCTTCATCCAGAATTCAAAGGACCTTACTTGACTGGAAAACCAGCTGAGCCTCAGCCAAGGCATTTTGATGAGAAACAATTGAAAGAAAGTGCTGCTCTTGGTTCGCTTGCATTATAATCCTAATGAAAATTGATCTGTATCGACTGATACTTAACCACTGAGCTTCGCTGCAATTTTAATCAACATTCTGGCACAAACTCATCAGCACTTTATAATTGAAGAATCGGCTTCGATTATTTATTTACTTACTTCTCTCTTGTTCAATTTGCTGTCTTTATAACTGTTGAGATACTTTATTTGATCATGTTTCAGTCAATATCTTGATTAAGTAACTGTTTTGAAAAGTTTATAAGCTTATTATTATATTATTGTTGTGTTCATTGTTATTCAAAAACATTTATTTCTGGGAATAAACAATATTTTTAATGTGCATCGGATAGGAGGATTATGAGCAATCACATGTTTACCAAAACATTGGCACACAAATTCACATTTTTTCTCGGCTGGTTTTGTGTAATATCTTAAAAATTGTTGATGGGTATTTAGCAAATCGTACACCATGAAGATAGACACCACAATAGTGAAACATGATTCTTGATTGAAAGTATTCTTCAGGGTTAGCTGCAGTTAACCATGGAGTCCAACTATGTCCGTCCAACGCTCTGTCATCTTCAGCTGGATAGGTTGTGTTCATTAAATCAATCAATGAGAGGTTGGATGGTTATAGCTTACACCTTCTGGTAGTTGACTCGGCCAAGATATTCCTGGAATTCTGATTCTGTCGATGATTGTTTGATAAAATTGATAGATTCCTGTACATTCCTGTCAGTTAAAGTTGGTAAATAAATTGGTTGTTCAATCAATTCTCCATTTCTCATCAAGATAGATTCAAACGAACCAATGAATTTACAAACAACCAAGTTTCTCCAAAAGAATCAAAGCAATGATGGAAAGTAAAGAACGTTGGAAGTAACAACCGAATATCCGTCTTCTCCAGAATCTTTTACATTAGTCATTGGCGTCCCATAAAAATAATCAAATCCATGTGAATTTGGATGATGACAATGATCACCTAATGATAAGCAAGATAATCACTGGGTGGCAATCCGGCAGAAGATGCGACGAATAAGATTACTCTATTGAGATAAAGAGTCAAACCTAGGAATGGAAGAAATCTGTTAGTAATTTATTTTTAAAAAATGCTGAAAATTTGACAAATTAAAAGGGTAAAAAATTACCGTAAAGAACTGGATATCTCCCTGTTAACAAAGCAGCTCGACTTGGAGTACAAACTGATGCTCCGGCTATATGGTGAGTTAACTTGATTCCTTGTGAGGCAAGTTTATCCACATTTGGTGTAGGTAATGTAACATTGCCAAATGGTCCCAGATCACCATAACCCAAATCATCAACCACAAAGATGAGTCAGAATCATGTTTCTCTAATTTCCACACTTTGGTTACGAAAGAGGTCACTGCTTCAAGATGTTTAAATGATTTAGCACTGGCCAGTAACATACAAGCCGCGTATCGCATTTCCTGCGGTAAAGCAAGAACGACTACGTCCGTTCTATTTTCCAAGCTTAAAAATTCCACAAGCTTGTCGATATCGATAGCTTCTTTTACGCCTCGCTCTTTGAGAAACAAGAAGTGGTGTCAATCTTTGAAATAAAACAGACATGATCCACAGCGCTATCAATTGAAGAATAATAACACAAAAGAAAGAAAAAAATTAATTAGTACGCATTAAACAAGCTTTAAAATAATTACCTTCAGTGTTCACAATTTGAAATTTAATGAATCACAATGTAATTTAAATCGTTATTTCATCCAATAAATAAACTTAAATGATAAATAATTGAGAATTAACAATTTCATCTCACGTGATAAAAACATGTCCTCCTTTAAGATCAACTTGAAAGCTTCGATTACTTTTCGACTCTCCTCGTTTTTTAGATAACTCAGCTTTCAAATCAATAAGTGAAGAAGCTAGACTCATTTCTGAGTAGTTTATCAATTAATTTGTACCTGAAATTAAAAAAGATAAAATAATTAGAAATGATAAACAATAGAAAGTGTGCGGGATGGTAAAAAAATTGGAGTTGATTTCGGCTATTTCACGTACCCTGATTGTGCCACAAGATCGGAAGCGTTTATATTAAATCAATCAGATTTTGCCAATGAGTTATATTTAAGATACGAGTATAAATAATTCAAAGATACACTTTTAACAATCATGCGAATTACCTGATTCTATCAAAAAATTGACTGAAAAACAATAACACAGCAAAAAGACAATTTACAGTAAACAAAAACATATGATAGATCACATGATATGCTATTTTCACAAAAAAAATCCCAACTACTATTTCCACTCAATTTGAATTCTTAGCTTTGATTAGTAATCTATTGTGATTCAACACATGTTATATTATCCGATATTCATTGTCTCACTATCATATCTGTATAATCGGAAATATTAGGAAATGATTGGAATAGAAGGAAATCAATTTCAAAAAATTAGATCGCTTATCGATTGGCCTTCATCCAATACAGTGTATATAAACAAATACATAAGTAATCTGTAGTTGCGTCCGCAATATTTATCAGAAGTCAACCAAAAATCGAAGAATTGATTGACTGTCGAGAATAAAAAATAGAATCTATTAAATCAACGATCGATGGCTAAATTATTACATTGTATTACAATATTGCTTTGAAATAGGAAAATCAAGACTGTCGTTTCTTGTCACTCCCGTTTTACATCTTTTTTTAAGCCTTTCACAATTGATCAACCAATTAGTAGCACCGACAACGACAACTGAATTTGAACATGTAACAGCCATTAGCTTTAATCATTTAGAGTTCAGGGTTAGTCTCCGTCTTTTTTATATTGCCAAAAAACTTGCCATATCCAACTTTTCAAGGTTACTAAAGAAAGTTAATTGGTAATAATTATTGATACGATAATAACTTTTACTCTAGATTGTGTATTGAATGGCAAAAAAATGAAAAACAAAAGTACGAAAAAAAACAATCAACTATCGAGTGAGTTAAACAGGTAGGCAAAGAGGTTGATCAATATTTACAGTACTTGTGTCATGTGTATCACAACTAATCAGTCAACTTGAACAGTTGTTATTGAATGAAAGATTGGGAATCCGATGGAAAAATTGTTCCACTTACCTTTTAAGTTTAATTAACTTTGTTATTTCCCAAACAATAATTATTAGTTGTGTGATAATTGTTGAGATAAAGGGTAGATAGAAACCGTAAACATCAGCAGAGAGCAGCATCAATATCATTGCCAAACTATCAAACTATCATCACCTAGTGACTTTCTTAGGCAACTCTCTCCATAACAAGACAAGGAAAACGATTTTATCATTTTCAATATTCGCCATCACTAGCAGTATGTTTACTGCTAATTGTTGACTGACAATTACCGTGTATAAATTGAATCTTCAATGTTTGTGTGAAAACATTTCAGCAATATCTAGTTTTATTGTTATGTTTTAATTGATTATTTTCTATTTTACTAGTTTTAACCTCATTATTTGCCTACATAATCCATCCTTTATCTCATCTGGTCTCGTCTTGTCAACTTTAACACCAGCATACTCGTTTGATATTTGTTATTTTTTCTTATAATTTCATTCTCTACACATTAACCAACTTTACTGTGTTCCTACTTATTTCTTGTTCAATAATCTTCGATCATTTCAATACCAAGGAGATTCAAAGATTCCTCGAGCTAGAAGCTTTTAAAGACATTATACTGCCTTTAGTCACTCACTCTTTTATGTGGCTCAACATCGCAATAATTTTAAAATGTTTCTAACTGAGAATCAATTTCGAGATGCTCTTCACTGGTATCAAAAAAAGGTAAGTGTTTAAAAACTATTGGTATGAAATTTGTGAAATGAGTAATTAATGTGTTATTTCTTCTATTGTATTCATCTAGATTGGCTCTTATGACCAGCAAGTTTGGGAAAAGTCCATCGAGGAAAGAGTTCTACGAGGTTTAAGTCATGCCATACCCAAGAAAGTGGCTCGAGTTAAGAAAGAATCAATCGACTTGGATCTAGATTTAATTAGAGGATCATATTTTGCTAAAGCTAAACCTCAACAAAGCTGGTTAACAACAACTTACCTTGGTATTGTGCGAATCTTATTGTTCCCCTTCTATTTAAATTGGTGGACCGAACAAACAAATTCCTTAATATGTGCCATTCTATTTATTCTTTATTGTCTTCAAATGATCTCAATGTACATTTATTTTAATTCGGAAAAGGACGATTTCGATGAGATTCCAATCTCAGAGGTTGTCTCACCTTTGTTCATGTTCTTCATATTGGGAACCATGCAATCACAAATAGGTGCCTCATCAAGTAGTAAAAATAGATCTTACCGGTCAAGACTAAATTGTCCACCAGTAGCTTCAACATCATTATCATCATCAACAACACCAACAACACCAACTACAGCAGCTACAACTTCATCTGTGACCAACCATGTGAACAAAAGTTCAAATGCAAGCTCATTGGCTACTGCGGCTAGTACGAACGTAAACTCTCCCTCATCATCTGCATCAACAGCATCCACATCTTCAAATTCATCAACCTCATCCAATCATCAAAAATCAAGAGAAATTTTATTAACTCAACGAAATCCAGTATCAACTCGATTACCCAGCAATAACGACGAAAATAGTTTAATCACTGGTTTATGTAAAAATTGTTCAAAGCGTGATAAAGAGACTCTTAGCTCAAATTTAAAAAAAGTCAAACGACTTAATCTACCTTTATCATCATCAACTGTATCATCTTCCGCAACATCCCTACGTCATTCTTCATCGTCAATCATTGAAAGAAGAACCTCAACTGTATCTAGCAGCAAAAAATTAACTTCCAGAGTTGAATCAAAAGTTTCTGACGATGAAAGTGGATTAGATTCAATGGAAACCCAAAATGGTTCTCCCAAGGAAGAGGAGGAGGAAGGAGAGGAAGATGATGAAGGATTAGATAAGGGTGAGATTGAAGGTGAAGATGAAGAGGAAACCTGTCTTAACAGGCGAAGAATCATAAACAAACACGTTGATCCTGCGGAAGAAGATGAAGATGTTAGTGACAATTGTTCAACTCCTGGGTCATGTTCACCATCAGCAGATCAATCGCCATCAACCTCTAGTTCAACCAAATCCACTCCCGGCTATTCTGGAAGGCGGAAAAAATTTTCTCACCAGAAAATATCTGACTGTGAATCAGTGAGTAACTCACAGCCTTTACTTGATTATAATCAAAGGAAATAAGGATTAATATTGGGCAATATTCAATTGAGACATTAATCACTTTGTCGGATAAATTTGAAATGCTTGACAATTTTCCAGAGATGAGGAAAAATAACTTGAAGAAATTTCCGTAATTTTCTTTCAATTGTAAACTTGATTGCAACTTGAGATCAAATTGATGTAACAAGATTAATCTGATCACACAAATCAATTTGATTCAACTTAATCTGATTGCGGAAATTCAATGTATAATAATGTTTTACAATTACGCATCTAATGTAATTGTAGTAACTCGTTAGGTTTATCTTATCAATTGTATTTTTACAACAATCAGTCTTTCGTAAATACTCATCTATTAATATAATTGTTATGACTTTCAGTCAGATAAGATACTGTAAATCCGAGAAAATTCAATTATCTTCTATCATGTGTTAAATATCGCAAAGATTATTCTTAATTGTCTTAGACTATAATTAACTTATCTTTACCCTTTCATTAGCAGACTTTACAACTCTAAAGAATTGAATTTTCGAGAAATGATCAATTTCAATGTCACACAACTTACGATTATGTTCAATGAATAATAATCAGACGAATCGGATAGGAACCAATAATTGATTTAATGGAGGATTTCAGAAGATTCAAAATCCAAATCAATCTTTTCTTAAATTCCAAGTTCGATACATTTCAACCTTAACTACTGAATTGCTCTCAGAAAATGTGTTTTTTCACCTTAATTTTCTTGTGATTTATTGATTTATACATTTAAATAACGTCTTGAAATTGATTCGAACAAGTCTTTTAAATAATCTTCTTTCATCTTTTAGTCTTCTTTGATTTGAAGGGTGAAAAGTAAAAAAATATACTCAATATTTACGATCATTTCCAGACTTAATCTTTATTTTATATAAAAATATTGATTAAATGCTGGAAAAGCATTAAATGTTGATTCCAATTAAATATTATTTTGACTTGTTCAAGAAAAAGCATTTACTATTTGTTGTGAAGGCAACATTTTCTGGCAATATTTCAATTGTTGTAATGAATTTTCATTGTCATTGAAGTGAGTAAAAAGTGAACAAAATGAACCTTTAAATTAGTACTTAATAGTAATGAATAAACATTGAGTCAGCATTTAATTTTGGAACAATCTTGAAACTGAATTTACTATTGGATTATAGATTTACGTTTCATGAAATAATCTCATTGTATTTACTCATTCAATTTCACATGAAACTTGAACAAAAGGACAAATATTTATCCAACACAAATACAAATACTATAGTATAAACCAAGAAAAGAGTGTCTATAAAATTCATGAAATCATTTAATTTCCTAATTAACCAGATAAACACTATTTTCTGGTGAAGACGCAATTTCTCGTAATTGCTTACAATATCCAAATAATGATCGTAAATTTTTCCAATTTTTATCCAAGATTATCATTAATATCACTACTTTTCATGTTACTTGTCATTCAAATGATAGCTTGTTATTAAATGGTCTTTCAATAACCTTCATGTTACAACGAAATTGAGAAAAATTTCCAGAATCAATTCTAAATAGAGAAAGATTATCATGGTAAAGAGAAATGAAATGAAACTTGAAATTTGGTTTCTTTTCCTCAAAAAGAATGTTAAATCAAAATTAACCTCAAAGGTGAAGTCATGTTTAGATTCAAATGTAACCATTGTCAAGGTTAACTCAGCACTTAGACTCTTTAATTAACCTTGAATTTGATGATGAGGATGATGAAGAAGATGAAGAAGATGAAAAAAGAGTAAAATGAAATTTTATCCTTTGATCTTCCAATGCATGCAAATGTTCAATGGCTTGTCCTTCGTTAGACTTTCAAGGTTTCTTACAAGATTCTTGCGTCAATAAACTCTTTCTTGTCTCTCTTGACATTTACCCTTTAGTATTTGTCACTTTTATCCTCATCCTTACGATTGTTTCCAATGTTATCTTTTCCAACTGAGACTTTCCTTATCGATAGCAAATCTGAAATCAATTCCTATTACAATAGCATTTCAGGAATAATGGACATTTTACCATTTCTCTTTTTACATTTTCCTGTCTCTCACTCCATTCCTTCATTATCAGCATCACATTGAATCCCATGGTAACCCATGAAAACCAAATATCTTTCAAGTTATTCCACTAAAACAAACCGATAATAAAACGTCTCAAACACCATTCAACTCGATAATTGGTCTTATTTTTACCAATCTTTAAATTCAACATTCAATTCAATTCTTTATCAGTAAAACTGATATTTTTTAGCCTTAAAATATCTGCTTTTGGTTATAGTTCAGATAAATGAATCCTTTTCACTCAATGTAACAATGGACGAATTTCGAATAGAATTTTTTGTTATGAGAAAAAATGGTTCAATTTTTATCGACTTGTTTTAATGGTTTTCTGGTTACAATCAAATTAGCTAATCAACTCGATTCGCTCGATAAGTTTGCCTTCCCTGTTTATCACATTCTGTTCACAATCAATAGATTCATTATTATCATCAATTTGTTTGCTTAGCACACATTGACACTGGAAAAAATGGAAGAATAACAAAATTCTCAGTTAAAAGGATTGCTGTTTGCATTGTTATCACGATAAATCATATTCCAGTTCATCCTTTCATGCTTTCAAGGTTAAAATGTGAATTTAAAAGTAACGATAAAAGTTGTTTTCAAATGTTGAATAGAAACCTGAACAAAATCTTGAAATTATGAAACTTGAAGAAGCTTGAAAATGTATTTCATGTTAAAGTGTTGTATCAATTAGTAATACAAGTTATAATCATGTAAAATTGCTGAATCGATAAAAAAAAGTCTTCTCAAACCTTTTAATTTCAACCTTTCAATATTATCATTTGAGTAACAATTTATCTACGCATTTAATCATTTTCACCCAGAAAATCATTCTCTTTTCATTGATTTTTTTCTTCTATCTAAAAATACACCTTAAACTCACCTGTTTTCTCTTAATCTTTACGATTATTCTTTTACTCGAGTCTCATGGACTTTTTTCATTCCTGGTCTTCTTATTTAACTTTACCCTTTACATGATTCAATGTAATCATTAACATTGGTCAATGAAACTTGAAACAATCGTTAAGCTCCAAATCAAAACCTTGAACCTAAATATTTGTCTACTTTAATTGATGACCTTATCATTCCCTGAAAATACCCTTGAAATGGTATTGATAGCTTCACTGTTATATCAAAGATTGTCCAATACTATCAATTATCTATTCTGAATCTTTTTCTCTCTAATTATTATTTCAATATTGAATTTTACTCTAACCTGTAATAATAATTTCCTCATTTTTACTCTTTTCTGGTCAATGATAAGGTTGAATAGTTTCATCACCAGTTTAACCAAATTATTACCAGAATATTTTCATTGTAAAACATTGAGACATTTTGTAATTCCTTGACAACACTTAATCAATTGTTAGCTGGTGACATGTTCATTTGTATTGTTGATTGCTTATTGTTACTGTTATTAATGATGGAATGATAAAAAGGCCAAGTTATTACAATATTAAATGGCTTGGAAACTAATAAGAGCAAAAAGGTTCTAAAAATATCTTTACTTCCATAGTCGGTAGTAACAGTGGTTAACTTAAGTGTATCAATTGATTGATTTTATCGTCTAATTTACAGTCTTAACACTTTTATATCGACTTTTGTTCATGTTGCAATTCAAATCTGTTAGTATAATGAAAAGAAAAGAGACATTTTATTGATATTAACAAGTATGGATATGTAAATGTATTCATCTAACATTGATTATTGTTTTCCATTCATTTTGATTGTGAGCAAGCTTTGATTCAATCCCAATATTGCCAGAAACTCATTTCAATTTGTATGTTCATTGAATTAAAATCAAATTATTAACTTGAACTTTTCTCATTTGATAGGCTGAAAGAGCTGATTTCGTAGACAAAAAAGAAGTCAATACTGATACTGAACCTGATGGAACAATCGGTGATTTGAGCTCGGCTGATGAATGTTCGCCTTACTCAACAGTCGATTCAAATAATCGTTTCGAATGGTCCAGGTAAGATTATCTTTCTAAAAAAAAGTTACAAAAACTAATTCTTTATTTTTTCCCCCAGAAAATATAATATCCCTTCGACAGCCACAGGAATAAAGATTGACAGTAGACTTAGTAATTCTCGTACAAACAAAAGTCCAGTTAATTTCCTATTAGAGTCAACCAATGATTCTGTTGGTGGCAAAAGTCAACGAAGTAAAAGTAAATCGAGTAAATCTAGTAAATCTGGTCGTCTTCAGTTTCGCTTACCTTGTACCAAGCCACGAGATTGTTCATCATCAGGCGAATCAGAATGTTCAATGTCACCAACCTCACCAATAACCAAGTTAGCTTCTGACTTGGATTGGCCTTCAATAAACTCAGACGGCACTTCGGACGAAGAAGGTGAAATGGGTGATGTAACCAATTCTTTGGGTAAATTGAACGAAGATACAGAATTTTTTCATTTTCGTGAGGAAAAAACTCGCTTAACTCATGAAGACCATAATCCGTCCCACAATTTCAGCCCAGAAGATACTTCATACAGCCAAAGAAGTGGTAAAACATTAAGTGACAAAGGTATTAACCATTACTGGCTTTACTTGAATTTTTAACGATTTAAATATTTACTATTTCTTGCTTTTTATCTCACAGTGAGCTGTGCTATTTGGCAAATGAGGGAATGTCAGAAAGTTGACCTTTCAGTGTTGGACATTTCTTCGTCAATCATTCGCAAAGTTGAATCTGTTAAACACTCGAATGAATATTTTTACCTTGGTTTCCTGTTGTCATTGGTTCTTGCCTTTATTCCGGTCATTTTTCGTATTCGCCAGTATGCAACTTCAGCTCGTTTCACCGAAACTCGACGTAAAGTGGTTCCAACTCCCTTCTCTGGACCCAATACATCAAAAGAAATATCTGACATTATTCAAGAAATACCGACCCTGGCAACTGACTTGTTAGCTGAATCAATGGTCTTATCATTTTCATCTTTGGGCGTTCAATTTGTCGTTATCGTGGCTATCATTGAGAGATTTTTTCTCAGCTTGTGTTTCTTTTTCCTTCTTTGTGTTGCTGAGCGAACCTTTAGAGAGGTAAATTTAGATGCACTCATTTTTATCCATCAAATCTTCTGATTTTTGTATTCATTTTTATTTCATTTCTAATTTTTTTTGTTCTTTTCTTTTCAGAGATTTCTTTATGCAAAATATTTTTGCCATTTAACTTCATCCAGACGTGCGCGTCGATCCGATTTACCACATTTCCGTCTAAATAAAGTACGAAACATAAAAACCTGGTTATCCGTCAGATCCTATCTTCAAAATCATGGCCCACAAAGATCTATTGATGCAATTGTTTCATCAAGTTTTATTGTTGAAGTTAGCATATTAACATTCCTATGCATTCAGGTAAATTTACTAATTGTTGACATTATTTTTCCATTTACTAATTTAAGTCTCTTTTTTACAATTTATTAGCTACTTCGAGATAATGAAATCTGTTCAGAAAAACTCTATTGCTGGGAAATGGTTTTCTGGAATCTTGCTATTGGATTATACATTATGCGATTAATGATTCTTGGATCCAAAATGAATCGTAAAAGTCGAGGCTGTTTAACAATCTTGCTATCGGAACAGATTAATCTTTACCTTCAACTGGAACAAAAGCCTCACAAAAAGGAAGATCTTACTCTTGCTAATCAATTAATTAAATCTGCTGCCGATGTATTGAAATTATTGGAAGCACCATTCAAAATTTCCGGCTTCTCGGCTAATCCATATCTTTACAATATAACTAAAGTCATTGTTTTGTCTGCTTTCTCTGCTGTACTTACTGAGCTTCTTGGTTTCAAGTTGAAGTTATACAAAATCAAGCTAACTTCCTAGAAATTTTCAATCGACAGCAAAGTCTTAATCTGTATTATCAACGACATTTTCATTAATCTATTTATTCACAATAGACTCACAGAAAAGTATTTTGTATTAGTATATTAGATGGTCAGTTAATTTTATTAGTTTTTGAATTTAATCAGAAAATAATAAAAGCTAAAGCTGATGAATAACTTTGGATTGTCGCCTACAATAATCTACAATTTACACTTTTAACCACATTGAGATCATTAGATCGCGTCTGTTTAAGCTTGTACCTAAATCTGTCGAATCCGTGAAACTAACCTTTATATGGTCATTTGTTGGTTGATTGGAGCATTTATTTTTTGACTTTGAACGGCAATGTCAACAAATGTATTTATAACTGTTGTATCAATGTATTATGATTGTCGATTTCAACCGACTACTTGCCATAGATAATTTGTTCAATACAAATAGACAAAACTGAATACGAAAAGCAGAACTTCATTGAAGCTGGAATAAAATTGTATTTCAAAACATCAACTAAAACCATTAGAATGTTTCATTTTAGAATCTAATAATTAACATTAATAATTGTAATATAATTATTATCTTTATTTTGTCAACAAATAATGAAATAAAAAACATGTTCAAATAATTAATTTGTTTTATTTCATTGGATTTCCAAGTAAATCATTACAAAAAGTTGAGGATTGCGATGAACAATAATAATCACAGATTAGTTTCTAGTTATTGAGATGACTTGGTTTCTGAACGAGTCTGATTGCTATTTCCAATTTGCTTTGATTAATAGATTTCTCATAATCTTATAACAGTTTTATTGGAGGATACTTGAAAGGCTAAATTGAGTGCTGATCATATTAATCATAAACTCACATTGAACGGATCTCAGTATGGACTGAACAAAAGTTAACTAAATTCACTGCTTAAGGATAACTTGCTTCAGGAAATATCTCAAATTAGAAGTAAAAAAAATCAGTTAATTGAGAACAAAATTAGTCTTTTTTTTACTTTCACGTTAAGTTATTGTATGTATTTTTATGGGTAAGATGTAAATGTTGATTTATTCATGAAGATGATGATGTTTTTTGGTGATTAAGATGATGATGGCAACTAAAGTTGTAGTATTATTGTTGTAGACCTTTAACTAATGGACTAGAGGTAATATAATCAATTGTTTAATTACGTCAAAATAATTAATCCTTTTGTATCTTCTTTAAATAATTTGAGGATCACATTTGTCCTGACAAAGTAAGCCTTGTAACTGTTGTGGTGGTTGTCGTCTTGGTTAAATCGATGAAAATGTGTTAAATGATGATGATGTTGATGTTATGATGATCAAGGAAATGAGAAAAATCAAAATAAATCAATTTCGATTCATGATATAACTTGATTCACAGCGAGATTGAACAAAAACTAAAATACACTTGGCGTTGATTACTGATACGATGGTAAACTTGGCTACATCAGTAACACGTTTGTTGGCTTTTGGTCCGACTTAAAGGTGGAAATTATATTTTGATTTTTTAATTAAATCAGCAGCTCTCTCGGCAATCATGATAGTTGGAGCATTGGTATTGCCTGAAACAATAAGCGGCATAATGGAAGCGTCAACTACCCTTAATCCACTTACTCCACCAAGCACTCTTAGCTGTGGATCAACTACAGCTGATGGATCCAAAGGCGAACCCATTTTACATGTGCCTACAGGATGGTAAATTGTGGCTGTAAAGGATCGAGCAATACAAGCTAAATACTCAGATGACCATTGGACGTACTCTTCACATCCAGGGAAAAGCTGATCGTATAACTTGGGTTTGAATTTGGCAAAACTTGGTGAATTACCCAGCTGAATGGCAAACTTCATTGAGTCGACAATAACATGTATATCATTGTCTGCTGTTAAATATTGTGGATCTATTAAAGGAGCTGCAAATGGATTACGAGACTTCAATCTAACCCAACCTCGACTTTTGGGCCTCAAAAGAACTGGATAAACGGAGAAACCATCTTTTTCGGTGTATGGTTGGTAATATTTGGCCCATATTTCATCACGAACACCAACAGCTTCTCTCAATGATTTACCATCATCTGACATTGGTCCACCAGCAATAAAGTGAATCTCAATATCAGGATAGTCATCAGTCCAATTGGCAAATCTTGAATTGATAAAACCAAGACCTTCAATGGCTCCAAGAGAGGTCAATGGTCCTTTGCCGAAAGTAAAATAGTTAATCAAATTTTGTGGATTTTTAGTTCGCTCTTCAACAATGGAAACAGGTGCTTCAAGGGAAAAATGAATTCCTCCTGGATAAATGTGATCTTGTAAGTTATCACCAACCGGTAAATCAGCAATAACAGGTATTCCAAGAGATTCAAGATGATAGCGTGGACCAATTCCAGAAAGCATGAGTAATTGAGGTGAGTTGATTGCTCCAGCTGATATAATGACTTCTCGTTTGGCCATTACCTTGTGCATCATTCCAAAATGACTGAATCTCACACCAATGGCACGTTTATGAGCATTGAATAGGATTTTGGTTGCCTGAGCAAAAGTCACAAGTCGAAGATTGGGTCGTTGTTTGGCTGGTAAAAGAAAGGCCTTAGCAGTTGAACATCTAGCTCCATGGCGCATAGTTCCTTGAGGAAAAGCGAATCCAGTTTGAACTGGGCCATTAACATCACGCACTTCATAACCCATTGATCTTGATGCATCAAGAAAAGCTTTTGCCAATGGGGTTGGTGACGGTGGAGTTGACACAGTTAGGTAACCACCTCGGGCATGCCATGGCTTTTGAGAAAGGATTGGATCTTGGTTATCTTCCGATTTTAGGAAATATGGGTAAACATCCTCCCAAGACCAACCATGACAGCCATGGTTGAAAGCCCAATTGTCATAATCTCGACGGTTAGCACGAACATAGAGCATAAAGTTGAGAACTGAAGAACCACCAAGCACTTTACCCCTTGGCCAATGAGATCGACGACCTCGCAGACCAAAACAAGAGGCTGTTTGCGGTTCAGTTTCATAAGCCCAATCAAGGGGAGTCTTTTGCAATGAAGTTGTACTCACGGGTATATCTGTCACTATAGATTCACTTCCACCCGCTTCAAGAACCAAAACACTTACAGTAGGATCCTCGGTTAAACGATTGGCCAACACTGCTCCAGCTGAACCTGAACCAATGATGATATAATCATAAAATGGATCCCATGTTGGACCAGAAACTGGCACTGAATGGTCAATCTGACGGATTAAGAGTACAGTTGCTAATGGTAAAAGAGCTGGTAACACAGGTGTTATCACTTCAAAAGTCATTTTCAACTATAATGGTGAAGGCAATGCCGATGAAGATAAGAATAAAAAAATTAATTTCTAATTAACATAGTCAATCAAAAAACAATGGCCATGTTTCAACTAAACAATAGTGAAAAAAAAGAAACGAGCGAAAGCGAAAACTGCTTTGGTCAAAAACTGGTCAATGATCAACTAAATGAAAGTTTTTTACGAAAAGTGAATCGATAGTAGATTAGAGTTGGAATGGGTAAGTAAAAGAGAGGGAGAAAGATGAAAATAAAGATGCTAAATTTGTAGTTGAAGATGAAAATAATGATTAAGTAATAAAAAAATCAGAGCAGGTTGGAATGAAATTTTTATTCACATTTGAGCATAAAAGAGATTTCAAAATATTAATTTAGTGATCATCATCGCCATCCTCATCATCATTTCTCATCTTCTCCTTTTCACGTTCTTTAGTTAAACGAAGAAAAGCAAGAAAAGTAATGGAATTAGCATCGTTTTAATGATGATAATGGTAATGGTGATACTTTGACTTGCATAGCTTTCAAACCGGTCTTGCAGTTATTAGTTTGTATTTATGTTTAGCAATGAAAAAACAACCGTTATTTTAACTCATCATGAGTAACATTCATCAGTCTTTTTATTTCTCTTTCAGGATCACCCTCTCTTTCCTGGAATAACAGCTTCCTTCATCATCTTCATCATCATCATCATTATCTCCTCCGGCGTCCGGTTTTCCAAATACTGACCTAGTCAGAGAATTGGTTGAAAGTAAGTTCATTAAACGCGCAATGCATTGGAAATGCGCTTCCAAAGTAGCCTACTCTTCATGTTTTCAGTCACTTTTCATCTTCTCTCCTCTTCCTTTTCTTCACTAAATGATTGACTTAATTTGATGGAACGCGCTGATCAAATCAGATCAACTCGCGATGTTGATAATTCCTTGTCAACTTGTCAACAAAATTTTCATCATAAAAAATTAAAATGTTTCCTTTTTCTCATCATTATTGCCATTTTACTCAACAAAATTTAACTTGACCAGTTTTTACTTTCTACTCAAGAATGTATTTGTTTTTTTATAAACCTAACCTGGAGTCAAATAACGATCATAATCATCGTAATTAGAATAATGATGAAAGTGCTTGTTACACTTTCCAGCTTGATACGATTGAGGCGTTTTGAAATTCATTTATAGTAAGAGCTGGCAGAGTTTCGCTGTTTCTGGTCTATCCGGACAATTTATGTCAAGTCCAATGGTTAAAATCAATAGTTTGGAGTTAATTTTATCGTTCAATTTCAATTCTTTAAACTATTAACTATTGCAAGTCGAATTGATTCAAATCAGGTTCACGGTGATGACGATGATCTCAATTTTTAGAGAATGAAAAACTCACCAGCATTAATTGTAATTTGCGATGAGGCCGAATCAATCAAATGTTCATCTCTTTTTCCACCTATTAATGTTGAGGTTAAAAGAGGGTAGGATAAGGTTGCAAATGATAAAGGTGTACTGTTAATTATTAATAGCTAAAGTTGAATTGATGATTTTTTTTGGTCAACTTTTCAAGGCTTAAGGTTGATATTTCAGTCGTGTTAACCAACATTTTAAACTTTTATTAATATTAATAAATGCCACCATGACGTTGTAATTATCCAAATTTAATTTGCTTTGATCCATTTCTGCATCTTTCAAGAACTTTTAAATATCTCTTATAATTTTCGAGTGTATGTTTAGTTAATTCATACCTCTATAATACATCCAAGTCACTTTTATAATAATAGAAATCAAATTATTTGGTCAATATTTTATTTATCACTTTTTCGGCAAGTTCATGAAAAATCGAATATTCGATAGATTCAAAAAGTATAGTTTTCCAATTATCATGCTTTGCGGATCCTTTTGAGTTGTTTCTTGGTCATTCTTCTGATCTTGCTTGTATTTTTTATCTAAATAAATAATAAGACAACAAAATCGAAGATTTGTCGGAAAAGAAAAGAAAGAAATAATATTGAAATTAATTTGGGTGTTATATAAACGCGATATAATAATTAATTGTGATAAAAATAAAAAATTTCAACTACTTACCGGTTCTACTACCTCAGCTTTGCGTTGGTTTTCCTCCTTGAGTTTTCTAGCCTCTTGTCGACGTCGTCGCGTTTCCTGAAGATGACACAATAAAAATAAGAAAAGACGAGATTTAATAAGCTGAATTGATGCTAACGATTACGATAATAATAGGAGACAATTGAATAAATGGACAATAGAAATTATAACAACCTCCAACTTTTGTTGGCGACGTGCTTTAAACTTATCATCTTGTTCTTTGATTGCTTTTCGCTCCGCTTTTAATTTCATCTTCTCTTGCCAAGTGCTACGAACCAAGCTCTTTTTAATTGAACTAAATCTTTTCTTTTTGTTACTAAATTTCCATAAATAAAGGTTAAAGTAAATCATCAAATGATGGGTCAGGGATCAAGGAAGAAAAACAAAATAGAAATAGAGAAATGTCATTAAATTAAGTAAAAAAAAATAAAATGATGTAATATAAGGTAATGATAGTGAGGATTATGAAGAGATGAAAATGAAGAGGTGAAAATGAGGATGAAATATTACAGTAAAACGGTGCGAGCAAAGCAATCGACAGCAAGGTTAAAAACACTCACAGAAAGTTGGAAGAAGTTGTTTCCTAAAAGTAAACTATTTCTCTTAGTTACGTTTAGAGCTGTAAAAGATAAACAATAGTTAAAAAATCATTCAAATTAGTTATTTAGTTATCATAATAAACAATTATTCAAACGTAATAATCGCATGTAAACTTACGAGTTACAATATAAAAATAATAGTTCATCGTTGACTTGTTGGGTTGGATGGAGTTTGAATTTTTCCAGTGAAGTTACAGAGGCTGGAATGGATAGAATCCATTTAGCAAGGCGAGAAAGCTTTGGAAAATCATTTTGATGTTCTTTCCACCATTGAAGAAGATTACTTTCACTGCATGAAGTTAACATGGCTGTTACATATTTTTCAATCTCATCTACTCCATCTACAGCGTTATCTTCCCAATCAGAGAAATCAGATCTTGCTCTTTTGACAACCGATACAAATCCTTCTTCATGAGGCAATCGAGTTTCAATGTAGCTGCGTACTTGTGTATGAACTTCATCTCGTTCTTCTACACTTAACATTTTAAGATAACGGAAATTTGGCCACAAAAAGGTGGCGATTTTGTGAAGATTGTGTAGATTAAAATGTTGCTCTAATCCAAGTTTGAGAAAATTTTTAATTGATCCAAGGAATGGCGTTTCATCTGAAATATCATTTGTACTTGTTGGTGTAAATGCGGCTGATGGTGAAGAATTATCGGTGGGTATTAATGGTGACGTTGATGACGTTGATGTTAATGATGAATTTAATGTTGATGCAGATGTTGATGGTACAGATGCTGATACGATTGAGGTTGCATTTAAAACTTTTAAAAGCTTGTGATACCACAAAAGAACGTGGTTTAAAGTAGGGTATTTATTACATTGTCGTAGTTCAATTGACGCTTCCTTGAAAATGATTAAAAGATCTACAATATTTTTGATTAGATCAAAGTCAAGTTGCTTAGAATCTTGCATTTCGAAATTATCCTTATTGATCAATACTGTATTCATTAATTCCCATTTATAGATCCAAGCTACATTTGCTGTTAACGGGTCAAGCTTGATTTCAGCTTTCAACTCGGAGCAAATAATACGACAGCTTTCAACTATATCAGAAATCATTTCATCGTTAAAAATGGTGGTCTCAATAAGTTGATCAATGGTATGTGCTATTGAAGGTAAACAAATGTTTACTCCGTCAAAAAGTCCACCTCTAGAGACAAATGTAAATTTGGCTAATCGTTCTTCCTCATTGAGACCATAATCATTAAGAGCAGAAGTGATAAACAAGTTAATGTCTTCATTGCTAACGGTGGCGCTTAAAATTGATTCAACTAGTTGCCAGTCTTTGTTAATGTAATAAGCAGACAAAATACAAAGGGCGCCTTGAGTGTCACAAACCAATGCACCGCCCATATTTTGTGATATTTCATTGTCCAGTTGAATACGAATGGTTTCTTTAACTTGGGAATAATGTTGATTCATATGAAGTTGGAGCTGACCAACATCAGGCAAAATTAGAGTTGACTTGTACTGTCCATATTGTGATCCTAAGCTGACCAAACTTTGAGCGAGACGTTTGAATGATTCACTAGCAACGGCTTCAAGACCCACTAATTCACTATAGCAAAATTGAATGACTTTTTCTCTGAAATCGGATTTGGCATTGACAATTTTAGGAGAAACACCTTGAGGAATCATATTTTTAGATATAATAGGGGTTGTTGGTGGGCCCATAGATAATTTAGAAGTAGTTATGACGGATCGAGTTGGAGATTGTTGATTGGAAGAAGGTGATGATACTTTTATGCTATTTGTTGATGGATTATATGATACAATTTGCACAACAGCAGAATCGATCTCGGACTCACTTTCATTAGATAGGATCATTGATGATTGAGTATTTGAGTTCTCTGCTGGACAGTTGGGTATATGTTTCCTAAGAACAGCGGGAATAGATTTTGGGTCCGTAGCACGAATTATGTTTTTACATTGTTTACATCTTACATAACCAAGGACTGTGCTTGATGTTGGATCAATGATCTCTTCGAAAATATCCCAAATAGGAGTTGCTCGACTTTTTGGTTTCATGCGAAATAAAAGACTCGATGTATCGATGGGTGATGCATTTTTACGAGCTATATCTTTGGATTTACAAGAGTGTCCAGTTATGCTACGTACATCACGTTTTATCAATGCTTTACACTCTTTACATGAAAGGTATCCAATTGATTCTGAGGTAAGTGCGTCCTTAACTTCATTGAACTTCTCATAAACCAATGGCCAGCTTATAAAGGAAAGATCATCTCCAGCTCCAACAGTAAAGCTATTGGGTCCTCTTTTTATCGACGGAGTAGTCGGCGATGATGATGATGATGACGGCGATGACTGTGAAACTCCTGATAAACATTTTTTACTATAAGTTTTCAATTTAGTTCCATTAGGAAGAAAGGCGTAAGACGAATCATTGTTACCTGATCCTCCTCCTGCTAGATCAGAAGAATGTGAATTGGCAAAGCAAGGGTGGCGTCTCATATGAGAAGTACCCGTGATTTGGCCGTGATATCGAGTCATAAAATGACACATTTTACATCTCACGATGCCAGTGAATTCTTGGGTTTCTACATAAGCTATTTCTTCAAAAAGGGACCAAACTTCGGATGAGGCATGTGAAGTTCGCATACGAGTGAAACATTCCCCTGAGTTCAATTTGGCCAGAATAACAGGGATCTCTGGGAAAGTCCTGGAATTATTCATGTTTATTCATAATTCAAAAAGGATAATTGTAAGAAAATTTTTTAAAAGAAGGCTCAAACGACTTAAGTATCGCAAGAGGATAGAAAAGCATCTATCCAATGCGATGGATGCAAAAACTGCGGGGACAGAAAACATGAGAAAGCTGAAAACATAGAATTTCAATTTTTGGAAATAAATAACAAAAATATTCAAATAAAACATTAATGCTAACAATGAAATGAAAAAAACCACGCGGATAGAAAGAAATCAATAAAAATGAAAGTGCTGTGAAAGTGAAAATCAACCTTGCATTGATTAGCTTTGCTCCAATTAAAAATGATGAAATATTCAAAAAAACTATCTGTCCCATTAAACCGGACTGTTAAAGGCAAATAAATATCGAACTTACGCCGCCATAGTTCTAGGACTTGTTATCGGTCTACCAACTTTACCGCCCGTTTTCTTGCGGGTAGGGATAGCTTCAACTATGGCTTCTGGAATGGTAACTTGCGCTGCATCTTCTTCAACAATTACTTCACCCGTATTCGGATCAGTAATATCATCAACCTTATCCATTTCCATTAGATACCCTTCTTATCCTATGAAACACAAAAAAGTAGCAGAATATTAGAAAGAAAAGATAGACAAAACCGATAAAATGGTGAAGACATTAAGAGCTGAGTGAATAATTACGATATAGGCGGTGATAGGCGCGATTAATCAAACTTACCTTAGGACCAAAATTGCCACGAACTACGAATGATATAAACACTAATTAAATTAAAAAAACGAAAATTTAATTTAGGTAAATAGAGAAAAAGATTAACCGGAATTTGGTTCTTAACCGGAATTCAATCCGAACGTGTTTTTTGATTTGAAAAAAACTAAACCAGTAACCATGCACGATAGATGGCATTACCGTCTATAATTTTTCTGTTTAAATAGACTTTCTGGTTATTTAGCGAGCCAAAAGTGGAAAACCAGCAACTTTTCAACATTATGAAATATTATTTTCATAATTTTAATTGTGCACTTCTGTTTACCTTTTAAAATTAGTGGTTAATTAAGCTTTTTTTATGGGCCAAAATTGTGTTGGTGTTAATTTAAACCACGGAGTGATTATTGATGAAAGCATCTTTTGGGTTTAGATTGGTTGGAATAATGTTAGTAATTAATAATTGGTTTGAAATTTTTATCACAAAAATGAATCTAAAACAGTTTCATGGATCATAATTATCCTTCCCTTTCAGCTGGAGCCTAACATTTAGCTTTATTGGGTTGTGGTAATCCAATATCAGAATATCTTCAACCACCTTCATCAATGGTTTCACAAATTTGTTGAACAACTCTCATTATAACAGACTCATATAATTTAATTGTATTACCATCTTCATCATCTTCATCCTCATCATTAACAACAAAAACGAGATTTCAATGTTTCTTCTTATTATCGCTTCAACTCCTACTCCAGCTTAGTGTAAAAATATTGGCAAAATTAATTTTACTCTAAGCTTTACTTATCATTAAAAATATAAAAGTAAAGCCTAAATTAACATCTCGTTACAATCCTTTTTGACTAAAAAAAGACAAAATCCATTTAAATTGTTCGCCATTCAATTCTAGTCTCTATTTAATTCATCTTTTTCCCTCTTTTATTCTTGTTTTAATCATTCAATATCAATTTTATCATCCAATAATTCATAATCAACATGTTCCTTCATTTCTTTATGTGACTTACTATTAAAGGTGCTTTGTTCCTTCATTCAGAATCAATTCATTAACCGTTCATTTCCAGGTTCACACTCAAATTATTTTCCATTATTGTAACAATCAAAAAAATCAGTAAACAGTTTCTCCAAATGTTGATTTAAATCAAATAAATGCAATATTTAGATGAAGATGAAAACTTGTTGAACCACTTTTCGACTGTAATTTACTTTGAAAAGTGACAATTAATTCAACCAATTTGACCACAAATTGATAAACTAATGCATAAAAACATGAAAACAAGAATTACATTATATAACAACAAAATTTAACAGCATTAATAATAATAATACAATCGTAAAGGTAAGAGGAGTGAACAATTTAAAGATAAATGCGCAAAGGCAAAAGGTGAAAGCGATACAGTTTTGTGCAGTAAAGTAACACACAGCCCAAGTCCATCCCAATTGTATTCATCAGCATCTTGAATCCCTCCTTGAAACAAGTTAATCTCTTGGCTGTTCAACTCCTCCTTGAGGAGGAATGAAAACTTATAACTTATAGGATAAATTGATAACTGGTAATTATGATGATCATCAGTTAGCTGAGGATAACAAGTTTAATGTTGAGAGGAAACAGAGAGTAGCAAAGTGATTGTTCAAGTGTTAACATAAGTTGTTCAAGACTAAAAGTGGACTTGTTGTTGATTATTGGTTTTTACGGCCTGCTTTGCTTTTGAGGTAAAAAAACTGTTTTTCCAACCACTTTTTACAACTTTCCCAAAGTGGATAAGTGAAGAAATCAAGAATTAAACAATTTCATTTTCTCCATCAACGATTAACGTGTTTGTTTTCGGTTACGACGTCGTCTTTACTTTTTTGATTGTTATTGTCATTTGTTGTTTGTGACTTTGTGTACCATTGCAAGGATTACCATTTTACTCAAAACTAATCATGTCAACATCATCTCATTCTGATTCCGAGAATTCATCTGATACAACAATTACCATCAGTAATAACAGTAGAAACAGTAAAGTTAAATCACCGCCAATCAAGGTGGAAAGTAAAAAGGAATTATCCTTTGGAATCGACAAGTTGATTAATAGAAGTTCCAATAACAGTGATTTAGACGGGATTAGTGATTCCAACAATAATAGCATTAGACATAACCGTTTGCTATCACCATCCTCAAATGATGCTGAAGACAATAATGGAAATGGTTCAACAAGATCAACACCATCTGAAACCAATCATCACCTTAATTCCCATCACCAACAGCAACAACAAAATAATTTGGTTCGTTCCATGAATGTTATGCTTTATGAAGGTGCTTTTAGATCGTTTCTTGCCTCAAATCATCACGATTCACCACATAATTATCTTTCCTCAGCTGGATCCAAATTTGATCCTCTTCGTGTTTGTAATACACTTTTACCAGCTGACCAGATTGGTTCCTATCATCCTCATGCCCATCACCACCATCATCCTCTTTCTCAACACCACCATCTCAATGATTCTGAACCACGAATAAGTCCATCATCCTATTATGATTCCAATAATAAAGAAACTAACGACAGTTTAAATGGTTCAGTGTCATTAACAAACGGACCAACAACAAGTGAGTATAATCATAATTAAACAATTACCAAGCAAAGTGTAGCTGTGATAAAATGAAAAAAGCGGTAAAATCACTTACTAATAATTGGTCTTTTTTACCCTTCAACCATAATCGACAGTTTCATTGCCTTTAGTCCATGGATTACCGCCTTTACCACCTAGAAGGATAGGTCATCCATACCAGAATCGGACACCACCAAAGCGTAAAAAACCACGAACTTCATTCACTCGGATACAAATTAATGAATTGGAGAAAAAATTTACAAGCCATAAATATTTAGCCTCAGCTGAAAGAGCAACTCTAGCAAAACAATTAAAAATGACTGACGCTCAAGTTAAAACCTGGTTTCAAAATAGGCGAACTAAGTGGAGGTAAATTTAAATTTTAATTAATCCATTCAAAATCAAATTCACAATTCAATTAAATATTCACATAAAATGAAATAATTACCCAAAAAACTGTTAGTAAACCAGACTAACCAGAAAAGAGTGCAAAAAAGCAAATAAAACAACTTAAGCTCAACATGAGAAAACTCACTCAAAATTATCGTTTCATCTCAAATAACTGATATCTTTATTAATAATTTAAGCTCTTAATCAATTAATGGTCAAAATCATTTAATATTACAGCTTTTAATGAGGTAAACAGTCAATTAAACTCTTAAATGATTACAAACATTAAGTAAAACATAAAACAAAACAACAAAAATCAGGGAATGCCGAAGGAAAAACATAAATGAAAAGGCAAAAACAAATGAGCTGCAATACAATTGAAAGCAATTAACCTTTTAAATGATGATTATTTTGAAGATACTGAGTATATAATAAAATTTAAAATAATAAAAATGATAATCAACAATTAATGATGCAGTTAAACAGTTAACAGTGACAATGACTTGAAGGAAACAATGTTTTTAATGTTAAACAATCAACATGATCAACATGATTTAATAATTGCAATAGCAAACAAAAGAAAGCAATTTAGATAATGATCAACAACAGTGTTAATTGTCAAATTTAAATCAATTTGATGATCAGGCAAGATTGAAGGTTAACATTGAGCAAAATGTTATGAATGGTAATCAAATAATGATTATAGCAGCATAATAATGGAAACAATAAAGATGAAAATGATGTTGAAGAGATGAAAAGATTATCTTGGTTAAAATGTATTATTAAGACACATTTAGCTTTGTATTTCAACTGGGAATGATGTTGCCCTTTAGCAAGTCACTGTAAAAGCTTTAGAGTTAATCTGTTGTGCTTACTTTGACTTATTTATCCCAGTCTAACCCTGTTATTACAAGATGAAACAAAATATCAATTTGTGCAAAACAAAAGGTAATGATAATCCTCGACAAAGTGTATAGTTAAGTTGAAAATAAATGCCCAGCTTAAGGATAACGGGGAAACAATGGCAACAGCAGAAGCCAAAAGTACGGTCATTTTAATGGTTAGTGATTAGTGTGACCAGGTTAAATTGCTAGTCAAAGATGATCAAATCTGGCAGATAATGTCAAAAGTTGGAAACAAAAAGCAAATTGAAAAATGATTACAATTGTTGTTATAATCAGTTTGACAAGAAAAGATTTGCTTTATTCTCAAGTTAAATCTAGATAATTCAACCTTAATCCTTCATGTATTTGCTGTTGAGGATACATTGTAATACTAAAGTTGTTCATTTGGTGAAATTAAATTCCCACTTGAGACAATTTACTTTTGAACAAGTTGACAGCAATTACACAAGGCAGAGTTTATTAATTTGTATTGGGTAATGAAAGTGTATGAGGGAAGAGATTCAATAGAGATTTGAAATTTTCTCAGGAATCTGGTTTATTGATCTTTACTGATATCGTCTTTTGTATGTGTTTACAGACGTCAATCAGCCGAGGAAAAGGAAGCTGAACGGCAAGCGGCCAACCGTTTGATTATGTCATTTCATGCTGAAGCCAATGGTGGACCCAAGGGTTCCCTTTACGGTGGACTAAATGGTCCCGATGGGCCTGTTGTCCCACTACTATCAACATCAAGTCATCCTCATGGGTCACACTCTCATCAGGCTGGTTCAATGTTACCCAATGGATCAACCTCAGGATCGGTACAGTCACCCTCATCAGCCTCATCTCCTTCAACCACGTCAATCTCATTGCACCACCATCCTGTACATGGTCACCCAAACCATCATAACTCTGACCGTTCAAAGGCAACCTCTGCTTACCTTTCAAGTTTACCCTTGAATGCACTGAAAAACCTTCAACCCTGGTCAGCTGCAGCAGCGGCCGCAGTTGCAGCAGCAGCATCAGCTTCATCTTCATCTTCAACCTCCTCATCTGGCTCATCGTCGGCCGATTCACCAGCTCACCTTAATCACCTCAACCATCTTAATCAACATCATCATCATCATCCTTCCCTTTCAGCTGGAGCCTCACATTTAGCTTTATTGGGTTGTGGTAATCCAATATCAGAATATCTTCAACCACCTTCATCAATGGTTTCACAAATTTGTTGAACAACTCTCATTATAACAGACTCATATAATTTAATTGTATTACCATCTTCATCATCTTCATCCTCATCATTAACATCAAAAACGAGATTTCAATGTTTCTTCTTATTATCGCTTCAACTCCTACTCCAGCTTAGTGTAAAAATATCGGCAAAATTAATTTTACTCTAAGCTTTACTTATCATTAAAAATATAAAAGTAAAGCCTAAATTAACATCTCGTTACAATCCTTTTTGACTAAAAAAGACAAAAATCCATTTAAATTGTTCGCCATTCAATTCTAGTCTCTATTTAATTCATCTTTTGCCCTCTTTTATTCTTGTTTTAATCATTCACTATCAATTTTATCATCTAATAATTCATAATCAACATGTTCCTTCATTTCTTTATGTGACTTACTATTAAAGGTGCTTTGTTCCTTCATTCACACTCAATTCATTAACCGTTCATTTCCAGGTTCACACTCAAATTATTTTCCATCATTGTAACAATCAACTAAATCAGTAAACAGTTTCTCCAAATGTTGATTTAAATCAAGTAAATACAATATTTAAATTCAATGAAAGCTCCAGTCAAACATTCATTTCTCAGTATAGACTTGCAGTTAAACCTCAAAATATTACTTTAAAAACTGGACTTCAACTTATTTAAAAATGGCAACAGTTAACTAGAGTTGATTTGATTGTAATAACCATTTGTAAGTAACAAATTGAGAACAATCATTCTTATGTTTCAACGAAAGATGAAAACTTGTTGAACCACTTTTCGACTGTTGTTTGGTTTGAAAAGTGACAATTAATTCAACAAATTTGACCACAAATTGATAAACTAATGCATAAAAACATTTCGTTTGAAATGCATTACATTACCTAAAGAATGCTAATGATACCTTCTTAACCCAAATGAACCTGATTAACTGAGACGCATTTTTACAAGTGATGAATTTTTCATGATCAAATGATTACCATTAACAACCTCAATTATGTTAATCATTTGATGAAATCACAAGAGGAAAATGTTTAGCTCAACTTGTTTTTTCCCATTCAACAAAATTAATCAAAAAAGGCAAGTAAAATAAAAGGTTGTAAGGAAACAAAAAAAGAGACAGTTTTCAATCAATAACAGGAGCAGCAGCAACAAAAAACAAGGCATCAAACAAAATCTTACAATAAAAGCGGTACAATTGTTAACAACATTCAACTTGATTAAGATCTTGAGCTTTGATATTTTATTGACTTTGACAGTTTATATTCACCAACTTAGCTCTTCAAACTTAATCAACATCATCAGAAGATTCAACATGATGAAGTAAATAAGAAAGATAAAGATGAAAAGTATTATAAACGGTAAAAATGATGAAAAAAGGGAAGAAAAAAACTTTGATGGATTCAATTGGTTTTATATTAAATAGTTGCCATCAAAAACTAAAACAGTAGCAAAAATATTTGCAAAAGTTGAACTTTTACATCAGCGGATTATTTTGCATTGAGACAACAATTGACTAATTACGATGGTCTAATCATTTCAACTCTTACGTTTATCAACTGACATTGGAGTCACTTTTTACTCAGGGTTTCCTAACCTAACGTAACCTAGCCTAATGATTCAACGAAATGAGCCAGAGTTTAACTTTAAACTCTTTGATGACTAAAATTGATTTCATCTAAACAGACATTTACTGATTAGCCCAAGTTATCATTAAAATCATGATAAATGTGAGCTACCTTGTGTATGAGCTATCTTGTGTATCTTTACTGCTTAACAAAATGTTTGAATCTTGAAGCATCTCGGTCAATTTCGGCCAAAGGTTGAAGGATAGAGAAGTTGATCTTCAAGCTGTTTTATCGATTGATTCAATTCCAAGTGCGATCTTATTCTTTCAATTACTCTGCCCTTTAAGTTGACTTGAATCTGATGCTTTATAGAGTCATCATGTTATCACCCATTTCTCACCAAAATTTTGACTCATAGACCATTGCTATTCAAAGCTCTTCATGTCTAACTGTAATAAAAGGTTACATATGATGATTAAAATTGATTTGATTCTAATATTTAATTTGAAGTTAACATTTGAACAACAATTTTATAGACATATTATACTATCTTTAACCTTATACATAATACAGAGAAAGGTAATTGATAGTGATGATACTTATTTGCATAATTATAAGATTTTCCAGTTTGGCTTTCAGCTTATTCTGTTGGTCACTTTGAAATGCTCCTCTCTTTTGGGTGTGACTTTACTCATCCTCATATCCTCATCTTCATCATGATTAAAGCCTATAAAATTGTTCATGATGATGATAACAATGAGCAAATAATGAACAAAGCAAAAGGTAAAGTAAAGCAAACCAAACAAAACCAAGGAAAAAAAAGTGTATTCATTGAGTCGATAACAAAAGGTTAAACCTGTTTCTTTACCAGCATTACCTGATAATGATGATAATCATTTTACTCATCATCATTATTATCAATTTAAAAACAATGTAATAAACAAGGCTTATAGGCATTTGATGAAAGGAAATGATGGAAACGATTGAAATAAAGAAATCATTAATCAAAGCAAAAAGTCGTAAAAAAGTGATGTAAAGACAGTCATTTTACTGCAGTGACAGTGACTCTGTTGCCCTGACTCTGTGGCCACTTTGAGGTGCAATTAGAGCCACAAAATGGGCAAAAATGTCTGACCAGTCAAGTCAGGTAAAGTGTATAATTACAATCGACAGAAGAAGCAAGAAACAAAAAGAAAGAAAATCTTTTTTCGCTAATCAACGAAAATTTAAAGTAATCGTTTTCAGTTATCATTTAAATATCAATATGATAATGTTAATAATGGTGCAAAAAGAAAATCAAAACTAATAATATTCATGATGATGATGAGAGTTAAATCAATTGGTTTACAATTACAGTGCCTAATGTGTATCATTAAGGATAATACAGCAACATGAATAATTACATTTAATTGATAAATGCTCCAAGCAAATGAATAATTTGTGCTTTTATAACAAACTGATACAAAAAACACAGCATCGTAAACGGTTAAGTAATAAATGGTAATTTAAATATCATGATTGTAATCAGGGTAAAATGAATGCTTAACCAGTTTCAAGGGTTACAAAAGGTTTGTTTGGGTTGTTGTTTGGTTAAATTGAAAATGTTTACAGACTCGATGATAATTGACAATCAACAATGAACTGTTCCGAGCCTTATTTTTCTCGTTTAAATCCCAAATGGAGCAATCTAAGCTAAATCTCAACCTGAGGGCTCATTATGAGCGCTCAATCTGAAAGCTCAACCTGAGAGCTCAATATGAGAGCTCATTGAGAGCGCTCACATTGAGATCTCATTTTAAGTACTCATTTTAAGTAAAAGTAAATCTCAGCCAGAATACCTCACTAATCCATCCGAATAACCCTTAACGCTCCACAACGAGGACTCAAAGGTCTTTAAAAAGGAACTTTTGTTTTACTTTAAGCCAGTTGGCAATCCTTCTATTGTAGAAACAAGTTTTTCTTACTCTTTTCATTTGAATAAAATTTACTTTCGAAAACGAACTCTACAATCTTGGCGCAGTCGACAGGATGGCCAACAAGTTTCGTTTCTATTTTGAGAAAAGTGAAAATCAATCTATTCATCTTACAAAGTATAAATTGTTTGATGAAAA